AGTCGATCTCCCGCGTCCATTTCACCTAACCTCACCTAACCTTACCTAACCTTTCCCAACCTAAGTATCGCCCTCTAATGCTTTTCCACACTTTCCGAATTTCCCCTAAATGTCGATACTTCGCAATTGAAGTGACATGAAAGCTTAATTCTATACATATAAACCGTAAAAGGGTATTTATAAAACTTCTCTCCAAACTGAGTGCACTGAATAAATCGAAACTTTAACACGTGATTATGGAGGCTCCAAGGAAAAACCCGATGCTCGTGAGATTTCACGTTTCAGAGAAAAAAAAAATGTGACTTTAGTTCTAGTCTAGGCTGAATAAGATTAAAAAAAATTCTTTTGGAAAATCAATTTTCACGAGTTCTTCCTTAGGGCCTCCGTAATCATGTGTTAACGTTCCAAATGATTCGGTACACCGTATTTGGAGGAAAGTTTTATAAACACTTTGACGTTTCGATATATATATATATATAGCACATGACCCTTCCGTATCACCTTAAGACCGTAAGCCCCTTCCCTCTCGAATGTGTCATTCAAAGAGCCGCGATTAAATCCCGACGGGGACTTCAATTAGCCTCCCATCAATTTGTAAAGCGCTAATTAAGTCGATAGGCAAATGTTACTAGGCGAGGACGCCCCTAGGGTTATTCGGGTCGGCGTCCTTCGGCGGTCGATGCGCCCCGCTCTCTCTCTCTCTCTTTCGCTGCTTCTTTTTTCGGCCTTTCGGCGTCGCGACGCCGTCTAGGGCCGCGATTCTCCCGACGGGGGGGGAAGACAAAAAATGGAAAAACGGGAAAGTCTCGCGTATCCCCGAAAGCCCTTCCGAAAACCTGCGGAGTTCCATAATTCCCGGGGCGAGTCCGCCAAATCGAATTTCTCCCCGCCTTCGGCCATTCTATCCGGCGATGACGTCGCCGACCCGTCATTTTCCGCGACATTTCCCCGTCGGCGGGAAAATCAATCGGTCTGAGGGGCTCTTAGAGTGTCCTACGTCATCGGAAGGGCGAAAATAGCGCAGAACTCGTTGGTCCGCCCTTTTCTCGAAACTCGTGCCGTTTCTCCCCCCGACCCTCCTCGTTGAGCGAACGAGCCACATATTTCTTCCTCTCTCCAGCGATCACGCACACCTCGGCCGTTACGCAACGTCGAATTTGCCACGTGGAAAAGGAAAATTCTACCGCCCGAAGGAGATATTTCCATTTTCGATCGGCCGCCGAGACCGTGCAATCTCGAGACGACCTCTCCCCCTCCGCAAGTTTGGCTTCTTTTCTGGAACGTGATTTATCGCGGGAAATTCTTTATGTAACCGTCATAAGGGCTCGTTAGCGATACACTTTGTTTTTTTTCCTTTTTTTTTCCCCGGGGGGATTGGAAGAGACTCGTTTCGTGGAAACGTCGCGGCTCGCAATCTCGATTTCCAGAAGTGAACTATTCGATCAGTCCTGGACACCCTTTGCAGGCAGGACAAGGAATTTTTTTCTCGCCGCGGCAAAATTGAAATTGAACCGGCGACAAGAAACAAAAAAATCGATTGCGTCCCCCGGGCAGCATAAATTCCATTTCTAGTTGCAATATCCTTCCGAGGAACAAATTCTATATCGTTCGGGTACAAGAATATTCTTGTTTGGCTATTGCGACAAATTCACTTGCGAATTAATATCAAGCATTTCACCTAAAGAGAGCTCCCCAATGGTCACGTATCTACGATTCGATATAATTGCGAAGATTTTTACCGCGGTAGGAGGAAAATTTTTTTTTCTTTTTCTTCAACACAATTTTGCCGTCCTTTATTAAAAGTGCAAATGTCATTTTTTTTTTTTTTTTCTTTGGGTACATTCTGTAAACCCGACGTTCCATCTCGCGACGTTTAGGTTAAGGCCACGTGCCGATGGATCGGGAATGAATTGGAAAAAAAAAAAGGGGGGAAAAGAAAGGGAAGGAAAAAAGAAACACATGCACACCCCCGGAGGCCGCGCGGTGCCAATCAGCTGACGGAAGGCCGTCGATATATCGAACCGGAGTGTGCGACTCAGCCGCGTTTTCAGCTCCAAGTGGAGCGCGTCCCGAATTATCGCGAATACGGTGCCGCCGCCTCTGGGGCAGGAAGGAACGGGACGCCGGAAAGCGAAAAGTCGGGATTTACACGTCGCTCCTCCAGAGACTCGGCGAAGGCGAGACGAGGAGGTGGATCGCGAGTGCCCGCACAAAGGAGAGGGTGCACCAGCGGACATTAGCGTCAATTGGCGTCGAATAAAGGCGTCGCGAGGCGCGGACGTGACGACCGGTCCGATCGAAATGGCACTGGAGCGGTAATATACCGTTCCTGGTCGACCGAGGAGACGGAGGAACAAAAAAGAAGGAACCCGCCATAAAAATGAGACCTGTTAGACCATCTCCCGTATCGACTTATTCTTTTCTCTCCTCGTCTCCGAACTATATTTTTATTTTTACAGTTACCTAAGAAAGTGTGTGTGCGCACGTGGATATATATATATTTTTTTCGATTTATATATATACATATCAACGATAGGGCACGACCTAAAATTTCAAGGTTAACCGTAATCAAGGATTGACCGACTAATCAATTTACGGTACCCCGAAAAGACGTCTTTCAACGCTAAAATTGAAGTCCTAACGAGCCCAAGGGTGGTAACTTCTAAAGTCGATAAATCGTGACGATTTTTAGTCCCATCGGGTACATCGGTATGGGTAGGCTTCCAGGAATTCATCGCTACGTGCGCGGTTACCTTAAGGCGCCAGGAGAAAAACAATATGGCGGGAGGGCCGGTCACGTGACGCGGTCCGTACGGTCGCGGCCGTTGCGACTTTGCCAAGTGACCGCCTCTCTCGGTCGGCCGATTCGGTGCCGTAACCTCGAAAACCCAGGAGAGGGCTAACCTTGCCCGCGACTCGGGAGATCGCGGGCGGTTTTGCGAGACCCCTCGAGGAGAACGGACCCCGAGCAGGGCGCGCGCCTCGTGACCGAGGCGTTCCGATCGCTCTCGGTTCTCGGAAACCCTTGACGAGAGGCGAGCAAGCGTTTTCGCTTCGTGCCGACGTCTGGGATTGACGAGCCGTCGTCACGCCGCGGCTCCGAAACGAGCTGCTCGCTGATTGGCCCGCGCGGCGGCAGCTGACGAGCGGAGGGCCAATCAGGGAGCAGCGCGGACCGCGCGACGAAAATACGAAAATGCGAAAACGGGAAAAAGTGAGAATCCGAAAAATCGAGATCCAGAGTTCCCAAAGCTGAGACGCGGGAAACTCGTAGTATCGAAAACACGGACGGAACTCGTTAGCCTTAGAAAAGGATCAGGTAAGGCTAAAATTGAAAGCGCAAGCGGAGAGAACAAGGAAGTTCCTCGCCCAAGAGGTTCTGCGCCGCGGTCTCGCGTGGCGTCGCTATCTCCCGACCTTGGCGCGGCGCGAATGCAACAGCCGCGAATCAAACATGGCGCGCGAGCGATCTTCCCCCGAGGCGTCTCTCGACGATCGGCCGTTCACCCCGCCCGACGTAGACCGCGGAGATAACGAATTTCACTCGCGAAACGCCCGATGCACTCGTCGTTTACGCCCGCGCGCGCCATCATAAAACGGCCGGGATTTAAGGCCCGGGATAAACGCGCGTGTTTTGGGCGCGCGGCGTGGAATACCATAGATTAGATAGGATACTATGCGCGTACGTGGTGTACGCGACACCATGCACGTAGCTCCGGTCTCGATACGTTAACGTGGATGGTCCGATACCCATGGAGCGGTTATTTCCGACGAGAAAAGACGCGGTAACTATCTCGCATCGAGAACAAGGGACGCGTCTCGAGTCCGAATTAATGAGTTTCCCCCCTCCCTTTTGGTGATTCTCAACCTCTCGTCGGTTTTTCACCGAGGGGGAGGCTAAATCACCTCAAGGGGTGGCGTTTGTGCGTATACACGAGCTGCACTCGCCGAATCCAAAGTGGACCGACCGCGAACGGGGCCGCGCGCCGGGAGGAGCGTCCAAAGTCGTAGAAGCGCGTAGGTACGGCCATGGCTGCGCGTCCGTGGCTGCGCGGCGGCTAGCTGCGCGGCCCAGCTGACTGCACCCGTCAGCTGAGGAGGTACACAAACCGCGAGAAAGTCGCCGAGCGTCGAGCCGCCGCAGCGACTCGAGGTCCTCGCGACCACCACCGATTTATTTAAACAATTGCTATCTTAAAAACACTCAAGGTTCCTGCAAACCACACGTGCACGTCCAGGAGCATAAAAGATGCGAGGACGATCGCCTGCGCAATTAGTTCACGACTTCCTTCCGTGACCGCAGGATTCATGAAAATTCCACGTTACTCGTAATTTCCTTAAACCACGGGACGTATAAACGCATTCAGTGGTTACCCACGGCGAGATGTCAGCATTTTGCGTAGTCGAGTAACCTGCCGGATATATCGGCTCCGCGCTTTAAATTAGACAATGCACGTCTAGGGAGGTGAACCATGGAGATGATCCATGGAAACGATCTGTCTAAGTAAACCATGGAGTCAAACCATGAAAGTAAACCATAATAGACATAAACACGGGCGATCTCGACAATCGCGCACTTGGTAACCAAGGGTGACCGGCCGAGGGAAGCGTCGGGTAGGCGCGTCCCCTGGCAGCTGACAGTCGGTCCGCTCAGCTGAGAAGACGCGAGAGTCGCCGAGCGATCGAGCGGTCGCGTCTATTGCGTAGTTCCTCGGAGGGTCCGCGACCTCCCCTGCGAGGTCCACCGCCTTGGGCTCCCGGGGTGGCAGGGGCCAAAAAAGGTCGGCGCGCGATTGGTCGAGTCCGGCAGCGGCGACCAATCGGAGCGCGCGCTCTAGGGCCCTCGGCACGCGACCCGCGGGACCGTCGACGCACCACGCGGCCCTTCGCCGAAGTCCGTTGTCCGAGAGAACAAAGAGGCGCGCGTGGGAGAGGGAGGGAAGAAGAGAAAGAACGCGCGTCCCCGCCGCCCCTCGGCGAGGGAAAACGGGGTTACGCACCTCCATATGCATCCGTGGCTGCGGCCTCCCCGAGACTTGGCCCTCTAGGGGTGCCCGTGGCCCAGCGCCGGCGGGCCACCTCTCGGTCGACGCCGACGAGTCCGACGTGGCGGCCCGGATCTCACGGCTTTGTCCTCGCGCGTGCCACCCAAGTGCAACGGCTCGTTCTGACCATCACTGAGCTCGCGCGGACGGCGAGGCTGTCGCGTCCCCTGGCGTGCACCGTACTGCTGATCCGCTCGGCGTCGTTCGATTTATTTCGGTTCCCGTCCCCTACCGCGGACGGGACTGGCGACGCGGTGCGCCTGCGCGCTCCGAAGGGAAACCTGCCACCGGACATAGCCGCGCGAGGGCGCCTCGAGCGCGCGCGAACCGCGCGCCACCCGAGCCCGGACGGTCCCAGGCGGAACCACCCGAAACCGGCCGAAGCTCGCCGAGCCACCTCCACCGGTTTTCCCGGGAAATCCGGAGGGAAACTCGCGACGAGCGAGCGTCGCCCCATCTGTCGGCGCCGACTCGAAATCTACGCACCCTGCTGGAAATCTTTGGACATAGAACCCGAGGGAATCCGGGACGGGACGAGCCTCGAGTAATAAAAATCAATGGAAACCTTTCGACATTGTTTGAGTCAAATCCCTCGCGGTAATCCTTCCCTCGGGCTGGATCAGCCGAGGAAATCCACCCTGGCATTGTGACCCTCCCAAGGGAGGGCGGACGGAGTATGCTACGAGTTTTTAATTGTTAAATCGTAATTTCATGACCGAGAGGACGCGAAAGATTTCTGGGGGAATTTTAATCGGGCATCTGGACGGCGCCTCGTGAAATCCACTTTGATTTTACGTCGCTTCCGAGTGAGATGCGGTATGCTGGACATTTTTAATAGTCCGATATTAATTTCTCGATTTTGAAAACCCGACGAATTTAAGGGTGAATTTTAATACAGGAGCATCTAGATAGAGCCTCGTAAAATCCAATCTGGGTTCTGTCGCTTACAAGTGGGGGGCACGGGACGTGCTACGAGTTCTTTAATTGCTAGATATTAATTTTATGATTTTGAAGACGCAAAATATCTGTGGGCGGACTGTAACGGAGACTCGTCAAATCCACTTTGATTTTACGTCGCTTCCGAGGGAGGATCGAGTATGCTGGACATTTTTAATAGTTTTCAATATTATTCTCTGGAGCCTGAGGTCGCGACGAATTTATGGGTGAATTTTTAGAGGAACGTCTAGATGGACGTTGGACCTCCCGCTCTCAGATTTTCAGTAAGCAGAATGGCTTTAACTGTGTGAGTGAGTCGTCGGAACACGTGGTACGTTCGTTACCCCTTCCGCTGCAAGGCGGTCTACATAAATATATAGTCTAAAATCTGATTGGGTCCCAGTGCCGTCGGCACACGTGGTCCATGTGGTATTCGGGGTTACCCCTTCCACTGCTATGCGAGGTCTAGGTATTTATGGTATAACCTCGAGGCGCGTCCTAAGTGCGCAGCGACGCCGACGTCCCCGGACGACTGCACCGATGCACTCCGCCCACACGTCGCTGCTCTTGCGAGGCGACAAAGCCGGACGAGAGATGCCACTCCTACGAGTTGTTTTCCGCATCTACCAAAGCCGCGATCATACCCCGTTTACGTTAAAAGCTGCCACGAAATGGTCGCAATTAATAACGAGCGAAAAAGGACGTTTAAGTAAAATATGCCTAAGATGAAAGTGTCCTATACGTATCAGTGAAAATATTTATAAAACTGGGAACACCGAAATAATTTGAAACTTTACCACGTGATCACGGAGGTCCTATTAAAAAGCCATGAAACTGGTGAAATTTCATTTTTCGAAAGGGAAAAAAAATTCCTTTTTGGTTCCCCTCCGGGACGAGTGCATTTTTTTTTTCTCTCTCGGAAAATCCAAATCTCGCGAGTTACGAGACCTTCGTTGGAGCCTCTATAGAGTCAAGGGTTAGAGTTTCAAATTATTCGATGTACCTAGGTTAGAGAAATTTTGTGAATATTTTGGCGGCTTCGTTGATATAGAATGGCCCTTTCGTATCACCTTAAAGGCGTTGTTTAACGGTCCAAGTTTTACTCCCAATTAAAGCATGTCAACACGTGAGACTCACTAGCGAGAAAGAGACGCAACTCGTCTCCCGCGCTCGCGGAATACATAATTATCCCGAATTCGATGGGGAAGATTTATGGAAAACGCGGGCACGATCTCGGCTCGCAAACCGTCGAATTTCTTGACGTGAATCCCGTCGCAACGGGTTCGCCAAGAGATTTCTTTCTCTTATCGTTTTTACGGCGTTCAAAGTGCCTCGCGATGCGCCGATTGACACGTTAACGGTGGGTTTACGATCTATGTAAAAGGTGCGCGAGTACATAAGAATCGGTTGCGCAAAAGAAAGGCCTCGGCGGCAAGGCGAGACAAAGAACAAAGCCCGCGAGCCGTTTCCTACGTCCCCGGGAGTCGCAATCGGATGATGTGTTTACAATTAACGTCGCTGTACGAGGAGCGTGAAAAAGAAAAAGGAGAGAAAGAAAATGGCGCTCGCTCGCTGCGAGGGGTCGTCGATCAAGCCAACGTGTATATCTCATAACTCAGAATTTTAATGTCTCATATAGTTCCGCAGCTATAAGACTAATATCAAATCTACGTAATGTATGTAAAATATGTATATTTACAAAATTATACGTTAGTGGCGTGAAACAAGGACTCGTGAGTGGGCATTGTTAGTTCTGCTCGCGACAACAAAGAGGGGATCCGAGACAAGGGACGGACGTACGCGGGTCGTACCCCCCAAGTGCTCGGCCGACACGAATATGTTACAATTTATCGTTTTTTCCTTCTTTTCATTAGCGCACATCTTCCATACATCGCCGGTCAGGGGGCTCGACCTTACGAGAAGCCTCCGACGAGAGGCTTAAACGGCGCCCGAAGACGCCGGCCTCTCGTCAAAGGATTCCCTTGACACAACCTCGAGCCCCGTTCGCACGTCCTAAATTCTATCCCACTAGATTAACTAAACGTAGAAGCGGGTAAAAATTAAACGATCAACTCCACGACGCATCCCCTTCCTTGCGGAAGGGGCACTGGGGACCACTGTACGGTTTCCGCCGCCCTTCCCGCGGCCGATTACACACTAATTTACACATAAAGCCTTAATCCCTAATTATCACTCGCTAGCGCACCCACGCGTACACTCTCAGCACCGAAAACCGAGAAAGGTTCGCACACTCCTCCCCGCATCGCACGTCCCGTTCATTCGTTACTCTCTTTTTCATATAAATCGTAATCCTACTATTTAAACTAACACGAATAACGAAGGGTAGGCGAAGGAGAAAGGTGGAGCGACCCACCGTCAAAAAGCGCCCTGAATGGCCCGTTCCAGCAAAAGCAAGAATAGAAATAAAAAGGAAAAGAACCAAAAAAGAAAAAGAAAAAATAAGAAAAGGGAACAACGAATCGCATACACCTGCCTAAAAGCCCCTCCTCCTCCTTCCCCGCGCACTTGCCAACCAAATGATTGTTATAAAGTATATGTAAAACACTAATATATGGTTACTTTTATTTTCTTGTTACAAGCCTTACATAATTAGAATATAATATGTATAATTTCTTGTGTGTGGGGTGTATATATATATATGTATATATATACTCTTGTAATAAAATCGATTACTTCATACTTGATTTCTAGAGATATAATAAATATAGCTAGTGTGTAATGTTAGTACAAGAGAAGTGCGTGCAGAGGGGTGGTGGCAGCAGGGTGCGCGTTCGGGGGTGCGGTCGCCATCCCGGGGACCCTCCTCCAGTCCCTTCCCTCGAGACCGTCTCACATGGTGACGTTCAATTGTATTGCTTTCGTGTCCACGGAGCACGCTTGCTGCTGTTGCTGCTGCTGCTGCTGCTGCTGTTGCACTTGCTGCTGTACCTGCTGCTGCACCTGTTGCTGTATCGCCTGCAGCTGGATGGCCTTGGTGTCGACGGTGCATGTCTGCTGCTGCTGCTGCGGCTGTTGCTGCTGAACCTGCTGAGCCTGCTGCTGCTGCTGCTGTACCTGCTGGGCCTGCTGCTGTTGTACCTGCTGCTGCTGCTGCTGAGCCTGCTGCTGGACCTGCTGCTGCTGCTGCTGCTGCTGAGCCTGCTGCTGCTGGACCTGCTGGACCTGCTGCTGAGCCTGCTGCTGCTGCTGCTGCTGCTGCTGCTGGGCCTGCTGAGCTTGCTGCGCCGCGGCCTGAGCTGCTTGGCGTTGTTGCTGGCGCAGTATGCTCGGCGGCGGGTCCATGTGCTGTCGCTGGTGCAGCAACAGGTGATTCTTCTGGAAGAACGCCTTGCCGCACTTGTCGCACACGTGGGACCGTATGTGGCAGCTACCGTCGGTGTGGCGCCTCTGGTGTTGGGAGAGGCCGTGCTTCTGGGCGAAGCCGCGTCCGCAGTCCGGACAGACGTGCGGCTTCGGCTTAGGGCCCGTCCCCACTGGCGGCGACGTCTGTGTGGCCCCGTGCATGTGGCTCACCCCGGGGTTGCCGATCGGCCCGTTCATCTGCAAATACTTGACTTCTTAATGCCACGCGACGCGCTTTCAGGGGCCTCGCGAAGGGGTCATACCTGATGGGTGCCGGTGGTGTTCGGGGTGAGGAAGTGGCCAGGAGTCTGCTGGAAAGCCGCCGCCAGGCCGCACAGGTCCGTCACCAGTGTCCTGTCACCGGAGTGTAACCTTAAATGCAATGTCAGGGCCTCCCGGTTTGAGAAGTCCAAGCCGCACTCCCTGGAACGGGAGGGTGCCTCTTTAGGTTAGGTTAGGTTTGGTTGGATCGACAGGATCGGAAAGTATGGACCAGGGATTTAACAGGTAGAGAGGAGTTCGAACAGGTTTTAGGTTAGGAAGGGTGTTCGGGGAAGGAAGGTTTTGGAGGTTATGAATTCGAGGCAACTGTCGACTAAACGATATCGTTACCTGCACGTCAGAGATTTCTCGTCGCCACTCGTGTTATTATTGTGAATCTTGGAATGGGCCACCAGATCCGCCTTGCGTGGGAAGGCCTCGCCACAGACGGTGCAGGCGTATGGAGTTTCTCCTGTGTGCAGTCGCATGTGTGCCAACAGAGTCCTCTTCTGCAGGAACTCCTTCCCACAGACGGTGCATGAATGTGGCACTCTCCCGTGCAACCTACCATGGTTGACGAGCTCGAACTTCCTCTGGAAGGTGGCCCCGCAGTCATGGCAGACGAACGGATGTAGGCTACCGTGGAAGCGCGAATGCATCGTCAGGTGGTCCTTCTGAGAGAAGGACTCCCCGCACTCTTCGCAGACGAACGGCCGCTCGCCCGAATGGAATTTACTATGGGTCACTAGGTGACGCTTTAAGGGGAACGCCCTTCCACACTCCTGACAGACGAAGGGCCGCTCTCTGGTATGCACTCGGGTATGCGTCACCAGGTGGTGCTTCAAGGTAAAAGACTTTTTACACTCGCGACACTGGTAAGGTCTCTCCGCGCTGTGAAGCAGAAGGTGAGTGTGAAGACAGTGTTTGTGTGCAAAACTTTTGCCGCAGTGCACGCAGATGTGTGGCCGCTCCCCGGTATGAACTCTTGCATGAGTTGTCAGATGGTGTTTAAGGAGGAAGGACTTCCCACACTCCGAGCACGAGTAGGGCCGTTCCTTTGGCACCCGCACCTGACTGCCCATATCCTGCTGCTGCTTCACCTTGGTCTCGATCTGGGTAGCATTGACGTGCGTCAGAACGTGTCCAAAGTGAGCCGTCGTGTCGGTTTGACTGGCCGCCACGTTATTGGCATTGGCCTGGTTCGAGGCCGCGGCAGCCCTCTTCATGAGGATTTCATTGCACTCTTCGGCAGTCAATTGGAGAGGGCCAAGGGGCGTCATGAAGTGTTTGCTCATGGCGTGCTTGTCAGCGGTAGTAAAGACCAAAGTATTGGAGAACAGCGAAGGAGGCGGCGTGGGATGAGCCGCGTCACAATTGCAGCCACCCTTGTCACAGGTCAGGGCGAAGACGTCGTGGTGCTTCTTGGTGCGCACGTGAGCCCCGTGCGCCGTTTGATTGTGCGCTCCCGTGTGACCGTGATGCGTCGTCGGAGTCTGCTGACAACTCTCATTCATGGCAAACATGGGCCGGCGGTGAGCACTGTTCGTCACCTTGGCCGGCTTGACGTCCACCTGTATCTTCTGACTCGAGCCCTGGTCCTGATTATTGTTGACCGCGTAACCGATATTGGTCGTCAGGTCACCCTGGGCGTTCTCACGGGTCTCGGTGCCCGGTCCTCCGAAGGACCAAGCATAGCCGAAGCCCGTGCCCGCATTGCCAGGGGTCGTGCACATGTTGGACAGGGTAGCGACGGAGGGGTCGCCGTTCCGGCAGGCCACGCCAGTGGTACGCCCCTGGGTTGTGGTCAGCGCATCGTCCGTGCCAGACCGCTCCACTACGTCGAACCGCTCCTCAGGGAATATCTTGAGCGGCTCCAAGGAGAGGAACCCGTCACGCTCCAGTATCTCGGCGGAGGGGGACGGCACTGGGTATCATATCTGCCCCGAGGGCCCGAGTCGAACCGATCCTTCGGGAGCCCTGTGTCTCCGGTGGTCCGCGTTCACCCGAGCCCGCCCCCGAGTCAGGCCGGCGGGCGCTCCCCGCTGGCGCCGCTAGCCGAACGCTCCGCTCTCCGGCTCCTGCAAACCTTAAGAACCATTATCCGTGAGGACCTCGTGGCGCCTGGCACCGGCGTCGAGCAGGGTCGAGACGGCCGCCCGCTCGCTCGCAAGAGAGAGGAAAGTTGCCTACCGCGTTCCCGCCGTGGGGGCTCGGGCCGCGCTGGCGGGTCCAGGTGCCGCCCGTCCGCGCGGTCGACCGGGTCGCCGTCGTCGTCCGCGACGCGCTCGGCGCCCTCGGCCTTCTCCGCGGACCGGGCCGAGATAACCTCGCGGGCCCTTCGGGCGCCGTCCTCCGCGGTCGCCTCCGCGCTTCGCTCCTCGGGGCCCCTTGGCGTCCGCGGCTCCTGGAGGGAGACAACCTCCACCTCGGTCCCGCGGCACTCCCACGGGCTCAGCCGCGCTGCGCGCACCTCGCCGGCCTTCGTTCCCGCGGACACGACACTTCAGCGCTCACCCGCGGACCCCCGAGCCTCATTAATCCCACGGAATCGCATATCCCAGTCCTCCATACAAAATAGCCTCATATATCGGCCATTTTATTTGTAAACTACCAAAAAACAATGTTGCCAATGCACGCGCCGTTTTGGAGGGAGCAAGCTGCCAGAGGTAGCGTCACTACGCGACTTCCGCACCGCCGCAGGTGGCAGCACTGCGCCCCCGTCGCCGAGGATCCTTCCGCCATGTTTGAACGAGCCGAGGCGCCCGGCGTCTTCACCTCGGTCTTTCGATCCTCCAGGAGTTCAGGGCACCCGATCGGCCCGAAACTTGGGACGAGACGAACACCCAGCGAGAAGAAATCCCGCCCTTTCTAGGCCGGACCTCGAGCGACGTAGCCGCGGAAAAGGCGCCAACTCGACGCACGCGATAACCTATAATTGGCCCTCCGACAATCAATTATTCAGGGCCGACTCTAAAGGCGCGGGGTGAAGGGGCCTCGCGTTGATAACGATTCGGACGGTTCGTTTGCACCGCGAATATGTCACGAAGTGTGACCGTAACCACGCATGTGCTGCACACGGGGCGCGCGCGTAACTCACGAGGGGCCGGCAAAGACGCGTCGGTAAGGAAGACGCCTGACTATTTCCTCGAAAATCGGCCGGTAAGATGGAGGCGTACCGACGCGGCGCCGGTAATCGCCTCGAAATGCCTTGCTTTTCAAATTACGCCGGCGATTACGTTACGTTCCGCGTCACTCGTTCAATCGGGTTGCCGATTGATCAAGCTAATTGCCCTCGCTAATGATTAACCTCTCGGGTCAAGAGCGGAAAATACGCCGAGGGAACTAGAAACGGACGGCGTGTTTTCCATCCGACATTGATTGTAACGCATTTTAATTATCCAACGTACATGATCGAGTTTCAATAAATAGAATGTCGGTTTTCCGTTTTATGTACATATTTTTAGGACGTCCTATTTCCTTTAACCCTTTTAGCGCCGACAGGAAACGACGATATATCGGGCACGGCACTGAAACGGTTAAGTTTTCTTGTTGCATCGATTAAAGCGGCGATCTGTATCGCTCTGTCTATCGCTTTTGAGAAACCGATACCAGAGATAGGAGAGTCCGTCGACGCCCAATGAGCGTTAGATGATTTCTGACCGACGCCTCGTATCTAGGGAGTTACGAGTGCGGTGGGACCTCCCTAGGCTTCCGGAATCGCGGATACGGAAGCGCCGCCATCGCTCGGCCGGTCATCTCGGTACTGCGAAGTCAGCAACTGATAAGCGCGCCCATTCGTTAATGGCGCACCCGATGCCTGGCGGAAAGCCAATGCGTCGCGATACGACGGATTCTTGCGAGCGAACCGCGAATTAAGCTTTTTCTCCCCACCTGTTATCCGACCCCCGGGAAAAAGCGAGGCTGAAACTCGCACCGCGAAAGGTCCTCTCCTGAGGTCACTCGCGATTAATCGCAGACTCGCGTCATCGACTCGCCATTACTTCACATCAAGTTTTAGCCAAAAAATCATCTAATCTAGGTCGCTCGATTATGGACGTCGAGGAGGAATTTTAGCGTTAGGAGCATTTCGCTTGAAAATCGCCGCTGAAAACGGCGGGGACAAAAAAAGGAAAATACAGATACGCCGCGGTCTTCTACTCGACGAAGAGGAGACAGACTCGTCTTATGCTCGCACTTAGTCTACATATGTATCGTTTACTAGAAAAACCCGTCGATCCGCGAAAGAGGCGCGGACCGCAACTCGGCGAACAACGTGCCGAGCGGGTGCGATAAAACGCTCGCCACTTATTTCAAAAGAGACATTCGAATTATCGAGCGCGAGACAGAGACCTCGCCTCTTCTCTCAAGGACTTCTCCTTCCACAAGAGACCCCTCACTTTCACTTAGCCCATCGCTCTTTGTCCAGTTAAGCAATTTCCATACATGCCTCGTCCCTCCGCCGGATGACTTCTGCTCCTCCGTTTCCACCTTTTCCGTGATTTCCCTTAAATAAAATGAAACGAATTAAGGAAAGAAAAAAGCAAAATGTGGATACCAAAAATTAAGCCACCAACGATCCACTCTCCAGCACGTACAGAAACCCTTGGTCATCGATATTCCTCCCGTCGTATGAAATTCCTCTTCCTGGACCTCTCCTAAAAAACAAAACCTTAATGAGAAACACCTAGATACCAAAAGACACCAACGATCAGCTCTTCGGCATGTAGAAAAACCCTTTGTCACAGAAACTAGTGACCATACCGTTCCCTGGCCTCGAATTTCCTCCATTTCCCCGTTCTGAGGTTTCCCTAAAAAAAATCCCCTTTAGAAAAATATGGATTACAAGAAAATAGATAAATATGAGATACCCTCTATTCTTCTATTCTATTCTATTCTTCAGCATGTAGACATACTCGCAGTCGGAGAAACAGGTGGCCGTGCTGTTCATCGACTAACTGGGGTGCGAGTCGAGGGGCGGTTTTTGCTTCCTTCCTTCCCCATGGGGGGGTGTAGGAGGCCGAATCCCGAAGGCAGCGGACCGTGAACGCGATACCGGCGTCGCCGTGCGCCGAGACGCCGTCAAACAGGCGTCCCGATTTGTTGGCCATCCTGCGGGTCCCAATCCCTCCACCTCCTCTCCCCCTTCCGGCCCCTCGCACGTGCCCCCCTCCGATCGTGGGGAGCGATTCGTTTCCATCGGCTGCTATCGGTCACTCCGACGTCCGCTGCAGTTCCTCTCCCCGCCGCCCTCTGATGGTAGATGGCGCTGTTCACGGAATTAATCAAAGATTAGCGAGAGTCCCTCTCTTTCCTCGACTCGAGAATTCTACTGCGTCGCTGTAGCGCTTTGCCTCGACTCACGTCCGGAGCCTCAAATTCTCCCTCGAATGAAATAAATTTAATAACTAACAAGAATTAACTGGAAGACTCGTCAAGAGAATATTCTATTAGGAATGTTTTAAAGAAATGTGATGGAATGACATGAATGAAAGAATTATTACAGGACAGGAATTAGCGAAGAAGATTCGGCAACGATATTTCGATATTAAGGTTTCAGATAAATGAGATCGAATGAAATGAATGGGAGAATTATCGGGAATTAGGTGGAATTTTTGGGAAATTTGTGGATATATGGTTTTTGAATTGTTGAATTGTGAAATTAAGGTTAAAAGAGAGTCGTGATGGCTCCGCTGGTTGACTGCAAAAGGGTTAATACGAGTATTTATGGTCCGTTCGATTTCTCGAGGGAAGAATCTTTCGGCGAGCGAGGAGTTGCGACTTTTTTTTTTGTGGAACTCACGTTTTTCCAGGGAACGGATAACGATGCAGGAGCCGAGGAGTGAAAAGTGGTAACGCCGCTTTTTGGAGCACCTTGGAGGTCGATACAGAGATCGGAACACGGAGATCCTCCCTTCCGATTGGAGACTTCGATACCAGACCTTAATCAATCTCTGGAAAAGGAACGGGAACACATTTCGGGAGACTTTGCGCCGGGCGAGGTAATTCTAGCCCCCAATTAATTTTCGAGTGTAAACTCGTGGGACGCATCGAGCCGGGTACATAATTGAGATACTTTCACGTAAGGAAAGGGATCGAAAGAGGCCTTTGGAATTAACGATCGGAGCCCCTTAATAGAGTTACCGGCACACCCTGTACACTTTGCCCGCCATGGAGAGAAATCCCCGTCGAAGGGTCGAAACTATCGGCTTACATTCTTCCAGGGAGTTAATTAAAAGATGATTACCTAATGAGGATCGTCGATCCGTGAGAGCCGGTCCGGCCGGAGACGTAGCCCGTGGCCATGGACGTTATTTCCGGTGGAACCGGTCCAACGGAAACCGGGGGAGGTTCGTCCAATCAGCTCGACGGACGACTTCGCTCGGATCGCCGAAAAATTACGCGACGCTCCAACTTCTCCGAGGAAAGTTCCGAGGAAAGTTAAAGCCGACATCGGCGATGCGCGAAATCGTCTCGGCCTCGTCATCGCCTGCGGCGGTGCCTATAGATTATTCCAGGGATAATTAGAAATCGTTTTCGCCGCAGCCTCTAACCCAAGCCCCGAAAAAGGTACCCTCTGCAAGGTAGTGTAGAAAATAATCAACCATTAAATTATCATCGAGGTTATTAAAAGAAATACCCTCCAGTAACGACGTCAGTCTCTTACAGCAAAACTCAACCTGACACACTATATCTTGCAGTTCCTTGAAATGTGGTCCCACTGTTGAGTACCTAAATAATAAAAAAAAGAATCGTCTCAATAATTTGGACACTCAACGTACAACGTAGAGCGCAATTTATACAACGATGTTTATCGAAGAACCACCAACCTGATTCACGCGATGCGTGACGCCTACCCTCGTTTCGGGTCGTTAATGTAAGAGGGCTTTCCTGATGATTCGTTTATCCCGATGAAAGGAATCCCAAGTGTAAGCGCAATCGCTACGCATTACGCCGCATCGGGGAGGAAAACGCGGCGCGAGTTGGTCTTTAATCTGCGTTTCGGCGTGCGCCACCTGGGAATCGGTTTCCTATCTTGGTGGACGCTTTGATCTATGGAGGGGCAGAGGTTCCTCTCGTCGGAGCGCTCTCGAGTCGCAGATGGTTATAATAATTCAATGTAGGTCTCGCCTGGAAGGGACGTACGCAGGGTCGAGCCTGGAGACGCCATTATTTCACAAACACCGCCACTCTGCGAATGGAAGGAGAAAGAATTACTCGCGGCTTCTCTACCGACACTTGGTCATAGGAAAAAAAAAATATCTTCATCGAGGGTATATCTCACCAGGGTGGCAGCGACTTACGAATTCGGGGATTTCGATGACGAGGAGGGAGAGAAGAAAGAAATTTGCCCACGAAACTCGATCCAGGGGCGAAAATAAGTGGCGTCCCCCTTCTGCTGCGGCCCTGAAAAAGGGGCGTCATGCATGGCTCGTCATAGTGTCATCTGCACTCTCTGTCATCAACCGATCTTCACGGTTAATATATTCCTGTCGTAAAAATCAATTAGTATCGAATTGTATCGCGGCCCGGATTATTCGCAGAGACCGGTCTCATGTATTCGAGGCGGCACCAGGCGACTGCTTTCAGGAAAAATCCACAGAGGGTTCTTTCAAAGCGAGGCTTCCAAAAAGCTGCCAGATTGCCGTTTCCTGGTCGAAAGGGAAATTTCTGCCTATTCGCTCGTAATCGCGATGGACTTAATTCTCTGGTATCGTGTTAAGGACACGGTTTAAGAGGTCTTTGTAAATATTTTATAATTACCAGACTTCGGTGTCGCAAAAATCTGGAATTATCGAGTGAATTAAAATTCAGGGCCAACTAGGGGGGGGAGTGCCCCTCAATGGCAACGAATGCACGATGAATTATCGGTCCATTGAATTATCGCCACATTTTCCGGCGTTTCCGCCAGGTTCCGGTGTAGTATTCATCGTCGGTGCAGGATACGTCGACAATTAACATGTCTGTATACCGGGGGGTGCATTGCGAATTTTTTAAATATATATATTCAGTACGGACGTCCTCGTTTCCATCGACACTAGACCTCATAGTAGATTAGACATACCTGTATAAAAATGATTAATCTTTGAGAACGAACCTTTATTCCTTAGCAATTGATTAATTAATCCCAATTGACTAACCTCAAAGGCTCGGCCGTTCCCATTCATGGAATAATTGGGTATTCTTCGCATCAGGTCCTTACAGGAGATGCGTCGTTTTCCTGAATAAGGAGATCGGAATCTTTGAATTTCCACCGCTCTCTTTGGCCGCTCGTTTCCGAAAAATCAGCCGGCATTCTCGTCGGAATTCCTCTTTGGAGAGGGCTCGTGCGCCGGACGTTTCCTCGGATTCGGCCGGGACGGAAGGACGTCTGCAAGAAGAGGACAAGACGCGCACAAAGGATGAGCGGGGGGTAAAAAGGACGGGGAAAGGAAAATTTATTTTGACGGGCCTCCTTCCTCGACGGAACCAGCCGACAGGACGACTCGGCTCTCGACCTTTTCCAATTAACGACGATGACGATCCCGCGCGGCGTGAAATCCGTAAACGAATCTACCGGAACGTAACGTACGCGAGTCCTCCTTTTCACGAGTAATATACTTTCCATTTAAGAATTTGAAGAAAATCCTGCTCACCTTGCATCCCACTTTCCTAAATAGCCCTCTAAATCGGTGCTTGGAACAGGTTTTAATTCGGAAGCGTAATGATTGCTCGATACTCGAGGCCGCCATCTTGGAACGAGGGTAAGTGCCATAAGTGGAGGACGCAAGAAGGGTCGTCGCCGTCTCGGAGTTCCCGACTCGCAGAATTACGTGCTCGAGACCATTGCGAGATCGAAAACGGGAATAACAACTTCCTGGAGCAGAAATCTTAAGTGGCCGCCTGAAGCCGAAACAAAAGATTAGGGGTCGTGCGCGTCACTCGGCTCGATTGATTCCCAGGCGCCATCTTTGTTCCAAGATGGCGGCGGCGGTACCGGTCCGCTGCCCTGTTATCAATTTTTCTTCAATAATTAATGCTCCGTGGGTCCTCTATTAAGTCGCATTGTATTCGGCGATAGCGGGAACCAACACCTGGACTTTTTTACGCCCATTCCGATTCTGGCCCTTTATGACGGCGTCCAATGTGGCCGCTGTAATTTCCCGGGTTGCCGACTCGGCGCCCAGGAAGAGCTGACAAATCTTTTCGGGGATTGAATCGCGGAGGGCCGATTGACTTTGCCTCTTGGCTTCTATTGAGGCTTGCGATACTACTGTCTCTCTGTTATGTCTTTTTTCGAGGTTGGGCGATTTCACTCTTCGGGTTTTCGATCTCGCGGTGGACTCGTAACCCCGGTAACTCTCACGGCGTCGACGACGGCGACGACCCTCCTTGCGTCGTCCGCCACTTACGACGCTTACCCTCTCGTCGCGATGGCGGCCTGGGAAATTACGCAATTATTACATTGCCGCTAACAATCGTCGCGAAAAGAGCGACGTGAACGTTGAATGGCCTGAGAGCCTCCTGAGTCGCGCGGAACTCGAAACCTAGGAAGGGGGACAGAAAGAGAGAAAGAGGGTTATCTCGCAGAGGATAGAAGAAAGAAGGGAACCTCACGATCTGCAACCTCGAGATGGTTCCATATTTCTCTACCATGCGCCAAAATAAGAAATATAAGTGTCTAGCCATCGCGCGCGTTCTATACTAATCCTTCCTTTATATATATATTTTCCTTTCACTTGAAACATAAAATAAACAAGACAAATGTCTCACTTTCCGTTGCACTCCAACTTCTTAACGTGCGAACTCACGGCGATGTATGAAGTTTCACTTGAAAAAGTCACCTGAAATAGAATATTCCCATATCAGCGCATTAAATTGTCCTTCTCTCGATAACTAGGGCACTAATCGGGCGATTATGCAAATGGTACTCGACTACTTTTGCACTTTTTACTTTTGCTTATCTTAAGAAACGACACGGAGGGGGTCACATGACTCGGCAAGATGGCCGCCTCGAAGATGACCCGAATAATCCGAGGATTAACAGGTTATCCGGCGCAGGCGCGGAAGATCTCGCACGCATTTAGAATCGCTAAATATGCTTTAAAAATCGCAGCCTCGTTAGCATCCGCGGCGTTAGAGCCGGTCGGCCGTCTCGGCGCGAACAGTGCCTCCATTATTTCCCGGCAGCGAGCTCGACTAACATAACCTCTCCGTTCCCCATAACTTAGGGAGATTGTTACGTGGAGGTGAACGCTGACCATAAAGACCTCGTACACGGAGCCACTTGGCGTCGACTGTGACGTTTTCGTTTATAGTATCCTCTCGAAACGCAGTTGCCCTTTATGCCTTCGCTCATCCTCCTTCCTGCGCCTCGTTTTGAGGTTAGAATTCCGCGAGTCGACTCGCCGCCGCCAGAGGTCGGCCTAGAAACTCCCCGACAGGGTTGTGGGGTGACGCGTTATTCGAGGTTTCTTTACATAAAATATTTAAGGGAAGTACTTTACATAAAATCCAAGGAAAATGCATAATAAATTCCCCGACAAAGATAGCGGTACCGTAACCTCACTTCTTCAGTGGTCAAAGTATACATCACTTGAGATTAAACATTTTAGAGAAAAGAAAAAAAAGTAAGGAATAAAGAATAGTGGCAAGTAGGAGTAAACCATTGAAAAGATCCAGGCTTGCACATTTCAGTTTTCCATACATTCCATGGAAAATCTGGAATTTTAAGCGTATCAGGAATTGGAACTGCAGAGAGTCCCACGTTCTTGAAATTTACATCACGTATGAAATTTGTAATATGGAATATCTAGTAATTTACCGTAAAAAATTACGTAAATTAGGTAGGGTATTTTAATTACTAAGCCCTGCTCCCTGATCGCTCGCCAGCGCCCTGTCTCGGTATATTTCCGTAACTTTGCACACCGTCTCGCAATCCGCCGATGTAACGTAAATCTATTTTCATCTACGGTGCATTGACTTTCACATGCCGGGCGGTCCAGTCGATCTCGGAGTTCTAAATCGGTAGCCACTCTTAGCATCCGATCAGCGGATGACTATCTTCAGATCGCAATTAACGATATGGCATCCCTTGATCGAGGGAAAGAGCTGCGTCTTCGAATTGGTAGGTACAAATACCGTAACAACGAGGTAAGAACATTCTAGGCGGGCTTCTACCCCGCCATCTTAAGAAAATACTTTAAAGTGGATTTTACTTTTGGTCCGCTCGCACCTCCTTGTTTTTGATTTCTTTATTTATCCTCTCAGGAAACCCGGGGCTGGTCAGCTCGCAGCGAGTCGAGGAGCTCGAAAGCGAGGGGAAGAAGTTCCAGAGGGAGTCCGGGTGTTCCGGGAGACGTTGTTAAAATATTTTCCCTTCCTAGGAGGACTCACGATCGCCCCGGTGGGTCCTGTAGGAGGAGAGGGAGAGGCCGAATATATGTGCATATATTTACGGGCGGAGATCCACGGCGGGGGAAATAATCGAAGAGGATGCCGACGACGACCGCCTCCGAGGGCGTCTTTCTTTCGTCGACCCTCGGGTGAAGAAGTCATTCGTTTTACGCGAGTCCGTTCACCATGGGGCGCCCTTTCGAGTTCCGGGGAAATGGGACAAATTCGAGGAGCAGGAGGCACCGGAGGAGAGGCATTTTGTAGGAAGACTCGCCATAGGAGTGGCCCTCGACCACGGCGTCGATGCCGATTTATGGGGCATTATTTCGCGACAATGGCCCGGGTTGACCGCGGTGCACCGAGAGGGACCATTCTTGGACAAGCCAGGACGAGTCGAGAGGACAATGCCTCCATTCCTCTGTTCCTGGTGGTCGTAGAAAAAAATCTCGTCCGAGGCGATGATCGCGAGGGCTTTGCCGCATCCTTCCGGGATTAATTCCAGACTCGAGGGCATCGATTAATCGACAGGACGTCCAAGCTAGTGAGGAGCAAATTTGATCCCGATCGGGCGACTCGGCAGTTTCGAGCCAAATGCATTTCGGAGCGAGAAATTATAGTCTCGCGTTTGTTCGTCACCGGTCGAGGGGTAATCGGGAGGTTAGGTGTTTTGGGCTCCAGAAAATTCATGAACAGTTCCCGAAGGATCTAGGCCGAACCTGAACCTCGTCCGACGAGGTCTTTAAAATCTGGAACCGTTCTCGGTCCTCCTTCGGCGAGGGCTAATTAATTTTTATAGGCTTCGGCCGAGGGCCTGGAACGACGGGACATCCGAGCCCTCTTCCTCCCGGGCCCTCGAGGAATTCGGACCTCCACCGGTACGCCTCGTTAACGCCGATCAATTTCTGATTAACCTCGGCCGCGCTCCGGAATTTGCGAGCGTTTTTAACGGCCCCTTCGAGCACAATTTATATGATAATCGAGGCTCTCGAGTTTTTCGGCGCGCGAGAGAGTTACGGCGCGACGATGCGTAGAGTTCGAGGCATCTTGCGGCGGCAATGTCGATGTAAACGCGATGCAATTATCATTAGGTGTACGAGTCAATGAAAATCGACTGAGTCGAATAAACGTTAACAACGCGACGAGTTCCTTCATTCGAGTGAAACGACTCGAATAACGAATTTAATAACCACGATTTGAGTAACGACTCGAGTAACTAATAATGCACTCGCTCGTACCGATAACTCGAGTTACGCTAAAAGCGACGCGAGTCGACTCGAGTTTAACGAGTCGAAATCATCGACTCAGCTCCCAAGAAAGATGGAGGACTGGAGTGCCGAGGGTGAAAGAAGTCCCTTGGTCACTTAGGGTCCCCGTAATCTCCAGAGATCTCGCATCCGCCTCCGGCCTCGGTCCGCCCCGGAGTCATAACCACGGGAGCACAATGCCAGACACCGCGACGCCTTTTTATCGGCCATTCTTCCCGGAGCGAGTAATTCCCTCACCGGTGGAGATCGAACGCAACCGACGACTCCTTTCTTCCTATCGCGGGGTCGCCGAAGTCGACTTCTCCTCGATCCACGCTCATACGTAACACACCGTCAAGGAATAACTCCGATTTGGCGATCGCGCCATTTCCTGCTCTTAATATAGCGCCTATCTCCGTGTTTTGTCGCTCCTCTCTCTCCCAGATCGTGGGACCACCGGCCTCGATGATAACGCGTCCGCTTTCGCCGGGCTGCGATAAGCCGTCGTCGAAATCACGAGAAATTGGCGATGAATCAAATGAATTAAATGTGTGATATGAATTACATGAATTAAGTCAAATGCGTTTATCATTTGAATGACACGATTTGCATGTATTATTTGAATATCATGAATTACGGGGAATAAGTCAATAAAACGAATGAAATAAATTAACCAAGTTCATAGAACCGATCCTAACCCCCGGGGCGTTCTCTCCTCCAGTACCAGTCGTCGGTACCGAGATCGGCCGCGGGGGGCGGGGCAGTCGGGCGGCCGGGGGTAGTAGTAGGTGAACCGGACGGTCGGCAGGACCGGGTCGTTGGAGTTCGGGGAGTATTTAAGGGGGGGTCCACCGGCTCGACGAGCCAGTTCTCCGGCCGCACGGCCTTCGAGGTGTCGTTCGCTCTCGGCGCTCCTCGGCCGACGTCTGCCGACCGTCGACGATCCGCGCGGGCCGCGAGTCCCGCGAGTCGCGAGCGCGCCTTCCATTGGTCGAGGCCCGGCGTCACGTGACCCGCGGATCGACCAATCGCGAGGGAGCCCGGCGAGGCCTCAGGTAACTTCGAGCCCCGAGGGTGCCAGGGCCGCATTCGCGGTTTGAACTTCCCGCGAGACGCGCGCCGCTCCTTTCCTCGGAGAGGTCTCTTCCTCTCGATTTTTCGCCGGTATTTCGTTTCATTCCAACGCATTTCGCAATATTTTCGCATTATTTAAATTTCCACTCGAAGGGCTCTTCTCGATCTTTCGCCGGTATTTCAACGGTTTGAATTTCCTGCGAGGACCACGTTACTTGGATTTCCTTTCGAGGGGCTTTTTTTTTCTTGGTCCCTTGTCAGTGTTTTTCGCGTTACTTGGATTTCTTCTCAAAGGACTCTTCTCGACCTTTCACCGGGATTTCGGCGGTTTAAATTTCCCGCGAGATCCGCGATACTTGAATGTCATCTAGGACTCTTTTTCTCGGTTTCTTGCTGGTGGCTCGGGGTGGTTCGGTGGTAGGATGGCGCTCGGACTGCGGACACTCGGGGGAAAATCGCCCTCGAGAGGGACCGATTGTTCCTGCCTGTCACGTGGATGGCTGTGCTTTAAGGGTCGGATTTGAGTCCGCAGTCTGAGCACCCAATGCACCGTGAACGCTCCACGATTCTCGCCGATATGTCCGCGGTTTGTTACTCCACTTGGGCGTCGCTCTCCTTTGCGTAAGTTGCCGCCGAAAGACCCGCGAAAGAGGAAGATCTGACTATTTCAATCCAGTGGTTAATTCCCACCAAGCCCTTCGAGTGCTCGTTACGTTCTACGTAGAATTCCCCACTATTACATCTCTTATTCTCTCCCTTTCGGGAAGCGCTTACTCGTTACAATGTTCCAGTTCGTGGAGGAATAGCGACGGTATTAATCGGTACCGGTAATAATCGCATATACGCTCGGTATCCGGTGTGGCGCAAATAAGACCAATTTCATTGTTGAATCCTATTCCCCGAACCGCGATTTTTCACGGCTTCTAATATTCGGAGTGCAAAGATCAACAGCTCTGTCGTTAACGAAATCGCGACGATATTAATCGCACGATTCGCCGCCTCCCTTGAATCGAACCTTCCTGGAACGATAACTCCCTCGGCATTAACTATAAAGATAAAACGTTACCGAGAAAAATAACTCGATACTTAATAACGAAAGTTCGGTGTCGGGTGGGGCACTGATAAGACCGATTTTTTTATTAAATGCCCGGCCGATCGATCCATTCCCTGAATCGCGATTTCTCACGGTTTCTAATACTCGGAGCGCAAACATCACCAACTCCGCTGTTTATCAAAATCGCGACAATTTATAGTGGAGAACTATTGCTACGATTAATAGTGAAGAACCATCGCTGCGATTTATAGTGGAGAACTATCGCGACGGTTGCGCCAGTTGGAGGAGAAAAGACGTGAAAAAAGAGAAAATAAAGGGAATGGAGGAAAATCGAGAGTAACGAGAATGACGGTGTTGCAGATGTTTCCTGCCGGTGGTGTTGGAAGGCGGGGGTGAAAATCGGAAATCGGTGAAGATCGTGGGAAAAAGAGGCGAGCCCTTCGGAATCGTTGGCCCGATGCTGCTGGCATTGGCGCTGATTCTGGTGGCTTCCCTCGCCGGGGCTCTCCGGCAAGAAAGACCTTTCTTCGGCGCCTCCAATTCCACCGATTACGGATCTTCCGGCGGCGGGACGTCGATAAGGGTCCTGTCGGTAACCAGAGTTCCGCGGGACGGAGAACTGGAGCGTGTCATCGAATTGGAGGGGCTCTGTGCGAAGGAGACAGTCGTCGACTGGGGGTACGTCCGAGTCTCATTCCAGGGACACCGATTTCCTCCACTCTGCCATTCCCGAATTTCTCCCCAAACCGTCCACCTAAAAAGACGATTGAACTTGTGCATCATTAGGAAAATCATGCAACTAAATGTATGGATTAATCGCAACGATTTGTCATTCCCCGTGGCAATAACGTCGGTGTTAAGTGCCTCCGAGACTTCGTCGAATTCCTCGAGGAATCTGGCTTGATTTAACATTTTTTCGGTGTTTTTACCGTGGCGGAGGGAGTTGCCGGGCTGAGATAATTTTTTTTTTTTTCCCTTGATCTTCGAGATTTTTATCGCAACCAGGAAAATAGCAGGACCAGGGTCACGGGGTCCTAGAGGGTCTTGGGGAAAAGGGTTCCCCTGGTCGCGGGTCGCGTGCAGGAATGCGCAGGGGGTCCTCGAAAAAACAATCGCATCGACCGGGAGGCCGGTGGTGACCGCTTAAGCCGACCGAGGTTTTAAGCCGGAAAGCTTCGAGTTAAGTAAGCAAAGATTAGGATCGACGAGCGAGGCCGTGGGTCCAGGGGTGCGGAGGCTGCGCCTCATCTGTCGGGACTCTCACGAGGATACGAGCGGGACCTCCGCGACCGCGGACCCTCGGATTGCACTTAACTCCATTTTTGCCCTTTCTTTTCCAATAGGAGGAGAGAGACCGAGACCTCCGAAACCGCGGACCGAGATTTGCACTTATCTCTCGGTGGTGGTGCGCGAGATCTCACGATCGAACCGCCCTTTTACTCCTTCCCAAGCAAAAAAATGTCGAGCAGAACGAACGAAGAGTAGAAACGCGATCGGTCGAATATTTCGACTCGATGGGCTCGAACGGATCGAATCTACTCGAGATAAATCGGCGCGAATGCGAGCTACAAGGACGAGGATGAGATCAAAATCGAATATTCGCTTGCTAGAGTCGACAAGGTTTTCGAATTCGAGAATCGAGAGTCGATAAATGACTCGACTCGTCGCCTCGCTACCTTGAGAAAGTAAGAATCATAGCCTCGAAAAAAAAATATCCTGCCGATTCGAAGAATAATTATTTTACTCGAACTAACTGAAATTAATTGCCACGATTCCCAGGAAACGTTGCATCCCTTTCAATTGAGTTCATTCGAGTGAAATCATTGTTCCTTTAATTAAGATAATATTTATCCGGTTCGATGAAATTTTTCTCTCGGTGTAGGGAACGCAATCCTCGTTTCGCGGTTTAATCTCGCTCGTACAGACAACGATACGTTCTCGCATTTTCGACGATAAAGCCAATTAGGGATTTACAGACATTGCAACCCGAGCTACGATATTTATACGCCGATTTGTTCATTTTCGTTAGAGCCATCTGTCGACACTATTGTCCGCGACCCCGGAGCCGACGTCGACCTGATACGCGACCCTCGATTATCGCAATTTCTTTGGTCCCCGACTGTTCGAGGTTATTCGGAATCTCGCACTTGGCCTCGAGGAAACGGTTATCGAGAGGTTGCGCCGGTGATGTAATCGTAATCCGCGTTAATGTAACGTCGGTACGTGATTCCCTGTATTTTCGTCGCATAGCTACTCACCGAGTCCCGAATCGACACGTAATTCTAACCGGTGATAACGACGAAATCCGGCGTCGAACGGGAATTCAATTACCGGGGAAACTTATTACACGTACGTACAATGTTTCCGGCAAGGTCGAGTCATGATTCCGCGAAAGCGAGAGATCTCACGATAGCGCCGCCAAAACTGCAGGGAGAGTCGTTATCGGCCAGGAGATAAGAAGAGGCGTCGATCCGGGAATAATTGCCGATTCGGGGAGGCCACGTAGTCGGCTAGATGACGTACTTAATCTTCCGTGAATGATTATCGACGACGCGGGCGCCGATGGCGGAAGAGCCGCGAAGCGTGATAGATGAGCCCGGACAATCTCGATCTTTCGACCGAGTACCCGGCTGTGGGGCTCCTAATGATATTTCAGGGTTGTGCACGCCTGCAGGAAATTCTATAAAAATTGAAAATGTATTAATATCACCAAAATCAAGGACTCATACCTGTCCGTCGCTCCGGGTACATCGCAAAACTTATCAGAACCCGCCGACATGACTTGCGTATGCTGTTAAAGAAAAAATATACTGTAACGAGATTATTATTTTTTTAGGGGGTTTATCATAAATGTATACTTACAGGTGAGGCGTGAAATTTATCATTTCACCCCTCGTGCCGAAGGTGCATGTATTTTATGAATAGTTTTAACCATGATTTTCGTATATCGAACGATGCGAGCACTACTCGCGGAAAATAAGGAAACTCCAATCCCGCATGACCAAAACATTTCACACCTACGTAAATTACCTAAAATGCTTTTAATCTTGTAATCAAGGTACGCAAAACGATAATCCGCGCGTGATATAAGGAATGTTTTAACTGTACGCATTCACCTGAGGACTTTGAGGACAAAAATGGACGGCTTTCCGTAATTTCCAGGGAAACCGAGATCACCTTGAGGGAGGTCTGGTTGGAGGGGAGGCGAGAGAAACTGCAGTTCATCTATCAGGACGGCATCGCGTCGGATTGCGTCTTCGGCGCGTTCTCCGGGTCCGAGGAGGACGCGTGCCCCGCCATTTTCCAAGATGGCGGCCGGGGGAGCGTCCACGCTCGGGTCGAAATTTCGGAGCGGGGAAACCCGCGGTCGGCCGCCGAGCTCTCCTGGCTCTCGCCGCCGGCGGAACTGCGTCATCGATGCGACCACGTGAGGTCACGTGCGCGCAATCTAGTTACCCAGCAGCATCGTCACAGGTGAGTTGCCCCGCTAATTACTCTCCAGCGTCCGTGGCCGGTAATGCTCGGCGGCGCCGTAAACGTCGCGCCTAAGTGAATCCCGCGCGGTTGGGGGCCCTCGTGGGCGCCTTTTGTTTTTCCATGCGCCTTGTCCTTCCGACGGTAAAAAAAAAAATAATAATGCACCTTACGAATTGAAACCACGATCGTAATCATGCAAATCGACCGTCACAACCCATGAACAAGGTGCTTGGTTTAATATAGAGGTATTAAAAAGGAAAATCCACGAAAATTCGTTATCAATCCCAGCGAGCGTTTGTTTTTCCATGCGCCTTGTCTTTCCGACGGTAAAAAAAATAATAATACACCTTACGAATTAAAACCACGATCGTAATCATGCAAATCGACCGTCACAACCCATGAACAAGGTGCTCGGTTTAATATAGAGGTATTAAAAAGGAAAATCCACGAAAAATTCTTTATCAATCCCGGCGAGCGTTTGTTTTCCTATGCGCCTTGTCCTTCCGACGGTAAAAAAAAAATAATAATGCACCTTACGAATTGAAACTACGATCGTAATCATGCAAATCGACCGTCACAATCCATGGACAAGGTGCTCGGTTTAATATAGAGGTATAAAAAAGAAAAATCCACGGAAATTCGTTATCAATCCCGGCGAGCGTATCGACCTCGGGAGGATCCATCGCCGGTAAAAGAGTTAACCCCTGTAATGGACAAGGGGGTCTTTAGCGACCCATTTTTCGGGGAAATCGAGTTACCGCCGGGGTGCGCGGGATTATTCTACTACTTTCACAGCTTATATACCGAAATACGCTCAGAGGCCATCGAATAGTTCCCCCATTTATCCGAAATTCCCTTGATAGCGAGATTAAGTGCAGCGATCGTCGACCGGCTCGACCCTAAATGACAATTACCGTACTATGGTTGGTACTAATCCTTATTTTCCGTTCTCTGGTACCAGAGGGAGGCGTTTACGCTTCCGTACGCGGAATGGAATACTTAGAGTACTTTGAATTATTTCCTAAATCTATTCGGCACTCTTAATGGGTCTCGGTTTACTGAATAATTGGACTTGAATAATCGCTCGGCATTATCGCAGGGACCATCGGAGGCTGGTTGGCGATCATCGGGGATCTAGAAGAAGGCGACAGGGTCGCAGTCGGCGGCGGAGGGAACTTCTTTTGATCCCTGGGACCCAGTGGTGTGGCCGAGGACATCGGGCAACGAAATACACGAATCTCGGCGGTTTCGGCACGGCCGATGCTTGCTGTCGTCGACATGACACCGCCTGTCCTTTCTACATTCCTGCCTTCGAGACGCGTTATGGCCTCTTCAATTGGGGCATCTCGACGATCATGCACTGCGCCTGCGACGAGCGGTACAGCCCTTTCTTCTGGTTATTTATGAAAAGCAAAAGAAAAAATTCAATTAGAGTACGTCGCTCGCGCACTACATACGCATTTACGTTCGAGATGAAGGTCTCTTCCGGCAGGCAGGATGACACGTGGTCGATATCCCTTCCTTTCTATAAACACACGTGAATAATGAACGTTTAATTGTTATTGCCTCGCTATGATCATGCCGTAGGGTAAACTCTGTACGGGATACGTTGGAAATCAGGGCAGAGTACTTTGAGCTCGGTTTATTCGCACTGTCTTGTTCTGGCTCGATGCAAATGATTTATTTGCGTTCGCAGGTTTAGGACGTGCCTGAAGATGGCTGGCACCTCTTCGGCCAACTTCATCGGGAAGATCTTCTTCAACGTCGTTCAGACCAAGTGCTTCGTCTTGAAGCCGCAGAAGGTATGCGCGAGGAGAACCTGGTGGGGATCCTGCGAAAAGCATGAGTATCGCAAGCAAGCTCATCTTCGAGATAACGTAGCTTATTAATTGATAAATATATGTTTAGACTGCCGAGAGGGCTCGAGAGCACTGCGGGAATAGCGCTGCAAAATGATCGATTCAAGTACTTATTATGTAATGAGAATTAAAGTAGGACGTACGTAGCGTCGAGGACATTATTCGACAATACTGGAGCAATATTGCGATTAACCGATTACGATATCCGACAATGCCCACGAGTGGTTATCTCGGCGTTGCGCCACGAATTAGCATGTACGCGTGTTATTCAGGGTAACAACCATTCGGTGTGACAATTCTCTAATGCGTCTCGTCTGATGGCATTGGACTTCATCATTGATTTAATGTTAAGCGAAAAGGAAAAAGGTAGTCCTATTCAGCCTGCGAGGCGTGAATATTGTGATCGTACTTTCCAGTGAACATCTATGAGTTTAGACTCGAATTAATTAATTTATATATATATATGTCTTATAAAATTTATACGATATCGAACATTTTATAATTGCCAATTGTAATGTTCGTGGAGGGCTCAGTTGTATGAGCCCTTCTCATGAATCTTACGTACAGTCGATAATTGTTTGTTACCAAAGAATTACATGGAATTAAGGTACCAAGTATTTAAACGTCTTATTGTACACGTGTGAGGCGACTTGACTCCAGGGACTCTTTCGAAAAATCATGAATTTCCGTGACTTCGTCGGGAATGCGCCAAGTTTTGCGCTATTCCAATAGTTCGGAAAAAGCAAGCTTTTTATTAGAGACGAAAATGAATCGAATAGACGCGTAGGTTACTAGTGATGTAAATAGACTAGTGCATATGATTATAGATTACAGATATGTATATTGGTATTCCAACTTCAGACATTCCTAAATCGGCCGCACTTGACTGTAATTGTTCACTGTCCGAGATAATTTATTTCGAAGAATTCTTAAATTTACTTCCTTTATGAACGTTAATATTGAATTCGACTTTTCATCTCAAAAATATGTGCGTCGCTACACGCTTTTGTATATATGTAAAATAATGTATAACGAAAGAGCTTTGTGACTAAAGTCAATTTTAATATATCGAGTGATTAAAGAGATTAGTTGTAAGTTTGAAAATTGGCGGGGATCCCGCGCTCCCTGATTGGCTCGTTGCCGCGAGTGACGGATTGGAGTTGCCATGGTTACCGCTTGGCGCGGTATGCAAGGAAACTGTTATCTTCACGCGGTCAGAAATAAAGAATAAATAACAAGCTGTACTTGTAATATTTCTTCCATTCATGACACTGTCGAGTCTGCTAACTTATATGGAATGGTTATTTCAAGTTTAGGTAAGATTTACATGTCGCGGGAGTCTACAAATCGAACGAAAATCTGCATTATCTCAAGAGTTAAATCGACGGTGCATGAACGTCTACGTATAGCAATTGAAAATGTTAAAAGGACAAATTTTATGCACTCCAAAAGAACTGGACCTGGGAATTACCTTAAATGGAGGCCAGAGTTTCAGGTAAGTGCCTGGAAATGTGAAAACATAGATACGTATCATTTTGTAACGCGTGTTAAGAATCTAACCTAAAAAGTGATGCCTCGTTCTTGTTTATTTATTAGTACTTCATTTACAGGTGGCTCCCAACTGACGATAGGAAACAGTATCGCGGTGTTTTTAAAGAATATGTTTGGACCCTCTCTCAGGATGAGGCCTATCTCCATTATGCGGTACATAATCCGTCGAATAAAGGCACAAATTATGTTAGCATTCTCTCAAACTATTTCCGACTTGACACTTCGTTAGAAAAGAATCTGAAAAAATGGAGGTCATCGGACTCAAATTTTCAGAAATTATGTGAAAACATTGCAGGTGTCAGAATTCTTGATCAAGATGTGGTCGAAAACTTGTTTTCCTTTATCTGCAGTTCAAACAATAATATTAATAGGTAATTCTTCCATGAAATTAGTTTGGATAATAAATCGTATTTTTAAAACTCAATTAAATGTTTATAACCTGTTCTTTTTATATCTGAAATATTTAAATCATGGTTTGTTAAATTACAGGATATCAGGTATGATCGAGAAACTATGCAGGTTCTTTGGTGAAAAATTATGTGACATTGACGGGATTGAATATTTTAACTTCCCGTCTATCAAGGCATTGATGGAACCTGAAGTGGAAGGTACCCTAAGAAAACAAGGTTTTGGTTATCGAGCTGCATATGTGGCAAACACTGCAAAACATTTAGACAAGCTTGGGGGACGTTCGTGGTTACTAGAACTTCACAAAGACAACAATGCAACTTATCAAGAAGCTCGAGCCAAGTTAATGACTCTTCCAGGAGTTGGACCTAAAGTAGCCGATTGTATTTGTTTAATGTCATTGGGTCATCTAGAAGCTATTCCAGTGGACACTCATATATTTCAAATTGCTCAAAAATACTACATGCCTCAATTAGTAAAACAAAAAACAGTGACTCCAAAAATACACGGAGAAGTGAGTGAACACCTACGTGAATTATGGGGTCCTTTAGCAGGTTGGGCTCAAGCAGTTGTCTTCTGCGCTAAAATAAACAATAGTGATATAACACTGAAAAATCGAAAACGTCCTAAACCTGATAACAGCAAGACTCAATCAAATAGTAAAAAAAAACAGTGACCCATGTAATTAACTTAGCTGTAATCAAAAGATATTTTATCAATCATAACTTATAATTATCATTCACAGTACACCGAGTGTTTCTTTTTTAAATTTATTTAATAACAAATAGCTTGCCATATTTTAAAATGGTAAATGAAAGTCATCGAAGAGATCATTACAGAGATATTAGATTATTTAGGAGTAAAAAAGGCGAACTCGATACAACTTGTACTCTTGAGGCTGGCTCTTGTAAATACATGATTATGCAAAGTTACAAGTAATATTCTATTTTCATATCGACATCGACTATTGGAATGAGGTATCACAAGCATACCCTAAAGAAAGTACATGTAAAGATATCCTGGAATTGAGATAATAATTACTATAAAAAATGTGTAGACTACTAAGAAATTGAATAAATAGTTTCTAGTTAATCCGTTAAGTGTCATACATGACATCCTAACCCAATTTGGCTAATTTAGAGAACAGATTAAATAATCTGCCTGCATCGCTGATCTGTCTACTGAATAGATTGACACTCTAAATTTAAACATTTATTTTTAACGGACAGGATTGTTCAATTTGTTGTCTAAATAAAATGAAATCAGATATATAAAGGCATTTTATATTATTAATGGACGTGTACCACTGAGAATACTCAATTCTCATAGTAGTTTCAGCCTTTTCTTCTTGGAGAATCCAACTAAAGCATAGTCAAATTCGTCGAGAATAGTGAATAGTTCTGCTGGCTGGTCTTCATCATCATCTGTTTAAAAAAGTGTAAAATTGGTACATTTAATTATAGCTGAAAATATTAATTTTACGTGGTTTCTGTAGATTAAAGATAAATGCAATGACAACATACCATCATCCCGCTTCAGTACTTCAGCGAAAACACACTCTGTAAGATACCTTAACGCAGGAAATTCAGCTGCTAGGTATGCTTTCTGCATAGGTCTCAGTGCTGATAAACAATCCATTTGAAGTGATGCTGGTATCGAAGTACTGTACGTTACTCTTATTTTACTTTTGGCAGCAGTGGAACTTATCATCGGATACAATTCCAAGCCTCTTAGGCCAGTAAATGCAATTCCTAAATGATAAAATTCAGTAATTAAATTGAATCCAAAAGCATCTGAATCAATGAAATACCAATATTAAAGCATTACTTACCAAGTGGCTTTCTGTCTAAAAAGAACTGTAATGTGCCCCTCCAGGTATCTAAGTGTACTCCAACTATACTGCCTTGACCAAAACCAGGAGGATAATCTTGTTGCTGCCCGTCATGTTGAAGATACCCTCTGTAAGAGAATCCCCAAGACTCGCTATTGCTGCCTAGCAGCGAGCAAAATTTAAATTGATTACCATGCAAGTCTACTTTTTTTGTCCCAACTCCTACCATCTGTCAAACAATTGAAGAAATTTGTATTAAAATCAGATTGATAACTGTAATCAAAAACCACACCTTTACAATAGCCTGAGACTTACTACATCGGTACCGTACACGCGTGTCATCATTTTAATTTCCCAATAATGGTGATGTCCTGGTTGCATAGATTTATCAGCCCTTACCACAGCGGTGCCATTGCTGAATCCAGGATGAAAGTTTACTTCCAGATTCTGATGAGACAACTTTGCAGAATTGGAAATGAGACTCTCGTCCCAAGTCCATTCCCGTGCTAGATAATCACCGTTAATGTTGATTATAAATAATTAGGTCATTGCACAATTATTTGCGTCAATATATACGACTAGGAAAAGAAACTAACGCAAGAGAAATTTCTCAATTCTATAAATAAGTCATGATTGGATATAAAAAAGTAAAGTTCAGGAAGACTTCATTGGGTAGCGATTCGGATTTCGACAAGTATATTTTTTCCAAGCAAGTAGAATTTCAAGTATTACCTCTTCTCTGGCAGTGACAGTCTTTCCCCAAGCTCGTACACAACTTATTGTTATTCGAAACCGTTTCAGGTTCGTAGTCAAGGTACATTTTGTACTTATTAAAAAAACTTGTTCAAAGTTCGATCATTCACTGTTGTTCACTGTCCACGGTGCACTCGAGAAGCGTACCACTATTTATAAAGCGGATTAAAGGTACTAGAAATTTCTGGAACTCACTTACCAACATGGCGGAAAAGATGGTTCGCCAACTGCTTTCACCATATACGGTAAAAAGAACTAAACGGCCTCCGGCCACCTCAGGTGCGTTCCAAAATCAAAAGGAACTGTACCCCTTTGTGTAACCCTCCGCTAATGCCGACCAATAGAATTCTCTGGCAAATTTGATTGGATGAATTCTAGAGAAGAAACGAGGACATAAATCTAGGAAAATAAACGCTAAAACGGTCTATGATTGGTTTCATCGGTTTATTCGTGATTACATTCCATATTATATTAATACGAATGCATGAAATAGGCCAATCAAACGAGAATTTGTATTTTTACTCGACAGTACTAACCTCACTTTTTGAAACGTGACATTTCTCGAAAGATTTCGGTTTGCGATTTGCTCGAGCATTTCTCACGATTTTTCTTCTCGAGGGCTGTTCTTTTTATCGTCTGCTCTTCGCATCCCTTCGATTTCGTACATTTTGACAGGGTTTTTACAGTACGGTACAACAAGGTGGGTTACTGTTATGCAATGTAAATGTTAACGCACGTTAGATGGGTATGGTAATGTGACAGGATTTTGATCGTCCGAGGACGATCGGCAAGTTTGCTGTCGTCGAATTTTTCACAGAAAATATTGGAGGAGAAAGCTACGTTTCAGTTCTGTGTTGTGTGTAATAACAATTATGTGCTACGAATTCCGGATAAGGACCGGTTAACAATCATTCATGAAATAATTTATCATGATATTTATTTTGTACTCGACGACGAGATTTTGTCGAAACGTGCCATGTCTACCTCTCTCCAAGATAATAACCACAACGGTAGGTATAACAATTAACCCTCCAAGTTGCAAGTGATCGTTATTAAATTAAAATTGTTACGTGTTCGCTTTTATAGTATTCTGCAAAGGCAGCCCAAGCTGTGAAGAAGATTCCTCAAACTTTGGAATCGCCGTGTCTGACAATTGGGGAAAAATTCCAACCCTGTGTTGTGACAACCGATCTACCACCTTCAAACTTAAGAAAAGGACATCTTGAAACATCGAGATGTGCTACTCTTGCACAAGTCGATAGCATAACAATTGGTAACGATAAGGTCAAGCGGAAACAGCTGGTTCAAGAATCAGAATGGAGACCTATGATATTAGATTTTACAAAACTTCACAAATACTGCCTTATGCTGTCGAAGATAAGGTTAACATGTAAGTTAAATTATTGACCCTTCAGTATATAACATTGTAAACTAGTGGCTTTTAACAAGATATTACATAACGTTTGGCAAAGTACTTTTTTTTTTAACTGCAAAGCAATGATTGATAACATGATTTTGGTGGTTGGTTTTAAAGAATAACACAGTCGTTAAGACCTGCCTCATTAACTGATGAATGCTCAACGTGTATAAATTGCAGCATTGGTAGTCATTACAACAATGGGAGGCTATGCTTTGGCACCAGCACCATTTGACCTATATACTTTTATCATGTGCTCTGTTGGAACGGGCTTGGTCTCTGCGACGGCAAATACAATAAATCAGTTCTTTGAAATTCCATTCGATGCCCAAATGTCCAGAACTAAGAATAGAGTACTAGTTCGTGGTTACCTCACGTAAGTATATTTTTTTTTAATATAAATTAGTCACGTAAAACAATGTCAAGATCCTTCTTTCTACAGGCCTGCAGAAGCAGTGTCGTTTGCTGTGATCTCTGGAGTTCTAGGCCTGTCGACCCTTTACTATCAAGTAAATGGGGTAACAGCAGCTTTAGGTGCAGCGAATTTAATTCTGTACACAGTTATTTATACACCACTAAAACGAATCAGTATTCTTAATACTTGGGTTGGCTCCATTGGTAAGTATTTTTCGGCCTATCTTTCAAATTGCATATAACTTATAAAATCTGGATTGCAGTTGGAGCTATTCCACCGTTAATGGGTTGGGCAGGTTGTGCCGGAGATATTTTATCGCCCGGTGCTTGGATTATGTCAGGTATGCTCTATGCCTGGCAGTTTCCACATTTTAATGCTCTTTCGTGGAATCTAAGGCCAGACTATTCCCGAGCTGGCTACAGAATGATGGCAGTCACCGATCCTGGACTTTGTCGAAGGACTGCTTTGAGGTACACCGCAATACTCATGGGCCTTTCGTACCTGGCACCAGTTCTGGATGTCACCAACTTTTGGTTTGCTGTAGCCTCCACGCCCTTGAACGCCTACTTTTTATACCTTGGTATGTAAACGTAATTTTAAAAATATCAGTGATAATACAGTCTATCGTCTTTCCAACAGCGTGGCGGTTTAATCGAAATTCTGACAGTGCGAGTTCGCGAAAACTGTTTCGGTTCTCGTTGGTTCACTTGCCGGCATTAATGGTGCTAATGTTGCTGAGTAAAAAGTATTGGACAGACGGAAAGGAAAAGGTCGACAACGTCCCCACTAGCGAAGTACATCAACAAACGAGTTTTTCGACGATATTTCCTACTCTATCTGCCCCGACGTCCGCTTCTATCTAGACTGTGAATTGTGATAGGATCAAAATGACCATAGATTCGGTCAACGAAGCGTTCGCGAGAAAACGAAACGATTACCGGAGTATCGTTCACACTTTGTAAATCTGTAATATAATTTTAGTCGAATGTCTTTGCAATAAATGATGCCTTGTAAATATTACGAGACAGTTTGAGCAATCAATTTTTATTATTTCTCCTCAATCTCAAATTTCCATTACCTCGGGTCACCCTGTATCGATTAAGTTAAAGCGAACCATTGGCTTGAAATATGTTTCGAAGCCTATTGATCATGGTGTGATATCATTTGAAGGAAAACGGAGAGTGGATTAAACGCCTTTCATTTCAATTAATTACTTACATAATTATGTACACACAAATGACGTCATTTTACACCCACGTCGTCCTTTCGTTTACTGGCGAATTCAATCGCCATTTGTCTCCTAGTTTTCGTGAGATTTCTGTGACCAGCGCAATCTAAATTTTCCGTAAAACACTTGTTCCTACAGCACTGCCGACATAATTTGTACTCGCACTTGAAGCCCTGAAATCATTAACATTATTCTAACACGATTGAAAGAACACCTCTCAGATTCACGGATTCCACATAAATTCCAACGCGTGCTAAGCTTAAAGTAATTGGTAACATTTCAAAGAATAAAAATAAAATTAACGGTGCATTATCGAGTACTGACCAAAGGATTGGGACAATTATTGCACAAGTCCGATCCTCTTTTCGTGGACACTGCCGGTCTGATAGGCCTTCGTGAAATACGCCTGAGTTTCTTCATTCGTTTACGTGAAATCGGATTTCCATCCTCATCCGTTATTTTCCTTTTGACGGGGGTATTCTTTCGTCAGAAGCATATAACACGTTAACGTTCTCTTCGAAATTAATGTTTCAATTTGTTGAACGTTAAGAGACTTACCGATTCGATTTTTTTCGCTTCCACCTTGCTAAGGTGATCCTCGGGCGAGTCACGAACGTACGGCTGACACAGCCACGGAGGTAACTCTAAATTATAATCTGAAACGTGTTGCGAAGCATGAAGAATGGCTTTCAAACATGTAAACGACAGTTGTAGTCTACCAACCGTTCTTTTCTTCTTGCCATATTAAACGACCTTCGTAATATGGTAGGTACCGTTCCTTAAGAGCATTGACAACTTTTCTGAAGGACTCAATCGTCGAACTCCTGGCCAGTTGAGATCTTTGTTCCGCATTCTCAGCTAAACAAAGTCTGCTCTAGTGTTAAGAGTACGCTACACAAGTGCCTCAGCAGGTTGCTCAAATAATAATAATAATAACAATAATAATTTAAAATTCTGAATGAGATTGAAAGATCGACAAAAGAAAAATTATAAGACCCAAGAAGAGGATTTTGGTAGAGCTTACGTGTGTTGGAATAATTTGAACAGGTGGCCTCTTATGTAAGAAGATGGTGCTGGATATCGTTCCAGCAGTTCCAAATATTCTAACGCAGGCTCCCAACTAGGTGGATAACGACCTTCGAATATGTAAGGATTGTACAGATTCCCTTCCGCTGACATTACTCCTTGGACTCCGGTCTCTGCGATGCATCGATCCACATCTTGAACACACTGTATGTTGCCATTGGCAAAAACAGGTATCTTGACAGATTCCCTAGAGACAAATAAAAGAATTTTTTAAATTCACTCAAGCCGCAATTTATGAATTCAAATCCGTTCAAACATTTATTCTATATTTATTAAACTTCCTACCGAACTGCTTTAATGTGAGTCCAGGATGCTAAGCCGGTCAATGGTCCTTTTTGCTCCCTGGTTCGACCATGCACCGTTAATATACTTGCTCCAGATGCTTCCAACATACGCGCATACTCAACGGTCTTCGAGATCTCCGAGAAAACCCTCAATTTACAGGTAACTGGTACACGAAGTTGTCGACTCATGGATGACACTGCGAATAATAAAAAATACGTATCAAATTGTTTAAAACTTTAGTTCGAAATGTTTCATGGACTGGGTTTAACTGTCCTACCAATTCTTCGGAGAAGGTCCCAATCGTCTTGTAAAAACGCTCCATAATGGCCACGTTTTGCTATGGCTTGCGGACAGCCTAAGTTTATGTCAATGGCATCGCAGTGAGATTGAGCTAACAGTGCAGCCTCCACAAATGTGTCTGGATCGTTCCCACAAAACTGAAAATAAAGTATCCGTGTACTGCGCTGTCTCATTTAAATTGTATTCAAAAAAAAAAAATACTTGTAGAATGATTTCTCAATTTACCTGTACAATAAGAGGACGATCCTCCATAGTGCTTGCCAGGGCTTCCTTCCTGTACTTTGGGTCTCTACAGAACACCGAGGAGTGCAGCATTGGTGTGTAACAGAGCTCAGCTCCGTGGCGTCTGCTAAGCAATCTCCAAGCCAGCTCACTGGCATCAACCATCGGTGCCACCACATACTTCGGTGACTTCAGTATTTCCTTCCACAGTTCGACACCCTTCGAGTCCTCCTTAGGCTTTTCCTCTATTGAGTTAATGCACTCCACCATCTGAAAAACACATAATAAATTAGATACCGAATTTCTTCTCTTGACAGAATAACGAGCAAGATAGAAGACCGAGGGAAGGAGGGTAGGTTAGGTTTACGAGCACGAATCGCGTGTCTTGCGGTGATTATGTCGCACGAAGGGCCTCCCTTCATTCCTCTGATTCCTCTACACTGAAACGAAACGCCGGAGCAGGAAATATGCCCCCTCACCGAGCAATTTTCTCCTCGTACCACTGCGTACCATGTCTTTCATTGACATTTAAACAGGCAGCGGAACTATGAAACTAAACTCTACGATCAGGAAGTCTCGAATAACTTCTAAATTGCAGACATCGCGGAAGGGTAAAGACCTTCCCGGTTTCCGCGTCCGAGTTTATTGCGTGGTTTCACGAAAACACGTTACATTAGTCTCGTTGGATTCATTTTTTCATCGCTCAAAAAATCAATTACGAATATATATTTATATATATATGTATATGTACATATAAAATTATGAGAAATAGTACGTATCACTTTGTAACGATAACTGGAACGTCGCACATTCCAGGTTGCACGCGGTGAATCACAAATCGTGCACGGCGAGCAAAGAATCGCCCTTATCAAAAAATCAGGGCTATAGTCGCTTTCCATAAAAAACGGAATGAAACATCAGAGGCAAGTCTTTTTTTTAACTGGACGCGTTAATTTTAGATAACGTACGCATTGAAATCGAGACTCCGAAAAGTAATTTCTCCTAACCTACGCGGTTACTTGCTACTTTCAATTTTTACCGTACAAAATCGTAAAGGAATCGCCTCCTCCGAAAGTTAGAGCAAGGTCGCGAACACAAATCTATCTTGACTAGATATTTCGTTAATGCAGGTAACGCACATAATACTGAAAATATTAAAGTAGTTCTTACTCTAGTCTAATTACGTAAATATTTCTAACCTCTCACTATAGGTAACAATAAGATTGGAAACATAATGTTTTCGAGATCTCAAAAGTGGTATATCGAAGATTTAAATTCAGTTGCAAGAACCATTGTTAATCTTATCGATTAGAAAGACCATACAACGCTGCAATGCCCTGGGCAAATTTGCACTGGACGGTGTGAGAGTTGGATCTCATAATTAATTCAGACAATAACTTAACAACCATTTCATTCGATTTGGCATTCTGTAGCACCTTGGAATATTCAACAAAGCATTTCTGTCTAATGAAACAGAAACCATTGAATCAGCCATTCATATTCCTCTGCACCATAAGAAGAACACTTTTTAAAAATATAAATTATAGAAAAACATGCCATGGAATTATTGACATTTATAAAGTACTCTCGACAATGGTGTGCACTTAAAGCTTCGTTTTCCAACTGTTGCTCTTAAATTATACAAGTAGCTGAATAAATTATAACAATCTACTAAATTGTTTACTGTACGAAGATAACTAGTGTCTATATTTATAGTCGACGTTTAAAGTTGAACAAATATTAAACGACTCCTATACCATGTAGATTAATTCACGTATACGAAGTGTGGACCACCATGAAAAATATAACGCAACCGAGTATGGTCCAGTGGCCGATCTAAACGAGTAAGTAAGAAACAGAACAAAATACGAGTGCCTACATCTGACTCATGCTTTGCTACTGTACATCAGTCTTGCGAAGGTGGAAACGCAAAGTGGTTCAACCGAGGCGGAGAACGTGGCGAGGCTGGTTTAGACAGCTCCGATTCTGGAATTGGAGACAGCTGAGCAGACTGTGTGATGTGAGAGCCAACTTTAAACCTGGGTCGTTTTCGAAACGAGGTTCTTCTTACTCGCAGTGGTGGTTGACTACGTTTGGGAACCATAGAACCAGGGAAAGGATATGATGAGTTGGATCCTTCTTCACCAACTTGTTTAGAATGCTGCCGAGGTGGTAAAGATAGAGGTGGCAGCTTCGGTGGAGCTTTGAGGCGCACCAGAGACTCTTCTGTTGTGTCAACTGACACGCATTGCAAAGGTTCATCCTTAGTATCTTTTATGCTCTCATCACTGGTAGTCGGGTTTACTTTGTTTTTCCGAGCTCGATTAGCATCGATGCCCAATGAACGCTGGCGCGCATTTTTTCTTAGCCTCAATCGAAGGAATGTCCGTATTCTCTTCATTGTATTGCATGACTTTGCCGTACTCTTTTCATTTTCTCCTTCCACAGTGCACCGTTTTCGTCGTTTAGCATGTTTATCCTGGATACTCGTGGAAGATGGACCAACGATAGAGAAGCAACAAGAAACTGGCGATGGCGTCGATGGCTTAAATTCCACAGTCTCATGTGTGTGTTCAACTTCTCCGATAATAGTTTGTGATGACAACTCTATAGAAGTCTCGTTGGCACGTGATTCGTACGAAAAATATAAGCGAAAGTTTCTTCTGTCCCTCCCACCCTCGTCATTTTTATTGTTTTCATCGGTTCGTCTGCCATGCGTCGAGCAAATGTAGACATTTCTCATTTCTACTTTGGTATGCTCGTCAGAGGGAGCAGACTCGCAGAAACGATATCGCACAGGTAGATCATCTTTGTCTTTATGAAAAGACGAGCAGGTAGTACCAGCACCGTCTCTAGTGATGGCCACTGCATTCAGTGTTTCTTTCTCTCTCTTTTTGCGCACATATTCATATGTCGTCAATCCCAAACAAGCAATGTACCCATGGAAAAAGCAAAGATGAACCAGTAAAATTGCAGCAATAGCAGAAAGCACTCCCAAGACCGAGATCACGATCAGTGACCCAGTACCTGGCAGTGGTATCATTGGCAGAGTAATATTTTCCATCGTAGCATTAAACGTCGCCGCAGATCCCGACTGTATTCCTGTTACAGCAAGTTCTGCAATAGATATCCCGACCACTATTATCGCAGCAATCGATGCTGAACTCAAACAAGCCAAGAAAGCGGAATAATTCCTGTGACCCACACAATTGTTAAGCCACTTGCAATGGTGATCGAAGCCTGGTATGCACTTGTTGCAGACCGAGCAATGTTTGGTCCTCTTACTATCGATCGTTATATTACACAGGTGACACCGGCCGTTCTCGATAACATGAGTGTGCTTGGTACGATCGAACTCTGGCACGATATCCACGGCTGGTCGGGCTCTGACTCGTGGATCTGCCGGATCCAACAGGAGCGCCGTCAAATGCGACGCCAAATGAACCACAAGGATAATTGTTACCACGCAGGACAAAGGCTTCCGAAGACATGGACTGAGCAATGGTATCAGCACTGCATAAGTGCCTGCTGCAACACCACACAGGACAAACCAGCCGACCACTTGTTGGGGATGTAGCGGCAGCTGGAGCCCATGCACCCTCCTGTGACTTCTCCTTTCCGGTGGCACAAGGGTGTCTTGTAGAGAGCAGCAACGTGAAATCTTGCCGGTAGCGATTCGCATAACGACCGGCTCTTGACATATCGCCAGCACAGTTTTTCTTGGCGATCAGTGCGAAAACCGCTTCTCCTCGGGATCATCAGTGGACGGAGGCACGGGCAGGCGACGTTTGACACGTCCGACCGAGACTAATTCAGAGAAGCCGCACGGCGCCAGATATAGCCAGCGAACCCACGCCCTGCACCCTCGGAATCGATAATGGCATGGCAACCATAACCTGAAAATATTCTCATACATACGTGACCTCGCGGACGCGCAGCGCGCTGACAGGTCTACTTACGTGCCATTCACTCGATCTCGCCTCCCGGGTTACCACGCGTCGCCCAACTTAAACGATCCCGCAATCGCATGGTTCCCCGACCTCGAGAAATCCATAAAATAATTATTCGATTCCACCCTCTTCCGGACCCCTTCCCGGCAGCCTAGGGCGGGCTCCATTGTTGCGCGTTCAAATTTCGCATATGCGCACGTGTCACCGTACTCTCCCGCCACGGATTCAATCGCAATTAAATATTTCTACAATTTTTATATTTCTCTACCCTATGTAAATGTTTATATTTAAAAATATGTGTGCTTCTTATGGATTTTGAAGAGAGATAGTTACAGATCAGTTTTCAGGAAGAAGAAACAGGCAATGTTATCAATGAGTTCAGGTTACGGAATTAATCGCAGTCGAAGTTCTGGTAATGCAAATAAAATTCTTGGTTTTGTTACCCTTTGTTGTGGATGTAATGTTAGCTCGTATGACATCGTTATGAAGTCTCACATGACTTCGTGCACAGTTTATTCAAAATTTTTAACCAATCTCCATGTTTCAACCTTAAAGCTCATAAATAATATTTAAAGTCAATCATTACGTATATCCTGATCATAAGCAGCTTATGTCATTCTGATTTGTACATTTTTTTATGGTTTCCCTAAATCAAGGTAGCATTTCTCCTAAATTTATATTATATTAAAGTGCACAAAAGTCCAGGTAGTCAAGAGTCACAACATCGAAGACACAAACAATAATATACAGTCTAAGCATATGGACTTGTGAGGTTACTTTTTGCATGTGAAGCTAATAGTGGTGTTCACATTTTTGTTTGTTAAATATGTATTACATGTAATTGTTAGTATCCTAAACTGTAATAATATAATTGTCGAAAACAAGTTTATCTCACCTTTTTTTCTTCCATGGACAACAACTTAGGGTTAAACCACTTCACCAAATCTCACCTAGCGACTCGCACGAATTTGTGATTATATTCAGTCACGGAGTATGAGGTGGATAGAAGAGAGACGACGTTCCATTTAAAACGACAGTTACCAGAATACTATACTGCCATCTTATGGGCTTTAAGGCAGTTTATCCAGAAAGGGTTAGTAAAGGCGAAGATTAGACAAGATGGCAGTCAATAAAGATGCAGAAACCACAATATGTAGAATTTAATTAAAATTAAATTTTTCAAATCTGTACAAAACTAAATAACACTGTATTTATATTGTATTTATAACAAACTTTCAAGTTGTCACATTAAATTGTGATGTGTTACGTAGGGTATTTTATTTAAAATCGTGGCAGCCCTGCGTGTTTCATGAACGCACTGTGAAAGTGCGCCTTGTTTAAAGGAACTGTTTGTAGCTGCTTACTGAACGCAATCACCAAAAGTTAGGGAGCAATATGACGACGGATAAATAATGTTCGATCCAAAGTGAATGTAACATCGTTTAGATTGCGTGTAAGGTACGGATTGATCCTTTGGCATATATCTTGAAAGTGTTTCGCGTGTATTATCGTATCAGTGGAATAAACTGCGACATACTCCACCAGGGTAGACGTTTCCAGACGTTTTAAGCCGACGTTCCTTGTGGTACACGATGGACTCCATTCCACGAACTCACGAAGGTAATTTCTTTCATTAACGATATTATCAAAGGTTCTCCAAAATCTGCTATGAATGGCCTGTATACACGCGTTGTAATTCATTCAAGTCGAAACGTTTGTTGTCCTTGTACATTGTACGTCGAATTAGGTTAGATGTACGATTGTTGAATATCAGAAAGATGACCATATTTATGAGTTATTGATAATGCGTGTTCAGTTATGTCGATCTGTAAATAATATTTCTTGCAGATATCGAAGCCCAAATTCGGGAAATACAGTCGAAGAAGAAAGAAATTCAGAATGCTGCGGTAGAGAAAGAGCAAGTCGGACTGGGAAAGACCGGCTTCTATGACCAGGATATCTATGACGGCACTAACAATAAGTTTGATGGCTATGTCACCTCAATTGCAGCTAATGATGAAATTGAGGTAAATTTGATTTAACGTAACTATTTTTCTTTCTTAATTTTTAATGGATCATGTTTATAATGAATTATTATATTTCCAGGATGAAGATTACGAGCCTAGCACATTTAGCAGTAATAAAAGACCGGGATACAATGCACCAGCAGCATTACTTAATGACATTGCACAGGTATGTTAAGGATATGATTATTTTTTATTGGATGTTACAAAAGTTTTTCATTTGCAGAGCGAAAAGGATTACGATCCGTTTGCTGATAGGAGAAGACCCACCATAGCCGACAGAGAAGATGAGTACAGACAAAAAAGGAGACGCATGATTATCTCACCAGAACGTGTCGATCCCTTTGCAGAAGGTTGGTATCATTCTTTTACTTATTATAATGTCAAGACAAAAATTTATTTGTAGGCATAAGTTTTCACAATGAAACTTCCATACACTTCTAAATATTTAGTTACGATAGATAAAGACTGTTATTACTTTAATTACTTTTTATTTTTTTCTTACATAAATTTCACTAAATTTGATTTGTAGTTTTTGACTCACTCTGAACGAAGCAAAATCCTTTTTGTAGTCGATGTTACATAGTAGTGCTGAAATAATCTTTCATCGATTATGTGTTAGGATCACAATTTAAGTAATTAAACAAAAATAAGTTTTTATTACACACATTTAATTTCGTCACACCGTACCCTCTAAACATGTAATTAAGATATCTTATTTAAGTACTAGTACGAAATCTGCTTTTTTATTTTCCATATCTTCTGTGACTATAGTGACTACTGTTAAAATGGTGCAAAGGTAGTCGAAAATTTAAACGTCAATTTAAAAGTTAATAGCTACTCGAGTGGTCTGCTCCTATTTGGTTAACGCTATAGTCCAGAAAGTGTAAGAGAAACTAAATAAAGGCATTTTGTATCTTCCCATGAATGAGACGAATGAATGAGGTTTTCGCAAACACATATACTAATGTAAACGTTTTTTTCCAATCTTAGTGACGGTCTGCACATTTGGAATCATCCGATAACCCAGGATTCTATGTCGAAGGTTAAGCGACACCGAGTTGTAGTCACGTTATTAAGAACTCGTTTACCGAATGACACAATGAAACCTAAAAAATTATAGCGTTCAATACTTAGCTTAAATTAGTACGAGATTCACAACAGAGAGTCCGAATAATATCGCGAAAATCTTTATTGTGTCGTGCAGTCAGCATATCAATCGTCACTAATAACATTTATCGATTGCTACAAAGGTTCGATTTTTTCATTGGGTCATGCGGGTTTACTTTAAAAAAGCGTACTTATCCGGCGAACTAGAATGACTGGTACGAATGGAGATACTATTAATAACGAGAATGAGTTGATTTTTAGATGGCTAAAGTATTTTGTCGATGTGGAAGACTTGAGCAGGACTGTGCTCCGTACGTCAGCAAACCCCACGTACGTATGCCAAATGCCGGTTACTGTTGCAGCTCTCGTTAAAAAGGTCGTTTTCATATTTACACGCTCCATAAACAAATGCTCGACCCAGCGGGTCTAGGGCATCTAAACTCATCACGAGAAAAAGTACTAAATGCTATCGAGAACCAACCACCGAGAGCCCATTCAGTAGCTTCGCTTAGAATTCCTACGGATACTCTAAGGGCATTCAACAAGTACATTCGATCCATTGGGACTTTGACAGTCCAGAAGACGTTTTCGATAGTCTAACTCGCTTTCAACAGATGACTAACAGTTGCGCTTTGCGTGACGTTTGTTTCGTGGTTGCAGGTGGGAAGACTCCTGACATCGGCTCCAGGACGTATACTGAGATTATGCGAGAACAGCTCCTAAAAGGAGAGGAGACCGAGGTGAGTTCTTATTCTTTGCCTATTTCTTCTTCTCACAAAAGAATACACTTCACACGTACGATCCCTTCCCTTGTCTGTCCTCAGTTAAGGAAAAAATTGGTAGAAAAAGCAAAGGATGGCACTCTAAAAGCGAACGGAGAACCCAAGTTGGCTCCTAAAAAGAGAGGCCGATGGGACCAAACCGACGACACCCCGACTCCCAAGAAGGCAGCCGGAACGGCGGCGACACCGACGTCGTGGGACAATGCTGACGTAAGTTGCGAGTTGTAGCGATTAATTTACGCGTTTTGCCTGTATCTTCGACATTACGAGTTAACTAAAATCATTCGATAGGTAACGCCAGCAGCGATCAGATGGGACGAGACCCCGGGCCACGGGAAAGGCGGAGAAACTCCAGGAGCTACACCAGGAGTGAGCACCAGAATGTGGGACGCTACTCCGGGTCATGCCACTCCTGGCGCCGCTACTCCTGGAAGGGAAACACCGTCTCACGAGAAGACAGCGTCCAGTCGACGAAATCGATGGGACGAGACCCCTAAAACTGAGAGAGGTGGAGAACGTTATTAATTCGTTATTAATTGAACGCATGGATAGACCTACCTGAGTAAATATTAATTAAATGTAACGCTCGTAAACAGAGACTCCTGGACACAACAGTGGCTGGGCCGAGACACCTCGCACCGACAGAGTGGCCGGCGATCTGATCCAGGAGACACCGACCCCGTCGGCGAGTAAACGCAGGAGCAGGTGGGACGAGACTCCCTCGAATCAGACTCCTGGCTCCATGACTCCGCAGACTCCAGCCACCCCGTTGACGACTCCTCACCAGACGTCCATCCTGACTCCGAGCGGAGTCACCCCCACCGGACCAAAAGCCATGGGACTGTCGACCCCAACCCCGGGTCACCTGATGTCCATGACGCCGGAGCAGCTTCAGGCTTATCGCTGGGAACGCGAGATCGACGAGAGGAACAGGCCTCTCTCGGACGACGAGCTGGATGCTCTCTTCCCGCCCGGGTACAAGGTCCTCCAGCCACCTGCTGGTAATTATTAAATTTTATGATACAATAATTTGAAGAACTCGTCCGAAAGCGAGATTTTATTTTTGCGCGACTTTATTTATCCACGACGAGGCGACGGAGATGTTAATTCCGTGGACTCTTCCCAGGTTACATACCGATTCGCACGCCCGCTCGGAAGCTGACGGCGACGCCGACGCCGATCGCCGGGACGCCCCAGGGGTTTTTCATCCAAACCGAGGATAAAAGCGCGAAATTCGTGGACAACCAGCCGAAGGGCAACTTGCCGTTCATGAAGCCGGAGGACGCGCAGTACTTCGACAAGCTACTGGTCGACGTAGACGAGGAGAGCCTAAGCCCGGAGGAGCAGAAGGAGAGGAAGATCATGAAGCTCCTTCTGAAGATCAAGAACGGGACCCCGCCAATGAGGAAGGCCGCTCTTCGACAGATCACCGACAAAGCGAGGGAATTCGGAGCGGGTCCACTGTTCAACCAGATCCTGCCGCTTTTGATGTCGCCGACGCTGGAGGATCAGGAGCGGCACTTACTGGTCAAGGTTATCGACCGGATCCTGTATAAATTGGACGACCTCGTGCGGCCGTATGTCCATAAGATCCTGGTGGTGATCGAACCGCTGTTGATCGACGAGGACTATTACGCTCGCGTGGAGGGGCGAGAGATCATCTCGAACCTGGCCAAGGCGGCTGGACTGGCCACGATGATCTCCACCATGAGGCCCGATATCGATAATATCGATGAGTATGTGCGAAACACGACTGCCAGAGCTTTCGCCGTGGTGGCTTCCGCCCTGGGGATCCCCTCGTTGCTGCCCTTCCTAAAGGCCGTTTGTCGCAGCAAGAAGTCCTGGCAGGCTCGACATACCGGGATCAAGATCGTCCAGCAGATCGCCATCCTCATGGGCTGCGCGATCCTGCCTCATCTGAAGAGCTTGGTGGAAATCATCGAGCACGGACTGGTGGATGAGCAGCAGAAGGTGCGTACGATCACCGCCCTGGCGATCGCTGCCCTGGCCGAGGCGGCTACCCCATATGGTATCGAAAGCTTCGACTCGGTGCTGAAACCTCTTTGGAAGGGTATTCGTACTCATAGAGGAAAGGGCTTGGCGGCCTTCCTCAAGGCCATTGGGTATCTGATCCCCTTGATGGACGCCGAGTATGCTAATTATTATACCAGGGAGGTAATGCTGATCTTGATCAGAGAGTTCCAGTCGCCCGATGAGGAGATGAAAAAGATCGTCCTGAAGGTCGTCAAGCAGTGCTGCGGGACCGATGGTGTGGAGGCGCAGTACATCAAGGATGAGATCCTGCCACACTTCTTCAAACACTTCTGGAACCACCGGATGGCACTGGATCGGAGGAACTATCGACAGCTGGTAGACACCACCGTGGAGATCGCCAATAAAGTTGGCGCCTCTGAAATTATTAACAGAGTAGTGGATGATCTGAAGGACGAGAACGAGCAATACAGGAAGATGGTCATGGAGACGATCGAAAAGATCATGGGGAATCTGGGAGCTGCTGATGTTGACTCGAGGCTCGAGGAGCAGCTGATCGATGGCATCCTTTATGCCTTCCAGGAGCAGACTACCGAGGATGTTGTTATGTTGAATGGCTTCGGCACCATTGTTAATACCCTAGGGAAGAGGGTCAAGGCCTATCTGCCTCAGATCTGTGGTACCATATTGTGGAGGTTGAACAACAAGTCAGCGAAGGTCAGGCAGCAGGCTGCTGATCTGATTTCTCGCATCGCAGTTGTCATGAAGACCTGTCAAGAGGAGAAGCTGATGGGGCATTTAGGAGTGGTATTGTACGAGTACTTGGGAGAGGAATATCCCGAAGTGCTTGGTAGTATACTCGGTGCACTGAAAGCTATTGTGAATGTGATCGGAATGACCAAGATGACACCTCCGATCAAGGATCTGCTTCCTCGACTTACTCCTATTCTGAAGAATAGACATGAGAAGGTTCAGGAGAATTGCATCGATCTGGTTGGCAGGATCGCTGATCGGGGTCCAGAATATGTGTCTGCGAGGGAGTGGATGAGGATTTGCTTTGAACTCCTAGAGCTGCTCAAGGCTCATAAGAAAGCCATCAGGAGAGCCACTGTCAACACCTTTGGATACATAGCGAAAGCCATAGGACCTCATGATGTCTTAGCTACGCTGCTAAATAACCTCAAAGTTCAGGAGAGACAAAATCGTGTCTGCACTACGGTAGCTATAGCCATCGTTGCAGAAACCTGTAGTCCCTTCACCGTTTTACCTGCTTTGATGAACGAGTACAGAGTGCCCGAATTAAATGTGCAAAATGGTGTGCTGAAGTCGCTGTCCTTCTTGTTTGAGTACATCGGAGAAATGGGCAAGGATTACATTTATGCAGTTAGTCCACTGCTGGAAGATGCTCTGATGGACAGGTTGGTTGAATACTTATGTATCATTCTTAGAGTCCTCTAAACTAAAATAACGTTATCTGAATGTCTATTGTTTTATTTGTTTCAGAGATTTAGTACATCGGCAAACAGCTTGTGCTGCAATAAAACACATGGCTCTTGGAGTTTACGGTTTTGGTTGTGAAGATGCTTTGATCCATTTATTAAACCATGTATGGCCAAATGTATTCGAGACTTCTCCTCACCTGGTTCAAGCATTTATGGATGCTGTCGATGGATTACGAGTTGCCCTTGGACCTATTAAAATTTTACAGTATACGCTACAAGTAAGTCCATTTTTTATATTTATTCCCTGGTACGTATCGTTGTACCAGTAATAATTAAATAAAAATCGGTAATATATTTCTTTTTATTTGATTCGCAGGGATTGTTTCATCCGGCCAGGAAGGTCCGTGATGTCTATTGGAAGATTTACAATTCACTTTACATCGGTGGACAGGATGCTCTTGTCGCTGGATATCCGCGAATAATGAACGATCCAAAGAATCAGTATATTAGGTACGAATTGGATTACGTTTTGTAAGAGACACTACAGCTCTCGATACTGTACATTATTATAAGTTATACATAGTGTATACATATATACACATCCACATCTGACGAAAGAGTAGCGCAATCGATTTATACTATTAATGTTTATAAGTTTCACGATAGCGATACACCGGATGAAATTATTTATACTCACAAATTCGATAGATTGAAGATCCCCGTGAACTTGCTCGTTAATTAGGTGGAGTTTAATAGTTTACTCCTTACGATCGCTTTCTTTTCTATCGAGCGAAGCGAAGACATTGTCATTTCTCCGTGTCAGTCTGTTTGCCTCAATAAACATTTCTTTCGCCCTACGAAAAAAAAATTTTAACAACAGTACTTTTAATTTCATAATTTTTCTTGCCTTTGGTTTTCATAGTCTACACGATTTGAATTTTCGCGCGGTAACTATCGGAAGCGCGCCGAGTTTCAGTACCGCACCACGCTTCCAGAAGATAGCGCTACGTGTAAGAAAGGACTCTAACCTCAAAATAATTCGGCACTGGACCGGACTTTCAGAGCTCGCACGAGTTGCTGTTAAAACTCACGTTTCTGTGAAGTATATTGAATTCCTGATCTTATCCCCAAACCAATGGTATTAGGCCTTAGGAAAAGACCGAATTCCAAAAAAGATAAAGAATTCCTGATCTCGTATAAGTTCAAGACACCAAAGGAAGCGAAAAGTCATCAAGCGTAGACGAATCGAGGTTAGATTGACAAGACATAGTAGTTATGTCGACAGACTTTTACATACGCTACTACGTGGGGCACAAGGGAAAGTTCGGCCACGAATTTCTGGAGTTCGAGTTCAGGCCCGACGGTAAACTCAGATATGCGAATAATTCTAACTATAAGAATGATACCATGATCCGCAAAGAAGCTTACGTTCACAACTGCGTCATGGAGGAGTTGAAACGCATCATCCAGGACTCGGAGATCATGCAAGAGGATGACTCCTTGTGGCCGCAGCCTGACAGGGTGGGTCGTCAAGAGCTCGAGATTGTAATCGGTGACGAACACATATCCTTCACCACGTCAAAGACAGGATCTTTATTGGATGTGAATCAGTCTCGAGACCCTGAAGGACTTAGATGTTTCTACTACCTCGTCCAGGACCTGAAGTGCTTGGTCTTCTCTCTCATCGGACTCCATTTCAAGATCAAACCAATATAGATCTGTTTGCATCTCAGAAACGTTGACAGACATTTAAACGTTTCCCTGTAATATCATATTTTACGAAATCAAGTAACAAAAAGATATTTCCAAAGATGGACGTGATTCACTCGACTGCACTGATTTTCACCCAATCAACCATTTGGAAGCCAACTAATGTAATTCCATATACTTAAAACTATACTGTATGTTTTAAAAGTATTCTCTTGTGTACAATATTAAATAATAGTTTTATGAATAAAACGATCGAATAAGTAAAAGTGGGCTTGTTGATAATTATTGTTTTCATCTGCAATAATCTTAAAGGAATGGTTAAGAATAATTGGTAAAACAAAATTTTGCAGATTTTGTATATTTTTTTATTATATAATAACCACACAGGAGAATTAGTATACAGTCTAATCGTCCTTCTTGGTGTCTGTTTTTCCTCCTCGGATTCTTCCAGTACGACGTGCAGCAATGAGACCGATCTTGCGACCAGCGCTGGTTCCACGCTTAACCGTGGAAGCTTTACCAATATGCTGGTGGTTACCACCACCATGGGGATGTTCCACAGGGTTCATAGCAACACCACGAACCTGGATCACAAAAAAATACAATGCGTTAAACATTGAATGATATTTATAGCATAACTTTTAAATTAGTTCATTTTATCTCAGTAAGATTCTGACCACACGATACTATTCAGGTTTCAAATGTCAAGGCATCATTGATAAATTTTAAAGAATTCAAAGTCAAAGTATATATCATAGAAAAGAATATTACCTTAGGCCAGCAATTTCTCTTGGCCTTGTATTTGTGGTAGGCACGACCAGCCTTAAGGATCGGTTTGTCAATACGTCCTCCACCGGCAACGATACCAACCATCGCCCTGTTGTTCGATGGAATGACTTTTTTGGCACCAGACGGCAGTTTCACTCTCGTCTTTTTGGTGTCAGGATTGTGGGCAATGACGGTAGCATAGTTACCAGACGCTCGAGCTAGCCGGCCTCGGTCGCCAGTCTTCTCCTCCAGGTTACATACGATAGTACCCTCAGGCATCGTACCAACAGGCATAACGTTTCCAATTTGCAAATTGGCTACAAACATAATTACAAGACATTAAAATCTACTTCACCATAACTAAATAATTCAATTGTTTAACGATACTTCAGAAAGAGCCTCTAGTTTAACATCTTCAGAGACTTTCAGTAGGTAATATACTAGAAATCATCATGGAATGTTCCGATAAGAATATAACGAAGAACAAGTAAATAGCTTTACCTTTTTTCCCACAATATAAGAACTGTCCTGTGTACATGCCTTCCGGGGCAATGAATAGTTCTTTGCGGGTCTTGAATTTGTATGGATCACGGAAGTGAACCACTGCCAATGGAGCTCCACGACCAGGGTCATGGATTATGTCCTTTAATATACATGAAACTTAATATGCCATTATCTAGATGTTAAATCTGAGGATGTCTATTACATGTGACGCCGAAAACCACACCTTGACGACTCCCTTGATGTACCCATGCCTCTCGGAGAAGTCCAGAGATCGGAGTTTCGGCGCTCCCTTCCTCCTCTTGGTGTGGGACCGGAAAACGGATCCAGCTCCCTTACGTTGAGCACGAATAACGCGACCCATGGCTCAACACCTGAAAAGGAGTCGTTTTATTAATTACCAAGCCGCACAAGATGTAGCAAAACGTCAGCTGTTGTTATTCGCGCAAGACATAACCTCGATGTCGGAAACGAAAGCGGAGAGAAAATCGAGAAAATTGTGAAGAAATATTTGCGGCACGACGTAGAAAAGCATTGCAGCAAAGACGAGTCGCAAATTTAACGTTGGGATGGCGCATTTTCGAGAGAGTAACAGCGGATTACGTGAGTGAAAATAACACGAGAAACGTACCAAAGGAATCGACGGCGAACAGAGAGAAGTCGCCGCCGGAAATCGGCTAACCTGAGTTCATCGGTTTGCTATGTTGGTACCCATGAGTCGACCAACCAAGCCGTCCCTACATTTTATGCGGGGAATTTAAAACTAATATTTAAAGAGATATTTTAAGGTCAAGTGGAGCTGAATTCGTTTTTACCGCAGTACTCAAGGTACAATAGAAATACTCGGTACCAAATTTACAGCGCCATATAGATATCGTAACGAATAAATCGAGATTTCTAACCTAAGTTGCGGCGATACTTTATGGCCATTAGAACAATCTAACGGCAGACAAACGCCCGATTCGTTATTAGACTAATTCGAATCCTCGTGTTTATAACTTGCTCCAATTGTCGGCGAGTACTTCGAGTGCACAAATCGGGCGTAAAGAACTCCTCGCCCCAGAAATGAGAGGCCAGTATCTGCCCTAAGAACAACAGCGTGATTAGTCATTGCTGATTGCAGTATGCAGATAATTTGTTAACGATATTGCGCAGTTGCAGTGCAATTGTGAAGCAGACCTCGATTACGCCGACTCATCTACGAGCAGTGAAGAATTTTCGAAAGCTCTCCCACCGACCTGGAGGTATTTCCTAGAGTATATTTAGAATTCATTTAGACCTTCGAGATTATTAGATCTCTGCCTCCCAGCTAAATCGCGCGACGATCCGAAATATCAACTCCGAAGGCGTCCAACCGTTGAACATTTCGGTCTCGTTCTCAAATGCTTGAAACTGCTGAAATTTAAAGATGAAAGCAGCTATTTTAATGGAATGCACCGCATAAATGCATTAAAGTGTCTTCGGCGTCGTTCGAGTTCAAAGATTAACCCTCGACGAGACAGGTACACTCGTAACGCACAATTACGTGCGTCGTCATTTTTTCAGACTGCACATTCAGTTAATAATGTCACTCATAAAATGTGCAATTTCAGCTGCTCCGAGACAGGTCGAAATTTAATGTGCGGTATCAGCGACCAATTATGTCGGGAGCCTTAATAAGGCATCTGTCCTATCGAGAGCGGCGCGTCAACGCGTCGGGGATGAACGGCCAATCGGAATTGCGGACGAAGCGAAGCGAAGCTCTGATTGGTCGTTCGGCCTCGACGCGTCGACGCGCCGCACTTTGACTGACGTCCGACGCGCTTGGTGGGACCCCGACCTTAACCCCCGACGCAACCGACGCGGCCATTACGTCCCACCCATGGACGTAGGATATATAGAGCCTGAATGGTTGATTTAACTGTGAAATCAACCACATTGAGACAGAAAACGCTCTCTTTCTTTCTGATTTTGCAAACTATCTGCGCAGAGCAAAATATGGCAACTTGCAGTTTACCAGGGCTCTATTCCCGAGTTCACGGGAATTTTCTCGCCTACGAATAGATTCACATGAATAAATTCGCATTGAAATCACCGAAACGCTGTTACGATTTTAAGGCCGAGCGTCCCTTGTTACCGAATCGCGTTGTTTCACATATGAAATCAAAGGCAAATCGGCTCTGAAGAAAACAATTGTTTTCAGTAATTTCCGAGTGAATAGCCCCTCGGGATGAACTCAAGAATCGGGTTCTAGGAAGGGAGAAAATGAAAGGATCATCCCTTGGGCCCCTCTTTTATTTTCGCCATGGTCGTAAGAACATTAAGGGAGTGACTCGGTGTTCAGGGTCCGTGTATCCTACGTCAATGGTCCCACCCCTACGTTCCTCGGTCATGCGCGTCACCCCCACCGACGCGACCATTCGCCGCTGGACCAATGAGATAACGTCTCTGAACTTCCACCGCCAATCACCCTCGCGACGCGCTCCGAAAATTCAGTGAACCGGGTGAAAGTCAGGTGAACCAGTTGAACTCGAGTTCCCGTGGTTTCCTTAGGTTCCTCGTGAACTTCCCCGGTTTTTCCCTCTCGCTGGCGAGGCGGGAAAATCTCGAGCTCGTCCGAGTCTGCTCGAGTTCACGCGAGTCGCGCGTCGAGGTCGAGGACCGTCCATCTTCCGCAATCTTGCGCTCCCCTTCCAGAGAGCCGACCTCTTTTACTAGGAGAGTTCTACGCGGGAGTGTTGAATTCGGTGGAATTTTCGAAAAAAAAAAGTGGCCTCCGCCTGACTGGTAGATTTGCTAGGACGACTGGATCCAAGCTTTCCTCGTAGGTACTCCGAAATTGTTTATTTATTACCCGAGCGCGCTTGGGTGGCCGCCATTTTGTTTTCCCTCGGAAAAGTTTCTTCCACTTGAAGGTCGGGAGTGAGTGGCGCGGGTAACTGCAGTGTTCCGAAATCTGTCGGAAACGCTCTCGGCTTCGCTCTATCCTTGTCTCACCTGTGAGGTTAGGTCGGGAATTAATGACGCGCTTCACGGCCTGCAGGCTTCGGAACGAAGGTGCGTCGTTCATGTAACGGGTGACCTCGCGAGTGGAGTCGCGACTCACCCTTGCGAATTTTCCAGAAACGAACGCGTTTAATAACTCGGATCACCGCGAATATTTACGTCAGGAAATTCTGGAGTTCCCGGAGAATTTAATACGTGCAACAGGTGACAAGGGAGGGTGAAGAGCGAATAATTTGCCTCCGTGGAAATCCTTAAACGGTTTACCGCGACTTTAGAATGTCAGCTGGTACATCAATTGCTAACAATATTCAACAAAGCGGAAGGTTCTACTCCTTCAGATTTTTGCAACGGTTTTTGAAGTGATATTTAGATGTTTGTTACGTTTCAGGTGACGGAGGTACATCTTGTGCGGAGGGATAAGCCAACGCATATATCTACAAAAAGGGGCTTGAACTGCAGAAGTTATCGGAGAAGGATATAAGATCGGAGGGATGCCCAAGCGGACCAGGGGGCCTGTCAGGGTTCAGCCGCGACGTCGAACGCGTGGCGGCGTCGCTCGCCGGGAGAGGCGAGACCGCACACAACTGAAAGACGCTCTTAGGGCTGTCCAAACACGAGAGCAGACCTCCCAAGGTAGCTAGATGAAGACTGGATACCCCTGCTAGCAAAAAATTACCCCCTTGCAATTATCCGACCCTTCTTCGTTCAATACTTGTTTTTGTGAGCAAGGTATATTCGTTCTTAATAAGCTCGATGAAATGTAACTCGCATGTAAAAATGTATTGTCTCGGAATGACACTTGAGGGAAGAATTGTTAAACCCTTGGTTTTTTTATAAGTATTTTTAGAAGCAATGATTTCTTTCCGTTACAGTTCTCGGACCAGTGGAGGAAGTCCCAGATGTCGTTGAAAGTGTCGAGAGTTCCAATGATTTGGATTTGAAGCATCTTGTGCAAGCCGAGCAGTGGAATCCAAGAATTAGGACAAGATCCTGCAAAGAAACCGTAACAGAAGAACCATCTCCAAGTAGGAAGAGATCAAAGCGTGTTCTGCATGAAGTTGAAGCTTTGAGTCTTTCCTCAAGGAGGTCAATCAGTCCTCAGAAGGGTGTAGAAGACCTACATTCTTCTGGTTCAGGATGCCCAGTCTCAAAGACAGTGTGCACCGTGCAACTACCCAAAGAGTCTACTGTGGGAATTTTATTTCCAAGTAGAATCGAGCCTGCCTTATCGACCTCTGAAAATTACAATTTCTCGTCTGCTATCTTATCGGTCAATTCGGAAACAGATGATCAAGATTCTGTTTCTTGGAGTCACGAAAGCAACGTCTCGGAGTCGTTCTCCAATCGAATCAGTCCTGAAAAATTAACTCCGACACCTGAAAGGACACAGGTGGAAGTTTCGAATCCTGATGATGATAAAAAACAGGAAAATTATGAAGATCGGTCACTCGAAGCCACCTACGTTCCCTCTCCGATTCGAGCTTTGGCTCGATTTTTCGATGGCTACATTATACGTCGGTGGAGAGGGTTCTTCGGAAAAAATCCTGAAACAAATTCGTGACGTGGATCAATAATTAGATTACCTAGAGGGATATTATAAGTACTTTAAAAATGACTTGAATAAGTTTTAAACTTTAGGCATATGAAATTTATCCCCTAGTTATGACTAAAGGGAATCGTAAAGTGTATTGAGGAGGAGAAACGACAGTTTGCATGATTAAAAAATTGTAGTCTACTTATGATATAGCACGGTAATCGGATAGATTTTATACAACTCTATTAGGATAAATATCAGTACAAAAATAGTGTACACAGTGACGTAGGGTACAAACTGACATACCTTGGAATGTATTGTGTGCTCGAAGAATCACTACTAATCATGTTCAAGTGCAACGAACCTGAAGATATTTAAAAATATTTTAAATCACGGAGTATATTTACTGTAACTGTAGTTATTAACTCCGGTTTTATACAAAAGACGAAGGTATATTTGGAAAGCGGCGTTTCCAGCAGAAATAAAATAAAGAAGACAAGTCCGTCGTTCTTTGTATCAGTCCTATCAGTTTTATTCTTAATTATTGAAAATGTACGATATTTTATGTTCCATGTCATGAATTGTACATACATATTCTTAAAGTTTAGCATTTCCGGTAACGAAATCGTGTCTAGCTAGTACATAGAAGAATTAGGACACGAGTGAACTATCTTCTCATTTGCTTCCGGAATTGCATATATATTTTTTTTATCGGAGCCGAGCGTTTTATCGAATCTCTCCATTCCACATATACCGGTCGCAATGGACGGACACGTTTTATTTTTCCTTACGTTCGTCTTTTTGGCAATTACTGCCACTTCGGAGAGTCTGAGAAGGCAAAAACGAATTGTTGGAGGGATTCAATCGGCTCCGCCACCTGAAGACGACCCAGTTGTATTTGTTAATAGAAATAATCGGAATGCTCGCGTTATCGGAACACGCGACCCTAAAAAGGGATTCTACGTATTTCGAGGAATTAGATTCGGAGAGCCTCCAGTTGGTCGCAGTAGATTTCAGGTAAATCACCTCGTACATTTTAATATTTTAGCACGTGGACTTTTTTTTTTATCTTTGTCCGAAATTCTACTATCTCGGCATATCCTGTAGTCCTCATGTTATCAATTTTTTTCCATCCTCCCAGCACTTCCCAGCATTTAAAAGTTTGAAATAACGACTGTAATATGCTATTATTAAAAAGAGGGATAAATTTGCCCAAATTTGAATGATGCTATTTGGGATTCTTCTTGTTTTCAGAGACCCAGGCCAGTGCGTCTTGAGGGAGAGTACAATGCAACTTCATGGGGTCCTCCGTGCCCTCAACCGAGTCCTGAAGACAGTGACCAAGTCATAGGAGTCGAAGATTGCCTTTACTTAAATGTTTTCACACCTGCTTTACCAGATGCCGGTGATGGATATCCAGTTCTGATCTGGATCCACGGAGGGGGTTTTCGAATAGGAGCTGCTTGTCAGTATGAAATGAGGAACCTTATAAAGAAGAAAATGGTCGTTGTGTCTATTCAGTACAGATTGGGATCGCTGGGTAAATTCAATTGAAACAGTAAAATGTTTACGCTATGATCTGGACAGAGCGATGTTATTCGATGGGAATTTTACTTCAGGTTTTTTAAGCACTGGCACGAAGGAACTGCCAGGCAACAATGGGATGTTTGACATGGTACTTGCTGTAGACTGGGTGAAAAACTACATCGGCTACTTTGGTGGGGACCCAAAGAAGATCGTAGCAATTGGGCATGGTAGCGGGGCTGCTTCTGCACTCATGCTCTCCTTATCAAAATTAACAAAGAGTAGGTCTCGATTGCATGGTGAATATTTTAAGTTTATACCATTTATAATTCCGCTGTTGCACTTTGGGTTCAGGTTATTTCAGTGGACTGATCGCCATGTCTGGCTCTGTTCTCTCTCATTTTGCTGTTGATAAGGATCCACTGAGCACCGCCAAGACCATTGCAAGTTCAAATGGATGTCCCATCGAGGATGTTCCCGAAATGGTGCGTTGTTTGCAGGAATTACCAGTGGAGAAACTTGTAGCAGTTGAATCGAGGCTTGCACGTCTCAAATCCGCCGCTCAAGGATTTATTTCAGGAATCTCCAATCTCTTGGGTCCTGGACCTGTCATCGAAGGCAGCGATGACAACAGGTATTAAACTATATTTGAATGTCCGTTGGTTCTTTATTAAACTTTAATTTTTATCAAGGTACTTGCCTAATTTTATGTCGGAGACTCCAGAGTCTGCCTTAAAACTGGGCAATTTTCCGAAAATTCCACTATTAACCGGAGTCGTTAAAGACGAGACTGGCGGCGCAATAACTGGAAAATATAAGAAAGAGATCGAAGGCAAACTGCAGACTGTCAAAAATTTCTTGAATAAGGATTTGGTGGAATCTCTTCAGAGTAAAATCCCTGTTTTCGGAAACCAGACCCAGCGATTCGTCCCTGAAGAATTTGGGAGATATTTGGAAACTCTTGGTTTTAACGGAAATGGCAAAGACGTTCGCAAAGTGGCGGGGATGATGGACGACGCACTTTTCAACGCTCCAGCATTCTTGACTGCGCAGCACTGGTCGAACAAAGCCAAAGCCTTTCTTTACAGTTTCGATCATCAGGGTAAGCGACATTACGGGAAGAATTTCCTGGCAGGTCTACCTATTATTGACGCAAAGAATCCGGACGATGGTAAGTTATTTCACTCTTTTTCTATTAACATGATTTTTTGCATGATGTAATTATTATTGTATTAATACTTTTGCTTGCAGATACCACAGGGCATGGAGATGATTTAGGATACGTATTTGATCGTAATACTATTTTTGGGAAAGAAATCCCTGACGACCCTAAGGACGAAGAGGATGACAAAGTCACCGAAGCATTTACTGACATGGTGGCGAACTTTGCTCGCAGTGGAGATATATCGTCCCCTGCTACAAAAGCTCAAAATTTAATCTCTGCCTTCTCTCCAACCGACAATTCATTTGTTAGCATCACATCGAAGCCTGAATCACAGAAGAATTTCAGGTTTGAAATATTTTGTAATTATATAATAGGCATATCAGGGAGTTACGTAAAGATAAATAGAATTAGTTGCTGATCTTATTTAAAATGTAGTTTATTTTTTTTTTGCATTCTTCAATAGGTCTTATAAAATGATTGTAGCATAATTACTAAATTATTCGGTTTGTTAATCGCTGATCCACAGGTACTGCGAAATGGCACTATGGACTGGTCTTACGGAACGATTGCAGTCCACTTCGTGCAACCTTTATAAGATCACTGTCGACACGGTTAAAGAATTGGCGAAAGGCGCAGAACAAATTGTCGATGTTGTAGAATCACCTGTCACAGGAATTGGAAACGTCGTCAATGGCTTCGTACCTGCCAAATCACTTGCTAAGGAAAATGCAGGAAACCAGGAAAAGCAATTAGTCAACGTGCCTGAATCGAAGCTAATAAAACCATTGATACCCAAATTAACTGGGCTTGGACTATTTGGATGAAGATGTAGTTTAGTTTTTTTTTACTACAATACTTGAAGTATATCATTTTTAAATTGAAGTTATAATTATCTTTGTAACGTGACAAAAAATCTTACCAAAATTAAATTAAACACCGTTCTGGATATTGACAGACCCTGTGTGATTAATTGGTTCGGAACACTCCATCTCGCAGTCATTCTGATTTCCTATTACATTTTCCGGAATTGGTAAGTCCAACGTCGGCGCAGCAGGGTGAACAATTTTTTCCAATTCCTTTAACCCTACTTGTGATTCCTGTATTATGTTCGTGTTGACATCGCTTAATGCCATTTCGAAGATTTCTATGGAATATTGAGTTGGAGGTGGAACTAGGGGATGAGGATTCAGTTGAACAGCTTTCAGGGTCTTCAACAGATGTAATCGACAATCAACATTTTCACTATAAAATGTCTTTCCAGCAGATCCCAGGTAAAAGTCATACAGAAGAATTACTACGATGTTCTGAATATTCTGGAAAGTAATAATTTAATTATAATTGTGCAATTTACACAATAATTATATAAAAATAAAAGCAAGTATATTTGGCTCAAAGTCGACAATCGACATTCCATGTGCAACGCAACTGTCTTTACTTACTGTATAGAACGATTGTTTCAACCAACATCCGGCACTGAAAAATATATTCTGTAAAGCATACAGAGCATTTTTACACAACTCAGCATTTAAACAAGGATCGGTACAAGTCTCTGTCGTGTTTCCCAAAGTAGTACTGTTTTCATATTGGCTGTCTCGTAATCGTTTCAATGCTTTCCTCGATAGGTGTTGAGGCTTTTGAACCTATGTGAAAATATTACAAAAAAAAATAATTTACTGTGTTAGGGGACAGATATGTAGTGAAATTATAGATCATAATTACCGTGAGCATTATTCGATCTCTTTCAGGAATGATATCTTTTGAAATGTGTGGCAGGAACTCGTCAGCGACCATTTCAAAGCCTGACAGTGATCCTATGATCACCAGCCACGTTGACAAAGTCTGATAGACTGATATTCGGAGTTGATTGAATGGTTTACTACCACCAAACGTAGATGAGCTCTCAATTTCAGCTTCGGTCCATTTCAAAGTTTGTTGGAAGAGCTGCAATATCGTTAAAGCGTACGGTGCCAATTCGTGACGAAATCTATGTAGACAAAAAAACGAGAATAGTGTTTATAACGAAATACAATAGAGAATGTTAGTACATATGCACGGTAGCAAATCGACATTGAAAACTCACCCATTTATTAGGGCATCGAGCACCGACATTAAACCCACTTGTAAACTGGGTAAAATAAACTGCAGTATTTGGTTCTTTATGGAATCGTTACCTTTCAAACAAGTTGGAGTCACAGCCAATCCACGGCACAATACTCGTAAAATATCATGGGGGGAAACACTGTTCTTTTCTCCATAGCCACAACTAGAATGTAATAGATATGAAACTTGCTTATCGAATTTGAGAGGTATCTAGTTAATATTATATATTAATTACCACAACATGGTTGATAAATAAGTACACAGATTTAGAAATCTCCTCTCGATGTCATGATAGTATTCAAGTACATTGTCTTGTGATATCTCTGGAAGTTCCAACTTATCCGAAACTTCTATATCTTCTAATTCTACTAGGCCACTGAACAAATCGTCCATTATTGCATGCAAACTATTGCACAATAAAACTTCATTGTATAACCATGCAGTATAAGTTGACTTTGTAGGTGGTGGTTTGAATGTACGCACAGTAGCTTTCGCCAACAATGTGTAACAACTTGCACCACAGTTTACCAAATTGTTCCGCGTCGAATCCACCAAAGGCAGAATGATCGTTCTAATAGATGTCTGCAATTAAACTATTGTTACTCTGAAGCAGAAAGTGATATATCCGAAAGAAACTTAAATATCCAAGTCTACAACTTATCTTAAGCAATTACTCTTACTTGTAACTTTTCACATGCTTCTGGATAATGATGCAATAAAACTGCAGTGAGATAAAATGTTGCTCCACATCTTTTTTCTGCTTCTAAATTTGTAATAAGTGAGATAATTTGCTTCACATTCTGCGTGGATATTTGCTTCTGCAATTCCGCTAATCCTTTGCAATTTATTATTAAAAGACCTAACACTTTGCATGCCAATGTCAAATCATAAACGTCACTGTGAATGTTCTCTAAAGGCGCAGTAGCTTTAGTAATCCAAAGAATAGCATATTTCAACAGATTTTCTTTCGGGTATCTTGCTAAAACCTTATAAAGGATCTCTAAACCACTTCGACGTGTATTTGCCTGATTTAATCTGGTATTAATTGCTGAAATAATGCTATTTTGTACAGAGTTTATCTGAAATAAGATGAAAAGTGAATAACAATTACATACCGATATCTATGTAGCTAAGTTTTCAATAAGTAAATGCTTTGAAAATATTTATATAAAGGTGCGAGTAAATCTTATTACTTTACCTCGTCTTTAGCAAATGGTATGTCGCAACGTGATGACAGGAAGGTGTCAAGGAATTTGTTATACTCAGAGGAATTCTGATCGAAAGAATTGATTATGTTCAAAATTTGAGCCATATCGCTGACAACACTGTCATGCCCACGTGCTTTATCTAACCTAGACGTTGTTTCTGCTATACAAGTTACTGCGAGAGGAAGAAAACACGTACTTGTTGCGTACATGTGTGCTCTTGGCGCGCATTTACGGATAGGTTATGTACGGCCGGTTACTTCGCATTTGATATGATCCATGTATTTAATGTTGATAAAGTCATTTGTAAAGTTCTATTCGATTAAATAATTGTGATCCAGATTTATAAATATGGCTGCATCCACTGATGTAATTACGGTGAGGATTGTGTACATTTTAAAAAATAATTTTTAGGTTACAATATACCTAACGTTCTTTTATTATAATATTTATAATTTTTCAGGCTCGTATGCAGACATACCTGAATATGCCGTTGGTACAACGTTGCAGAGAAATAGCTATTTTAATTGATGAATCGAGCACTACCGAGCTCCAACATGTATTTCCAGTTTTGGTAGATTCAATATTCGGCATAACAGATAATTGTGGATGGTGCTTACACTTGATTACAATGAAAAAAAATCCACACGAGTATGAAGTACTCTGCAACTTTCTCAGTCCACAAGGTCCCATGTTTTCGTTGTGCTACAAACTGTTGCCGGATTGTTACTTGAAATATAATTTTTTAGTCTCGTATCTGCCGGTAAATCTTTTTAGCTATGCACTTTTATAGAATCTAAATTTTTTTATAAATATGTTGAGCACCGTTGAATCCATTACTTTTATGATTACTTGTTCTAGACGACAATTCGTTTAATGTTGGAAGATGGTCTAATACCTCCATTTTACTTGGACAAGATCAAGGATGATCAGAATACAAGATTTAATACCGCTTTATCAATGAGTATCCTTTGCAGTAATGCTTTTTGGACTTTTGTACAGTTTCAAACTTGATGAACCTTATAATATTCAGATCCATTCGAGTATTACATATTTCACTTTGCATATCATTTGACGAATCCTTGGTTACAAGTACTGCAACAAGATAATGTTTGGGTGAATTGGGAAACTGTGTATGTACAATTAGCACATTGTTACCTCTACCACTTTTTGCCAAAAGACAACTCGACTGTTCTTCCTATTATCGGACCATACATTAAAAAAATACCACGAAAACTTATGCAATCTCCTGAGACTAAAAGGTAATTAATAGTTTATAAAATTCAATAATTATTTAACTAGTACTAAGTAAAAGTTGTTTTACATCCTTGTAGAGATTGCAACAGGCTCCACACACCACGACTCTTGAGAACATCGATATTATCGCAAGGATCTACAAGTCCGACAACGGGTGTACAGCAACAGCAGTGTCTACCGCAAGTGTGGCGAAGTGAAACAGTGGTTCAGGTGTTTTTAGATTTTTGGTTTGAGTATACAGACGAGAATCAACGTATCTCTCGTTTTAGCACACAACTATCAGCACCTGTTACATGCAGAGTTAGTGTTCATACCTATATCTAGCGAAATAATGATTCAGTATATTTTTAAATTCCGTAATATAATTTTTTGCAATAACTGTAGCACAGTATCCACTCTGGAGAACATATTCGTCTTGTCAGGGCATTCATAAAGACATTACATGAATTTGCAAATAGTGCGACTGGAGATAAAAGTGCAATGGATGAGTTGAAAAGGTAAATATCAATTATGTTAAAGAGTTCTGTTGTGATACCAATAGTATTAATTTTTATTGTTCCAAAAAATAATTATTTTTATTCATTCAGGGTTATATTGCCATCTGTACAAGGTAAAATTTATACGTTTCTTCGAAAAGCGATTCATCATTGGCCACTGGACAGTTCATTCAGATTAATTCTTGAGGCATGGTTAAGCTTTATTCAACCATGGCGATATGTTCCAGGACTATCTTATACTAGAGAAGGGTTTGTTTCATTTGCTACAGCAGATAAGGAAATAGTGATGTTAAAACAGTTAAAGAAATTGAAAATATATTTTTTAGCAAACCCGAAGAAGAGGAAAAAGGAAAAATACACGACGTTGCTCGATGGATTCCATTTGTTGCAAACAACTTATTAGCATATACTGCAATATTTCAACAATTATTACCACGCTTCATGAGAACAGATCTTGTTGCACCAAAAAATGCCCTGATGTTGTTCAGAGTCACAAAGGTATTTTGGATATCTTCTTTTTATTCCAAATATTTGACTACTGATATTATTACACTTTTTCTTCACAGGTGTTTTCTCAGCCTTATCTAGCAAAGATGTTGATCGAAGTGGAAAGTTGCATTGATGACATTGGAATAAGTCGAGGCAGAATGCAAACTAGTCAGTGGAATGTGTTGGTGCGACAGAAGATTCAGGAGTTGGAAGGACCGTCATATCAGTATGTTCCAATGTTTTCAACGACCACAGTATCTCAGGTAATAATTGTCTTCGCTCGACTACTCTACAATTCAATTACATTTATATTTGCAATTCCATTCAGGTCGTTTGGTTTCTGAGTACGATTAAGCAGGCACATTTGACAGCAACCAGTTTAGTGGAGGCTCTGGAGAAAAGAAGAACTAACAGACGTTTAGTAACTTTCTTATGGGAATTTTTCAACGGTGAAGACCAGTCATCCGATGACATAAGTCTCGATGAGAGACGACGAGTACCCATATACCTTGCTAACGCGCAGCAACAACTTATTGACATATTCCAAGTATTACTGTTAAAAAAGAATAGAAAAAAGCAAATTATGTCCATGAAGCTTGAAGACATTGTATGTTTTTTTAGATAGAACTTGATGACATTCCACAAATTGCTATCGTCGCTGACCAAGAATATCATGATAGTATTCTTTCCACATCATTTTGTCAGCATTCGCAGGCTGAAACAAGCATGGATACAAGTAGGCCAGGTGTATACGTTCCAATTCAGGACGGAAGACAAACTTGTCGTTACATTGAATACATGGGAGATCCTGAACTGCAGCCAGTGCGAACAAATGAGAACTCTTTTCTAGTCAGAAATTTCTATCGGTTATGCAGTCATTACAATAGGAAGGTAAACGGAATTCGCTATAGGTGATCATAACCTCACCGAAGGTGCACTGCACGATACTTGGTGTCGACTGATACAAGATCGATATTACTTCCAGTATGAACGTGAGTTAATAGCAGCATATAGCAGAAATGATTTCTTTGGCAGAGTCGTTAGGCAAATTTTGGTGCCACCCACAACTGTCATAAAGCTGCCGAAGAGAGTAGGTTGTGAATTTTCCAGTGGTTGCGAAGAGAAGTTACCTCCTCGAATTAGTTTACGACCACTCTCTCGGTATGGCTTTCTCCTATTTATGACCATCGGAATGTTCTTTTCCTGGATTTTCGGGTAAGTGTGTATGTTTATTCATTTCAATATATTTCATATTAATCTTATTTCTCTGTGCACAGATACGGAGCACTGACGTTTCCAGTTCTCCTTTTCTTTCTGTGGGTTGTACTTATACTCATACGTGCTGTGTTCGAACCTTGGATGCGATCTGACATAGCCTCGATGAGGCCAAATGCATCGGCCTTTCTAAATTAAGTCACCTATATATATAATTTATACCGATATATATAATTTATACCTCGAAAGAGTAATTTAGAACACTTGAATGTAATTACACATAATTAGAACGGTAACATTTGTATATCTTTTACAGACTCGAAAATAAATGTATTGCACATGGCTGTATAAAAATCCAAACATACGGTAACATCAACACAGTGCACGATCAACAGTCAACTTAACAATTATGGTTCCTGCGGAGCTTCTTCCTTAATGTTACACAGCACAGCGCCCTTTTTAATGGATACACCTACAGAGCGCGATTCACCCCCTTCCGAACTACTTGCTGGATCATCCTATAAAATAATACCCTAATTAATTAATTTACCCAAGTTTATAGAAAACTTGATACGATCACTAGCGAAGAGGACTTACAGACATTGACAGTTCATGCTCATCGTACTCACTTTCCTCATCCTCTGAGTTAGCTGCTCGCTGGAGGTACAGCTTTACCTGTCGAACAGGTATCGCAGGAATTAAATTTATTATCAGATATATTTTATTTCTTATATTTTTGTTGAATTGCAGATAGCCCTACAATGGTCTGGTACCTTTCTGATACTTTTAAGCGAAGACAGACTGGAAGTCCTGACTGGCTTGGAGAAACTGATGAAGGCATCCTCCGGCACAGGAGGCAGGTTGACAACATTATTCAAATCTATCAAAGACTCCCTTGACCAATTTTCAGGGTACTTCTCGTCCACGTCCGACCGGAAGCTGCGAGCACTGCTCGTGGGTGGCAAAGAAATCTGCTCGCTGAATTTCTGCTTGGTTTCCAAGTGCCTCAGCCTCTCCGAAACCCCAACTGAAGAGACGTTGTCCAGGTCATGGTTCAACACCGTATCAGCGTTCTCCAATTCATCGCTGTCCAGCAACTCTTTCTCCAAGATGGCCAGGAGCTTCTCAAAGTCCTATTAGGGAAAATTTGAAAATACATTTAAAATACATAAATTATTTATCATTTATAAGTCAGAAATAGACTGCCGGTGTAAATGCTCATCCCTGTTTCAGGTTCTTCAGGTTCTGATCGGGAAGAGGAAGCGAGTCGATCTGGTGCAGCGCCGAAGCGGTCAGCCTTTGCCCGAGGAGGACGAAGTTCTTCGCCGAGTTTTGCATGGCGGAAATTGTGCGAGTCGCCCTCACCGCCAGATTTCTCAAGCCTGAGACGTATTTCTTCCCGGTCTGGGATCGTTCTTTCAGATCCACCGCTGTTTCCGTGACGAGGAGAGCATTGTGCAAAATGTGCTCATATTGTGCGCGGAGGCCCACCATCTTGGCCGTAGGACTGACCATGCTCGGAATTTTCGCCCTCCGAGGAAAAATTAACGAACCCGACCAAGATATTTTTAAGATATACTCTTTTCACGCCTTTCCGGAATATTCGAGGCTATCTCCGCCACGTATAATTTTCGACTGCCTTCAGGTCTGCCGTACTCGAAGCTGCGATTTCAATTGTTAGACCCAAATAATCCCGATGTCTTGCAATGCTTGCAACAAACCTGAGCACAGGTGAAGAAAATCTCAAGAATGTTTTCTGGTGAAAACAAGCGAGGAGCGAAAACTAATAACAAAAACGCGGCACCAATACCCTGTAATTAGGCTAGTTACGAGCGTTTTAAAATTAGTCTTGCGTAGAGCGGGAATTTCTTAACCGGCGTAGGCGTAAACGGGTCATCCCTCCATATTCATTGACGGGTCCCGAAGGTGAAACTTTACTTTCAACCTTAAGCGGGCCGATTAGGTGGATTATTAGAAGTCAGCCCGTGTCGCGGTTACTTTCAACATCGCTTCCGCCCTGTATGTTTAAGCGATTATCGAGCAAGATGAGCGAACCTATCGCCGGCTTTTTTTTTCCTTTTTTTCACTCAGAGTGAATAGGAGCTTAACTGGCCGCGGATGCATCGATGCGTGCCAGCTGGTTCACCGAACTCTCGTTACTTCTGATTCCTTATCCGCGTTGGCACCTCATCAGGGCGATATCGCGGGTCGAACTAATTGTAGGGTATCGTCGATTCTGAAAATACCTGCGGACATTTTGCGACACCGCCGTTCGATCGATAGGCCGAGCCATTATTACTGCTCGACGTGCAGAGCGATCAGGACTTAATCATCGCGGTTCGTTATCGGTGCCATTGTTAACGGATGCTGGGACGCGAGAAGCATCGCGTGTTTTATCGCTCTCTCTTGACCCGAAGGTTTAGAACCGAGGAAAGGAGCTATTTCGAAATTAGGATATTTTAAATGTATTATTCGACGTCTGGATATTCTAAGTTTATAAGTCGAAATTTAGATGTCAAATGTATAATTCGAAATTTAGATGTTTTAATTGTATATTTCGGATTTATGAAATTAACGTGGTGCAGGAAAATGCCGTTTTCTGGACCGAAGGTGAGCTTCTTCCAGGACGTGCGACCGGCACACGTCGAGGAACATTTTAATTGGGTCTCACCTCTCGAGTCGCCAGATCGTATGACGTTAATAAATGTCGTTCCCTAGGTGTGAGTCCCCAGTCGCCGGAATTTATGGCGTGACCTATGTCCGGCTCTCGTCTGACTTTTTCTCCACGTTAACGGAATAACCCAGGGAGGTTGAGATAAGGCGATTTACTCGAGATCGATGCTTGTCACGGATTAAGTCAATTATTCCTGCACCCCTCGGTCGGTCGAGGAAATTTTACGCGAGCCATTTGTTTCTCCGAAACTTCGCTGATTCGTAAACTTTCCGCCACCGACCCGACTGGGGCTAGGTCAGGAAATTGAACCAGTTGAACAGGCGATGTTCCTCGATTTATAATTAATTACTGCGCGAGCGTAGCTTTTCTGTGACTTTTCCTTTCCTAAGCCGTTCACATGGAGTGGATGGAATCCATGGTCGGTGGCACCGATATTCCAGATAACATTAACTTAATCAACGAATATTTAATTCCAGACAAAATCTATGAGCAGGGATTCTTAATAAAGGAATATTCAATTTGAGATAGAACTCTTAATCAAGGAATTTTTCACGACTTCAGGTGGCCACCGAGCAATGGATTTTAATCCTCGATCGGCTTAATTATTTTTCTAATCGCTGTAAGACAAATTGCACCAATTAAAAATTAACTAACCATGGTTAAGAGAATTCACGCTAATCACGGTTGGTGCAATCGACCCTTAGAGTTCCTAAATGCAAGCGATGTGTTCTATGGAGGGCGAGTCACGTTTATGCCTTATCAGGCGCGGATTTATGTCAAGGACGCGGCGATTAAGTCATTTTTTGGGAACGTGGGTTCAATACTCGACGTCGTAGAAAAACGTAACGTGGTCCGGAAGGCCACGTCGATATGAATTCGTCCCGAGGACACATTTATACCGTCGATTAGGCGACATCCCTCGTCTCGAGCGAAACTCGGGGGAGCGTGGGTGCGGCATTTAAAGCCTCGGAAAAAGACGCCGACTGAAAGGGCCGGGGGAACCTCGCAACGTCCGACGATTTGCGAGCCGGACATTTGTGCTCGGATCGCAATTAGAGCCTTTATGCGGTATCAAGAGGCCCGTTATGGTCCAGTTAGAGACCTCGAATTGCTCGGAATTATCGCGTCCGAACTCCGTTCAGCCCTCGTTAGGCGGCTCGTTCGCTCGAGGAAGTCGACGTCGTCTCTCCCCCTCTCGGATAAAAAAAAAACGCGAAATCGATGCCCATACGAGTTAGGTAAATGTTTATCCGATAGATTCCTATTTGCCATAAAACCCTCGTATTCGATTATCCGAGGGGGCTGGAGGGGAAGGATATAATAATCGAGCTCGATCGATCGACCGTCATAAGCCAGCCGAGGAGCAGGATTTATCTGGCCGCTCTGGTAACGACACGATTAAGGGCTTTCTTTCACGCTCGCGAAAGTGTCCCTTTAAGGCAGTGGTTCGTACTTTTTCGTCCCAATTTGATGTATCAAAAAAAAAACGCCGTTTTCGATTTTTCAAAATCGCTAGACCCGAGAGGTGCGTTGCAGGCAGTGCGGGATATGCGATAGATTTTGATAAGTAGTTTTATCAAGGAGTGTTTTACACCGAGAGTCTTTGAAGCGTTTAACTTCGTCTTAACGCTAGAACGACCGGTGGATTTTTTTTTATAGGATGAGTCATTTGAAACAAGTCATTTTGATCCGTTTTGGTTGTTCTAGGGTTAAGGGAGGAATTTCAGTTTGGCTGAGAACCTTTGCTCCGAAGGCGGCGGACCGATCATATAATGATTTATCGTGGATTTGCCCACTTAAGGACGAACTTATCGCCAAAAAGTTCCGGTCGCTCCCGATATTTCCGCGTCGTTTCTCTCGGATTCACGCGGAATTTTGACGCGCCGCAGACTTTATTGCGCGTCATCGGTTTGATCGATGACACGTGCGCCAGCCGGGAAAAATTATCGGGAAGAGATATTAGAAAGACTCGGGAAAAGATCCGAAGGTTTCTTACCACGTGACGCGGTTTTTTACGACCCGGGGGAAGCTTTGCGGAAACTTTCCCAGCCTGGTCCACGGATGACATCGCGAACGTCACAACAGGCCGATTTGGACCTCGCGGAGACGTTTATTTCGAGGGATTTCTTTCCCATTTAATAAAAATAGGCGAACGAGGGAGCCTAGATTTCGGCTACGTCACGGGTCTGGAAAATATTTATATCTTGGACTTATTTATAATTCCATGGCGATCGCGGCGCGGTCATTCCGTGACGGATTTTTGCGACGCGTTGTCAAGATATCCTGATAACAACCCGGCCGGCTTACTACGCCATGGGCTGAGAAATTCGATTTAAATTTCGCATTTTGTAACAGGCGATAATCTTGGAATTTTGCTCGGCATGGACTCGAAAAATCACGCTTCATTTCCGATCTAGTCGTCAAAATTAAACCTCGGAGGCGCAAGAAATCGATATCGAAATCCATATCGCAACCCGCAAGACGTAACATAATGCTGCTCCGTGCTCGGTTACATCAAATGCCTGAGGGAAATTTAAACGATTAATCGGCAATAAAATATATTACAATGAATCTACATAAATTATAATAAATTAGAATCGGCGTTCGCTTTCACCAGGAAATTCTCAGCTGCGGAGGATACGCGGCATCGTGCAGGGAATTATCATATCGAATTAAATTATTTCGAACTCGTGGACACGTTAGAAGCAGTAATTTATTCGAGCAAAGGTTAACGCCAACGTAAAGAATTATTTGTTCCTGTGTTGGGCGAGGTACGAGCCAGGTCGTGTGGTCAGGACCAACAAATGGGAACGGAGTATGCGAGTATAAGAAAAAAATGCTAACTTCGGTTTATCCAATTTCCGCGATATCCGAGCGAGCATCGGCCGTGGGACAATTTACATGTTTATTCACCTGATGGTTCCGAGGGACCTTTGAATCGCTCACACCTGCAGGTCGAGTTCGAGCAATCGAAGCCGTGGCTCCACGAGGAGCTTCCGAATTTCATAGAAGCTTCCGAGGCCACCGAGAAAGTGGCCAAGGGCGAGACTGGACCGATAACCTTCCGTAAAATCGTATTTCGTAACCGTGGACCTGTTTCGCTCTTATCGCTAAAATACATCCTGCTGTTACTAATAACACAGACCAGGCAAAAACTCGAAAACTCTAGCTGAACCTTCCAAAAGAAATATACACTGATAAAAACGCTCAATTTTATGAAATTTACATACCCATTGGTTATTTTAACGCAACAATGATCTCCAGTAAAAATGCATTGCTTCTGTAATATCCGATTCAGCATCCAAGATAAGTTAAACAAAATTAAACACTTAATTCGAGTGAAAACGTCCTAATACTGTAAATAAACTGTTGCATGTACTCATAGATATTCTAAGCTGTAATTTTTTCCATTACAAATTCGATGTCATCGAACATCGAGCAGAACGTTTATGAGAGGTGTACAGGATCGCGAGATGTCCACCCCCGATACGTGAACGTAAACATACGTGCACCGTACGACATGATTTATGAGTACACAGTGCGCGTAAAGAACGTATTTACGGAAACATATCGCGTGGACATCGATATCGATTCCTTTTCGCATTTCTCCTTATGTCACCCTTGTTCATCCAGGGTATTTCCATGAAGGTTTCATTCCTGAGTTTCATTTCTCTGTCTCGGTTTCCAAGGTCTTTCTGGGCTTTTGCTTTCACTAATCTCGAGGAATAGAATCGCTTTTCTCCTCAGGGTGCTCTTGGATAGGGGTGGACGCAGACCGCACGTCCGTCCAGGTCGAGCGCGCACGCGCGAATGCGGCGGCGAGGGTTCTGCTCCGCGACTGGTCGCGACTGTTGCTACTGTCGCCAATCGGAGCAAATCGGAGTAACCTTCGTCGAACACCTCCGTCCTCGTGGCGGGATCGACGGAGTCGCTCAGTCACGCGACACGGGGTGCGCGAGTAGGATGGGCAGGGTGGCCTCTTCGCTGGAGACCCTGAAGAGTGGCTAATTCCGCAAAAAATTCAAGAACCGCACCTAAAAAACAAAATTAAAACGGTTTTGATTTACACGCTTGTTATTTAATTTTTTAAGTACTTCCTGTTTAATTAAAAGGCCACGGTCGCAGTGTCAGTGAAGGAAACTGTGAGGATTGAAGAAGCACTCCTTGAGGTGGAAGAGTTGTTAAGAGGAAAGAAGAGATGCGAAGAGGAGCGGAGAAGGTGCACGTGGTTCGACTCAAGGCTATCGATTAGGAAATTCGGTAAATCTCGCGCGAGGAGGAATCGATTCTGCGTTAAATAGAGATAACGAAGTCCGGTTGTTGTTTCGGGAGAGCGATGCTTTGCGATTTTTAGGAGGGATGTAAATTCCCCAGGGAGGTGATTGTCTCGGGGATTCCTTACTCTTGTGGATGTGTAGATGATATGGGACGAGATGGTCCGATTTCTGGGTAGCAGGATTAATTATCCAGGGCAGACGCAGCTTCCTCGTGGATACATATATCAGGTGGAACCTGTTGCTCGAGCGCTCGTTTCGCCTCTAAATCACTGGCTAGCGTGAAGGAGGAAATAGAATCGCGAGAGAGAAGAGACCACTTGTTATACCGCGCGGGCTTTTTCGATATCGGAATTTTCCTACAGTGGGAGCCGAGCGAGTGCTGCTCGAGAAACGGATCTCCCTGAGCGGCTATCGTTCCGGAAACGATTGCGGCCGTAGTCTGATACGGATGAACTTTCCATAAATACAGTCCGTTTTCTGCGGTTTAGGTATCCTTTCTACGTTGGAATCCTTGAGGGAATACGCGTCTCTATCCTTGGGTCTCCGTGAAGAGAGGAGCACTTCCGGGGGCTTCCCAACTTCGACCACCTTGCATGGGAAAATCTGTGATTACTGGGAACGAGGCTGAAGCGAAGCTACATTCGGGTTACCTTTCAAGGAGCTTTATGGATGCCCTCGGGAGAAACGAGCTCTTTCAGAGGACCCCGTCGTTTCCCTAGGTCCATGGCCGCCATCCGGCTCTCTCGAACGAGCCCTTCGCTCGTTTCAATGGCTTCTGGGACTTGAATAGTAATTGCGATTTGTCGCTCCCCAGCTCGGGCGGAAAAATCCAGGCCTCCCTAAAAAGAGGGTAACGATGATGCCCAAGTGGTCCCGGGAGATCACCTCGTCAACTCCTCGAAGATCCCCATGATAGTACTCTTTCTTAGAGTCATTTTCGTTTCGCCTAAAAAATACCCAATTTATATATTTTGTTTATAATCTATTCTATTATAATCTGGCGATACAGAGGACCGGAAATTTTTCTCTTTAAGGATAAATGCGTTTATTACGCCATATTAAATTTCCTACGACTTCATTGGCCAGTTATCATGATTGTTTATCTCTAAGCTTATATTAGCCATATCCCGGAAGGTCTTTTATCGCTACTCTTGAGGATGGTTCCTTTCCGATGTCCAACCATTACCTGGAGATCGTTCGACACTTTTTCCGGTGCCGGATAGCCTTCGTTTCATAGTTTCCACTTCGCATGCAACCGGCTTCTAAAAACAGGGTCAGAGATTAGCACCATGGGGACCTTGGGGAAACTTCAAGTTTGTACTTTCCTGAAATTTTCCGGTCAACCGGGAAATGTTTAGGAGTTTTTTGAGTTTTTAGCGTGTCGAGGTTTCCTCTGATTCGGATCTTGTTAGAAATCTGCGAGGGGAACTCGCGTGTCCCGGTGTCGTTAGTCCACCTCGAGGAGGGCCTCGAATATTCCTGATCTCATTGGTCCCCGACTCTTGATTTCAATGCGCGGGAGCGGTACCTATAAATTCCAAGTGGTACGTCTATTCGCGAGGCGAGTAAATTTAGCCGAGTCGGTGATCGGTAAAAGTCGAGGGCAGGAAGAAGCGCCGGGGAAACAGCGAATTATGAGAACGCCAGCTCGCCCGTGAATTATGTTCGTTACCTTAATGGTATCGATCCCCTCGGCGAGCGATGTGTTAAACGCCCCGTAAAAGACTCTCAGGATGGTTCACGACCCTCCTGAGTCTCGTTTCCGTATTCAAAGAAAAATCTGGAAGAAAAACCAAAACGATTATCAATGGTATCGAATAGAGCCATAAGCAAGTGGAAGCCGCTGGAAGTGTCCCAAGATATAGAATTATTAGATATTATTAGATAGTATTAAGTATTCTTAATTAACCCCTTGTAAAATATCGTTTGGTAAAGCTCGTATCGTATTTGCTTGGTAAAGCTCGTATCGTATTTGTTTGGTAAAGCTCGTATCGATATCCAGGACATTGAAATACGTTAACCGTGTGAATGTATTTCAGAAATGTTCCGCAAGTGTCTGGGAAGCTCAAGAAGGGAACAGCTTCACCCTCGAGTCTGGTCCATGAATAGTTCCTTCATCCCTCGAGAACGAACCCTCTGCACTCACCGTGATTCCGGGAGAGATTGTGACGCACCCAGGGAGGCCTACTAAAGCATAACGCGTTTCGTCTGGCCTGGGGAAATCGAAGGATCTCGCCGGGGGGCAGGAAAACCGCCTACATCCTCGCGAGAGGCAGGAAGCTTTTACGCCGCCCTGTAAAATCGAGATATTAACGGCCACTCGATGACCTCTCGACGAGATTAATTAGATTCTCGAGAACCTATTGGATGGAACCGAGTGAAAGAGAAGAAAAGATCTCTCGATTACCTTCCGGGGCCACGGAGACGTTTCGGGGAAGCGCGATCTCCCAGAAGCCACCGGGCGCCCCGACGGCCATCTTGGATCCGCGAGGGATGCGCGCGAGTTTTGAAATTTGGCGCGTCTGAGCTCGTTCGAGCCCGCGTCGGCGAGTTGGCGGCCAATCGTGACGCGGAAAGCGGCCCTCTCCTACCGAAAGATGCGCTGGAGGAACAGGAACTCCAGAAAACGGAAATACAGCTACGCATTTGACGACCCCAGGAAGGAAGGTTCTCCTGAGGGGGGGAACCGGAAGTGGCGCGACCGGAAGGACGCGCGGGGTATTTGGTGGCCTGCGCAGAGGTGGCGTCGCCTGGCGGGACTCCCTAGGCAGAAACAGGGACTCACCGGCGAATATGAGAGATTCGTCTCCGGAAATTCGCTGGCTCGCGCGGGGCGGCCATCTTGGAAGCGGCTTTACCCCGACTTAGTTAATTAACCGACCATGGATCCCGCCGTCGGCGAGGCGACCGCTGAATGATGGACTTTCGGGATCGTCCGGTGTATAGTAATGGAATTTACAAACGCCACGGGATCCCCCGACTATTTCGACTATGCGGTAACCTCCAGTGTAAACGGCTCCGCGTACGGCGGCCATATTGGATCCGAGTTGAACCTGCCGTACGCCGTTTGCGAGATCCTGGTGGCTATTTGTGCTGTTTTCGGCAACGGCCTCGTCATCCTTGTATTCAGCAAGGAGCGGAAATTAAGGAGGAGGACTAATTACTACATCATATCCCTGGCAGCTGCCGACCTACTCGTAGGCCTCTTCGCCATCCCGTTCGCCATCTTGGCGAGCATCGGCTTGCCCACCAACCTTCATGCCTGTCTTTTCACCGTCTCGGTGTTGGTCGTCTTGTGCACAATCAGCATCTTCTGCCTCGTGGCGGTATCCGTTGATCGCTATTGGGCCATTCTCTACCCCATGGGATATTCTCGCACCGTGCGCACCAAAACCGCCATCGGTGAGAACCAAAATGGCGGCCGCCTCTTACCACTAAAATTCCACTATATTTGTCAGAATTAATTTACATTACTCGATATTCTAAGTCTTGCGATGCGTTAGGAAATTAGACGCGACGAATTCGATGAGCCAGGAATAGTTCTTAACGATTCGACATGTCGGCTAAGGTCCGAATAATTTAACGAAAAAGAAAAGGGGAAAAAAGCGTGATCGCGTCGCATGCGGCGCCGCCATTTGTACCACACGCCGCCGGGTTTATGGCAGATTTCTGCACGAATACTAAGTCTTTCCTGTCCGTCGTTTGGCCTACTTAACCGTAATGTACGTACGCGTTGTTGTATGTCGAGGAGCTTACTCGATGAAGTCCCCTCTTGGCGATTTTCATATAAACGCGATTTCCCAGGGGAGGGGATTCCCTTCTGGGAATTCTACGCCCATCCGAATTCCTTAATTGGAAGGTTTCACTAGTGCCACATCGCGATATTCCTCCCTTATATGTTGTCATCCTCGAGTATGTACATTATCACCCCTGTCGACTTCCAGGAAGAATTAAGGGAGTATGGGCCGACCTTATTAAGTATTTTGGCCGCGATTATGTGCACTTAACGAACTCGTTTATCGTTTACAGGTGTTAGTTTTTGCATTAAATATCCTGGCCCATCGACACGCGGTAATTTTGTGCGGATCCGTCGCAATTAGGTACGCATTAGTGAGATCTCGGCTGCGCTGAAAAAACCAACCCTGATGTGGCCAATCGATAGCGGACTGTGTACTCAGCTACGTGGAGAAAGTGCTCGGCATTTATGCTCGGGAAATTCTAGAATTCCGCACTGCGGCCGGTCCCGAGGGAAAATTTCCGGGAGGCGGGTAAAAAATCGCCGTACTCCTGGCCGACACACAATGCTTATGTGAACCCTTTGTCAGCGTCGGAAAGTTCCTTAACGAAAGCCATTTCTTAAGCCGGCTCACTTTTCACTGTACGAAGACGCGAATGCAAAGTGCACCCTGGAATGTAAATTCTTCCGGCAAGACGCGGGAATTTTGTAAAATTTTTATTTATCGTTTTTTTTTAAGCCGATTCACTTTTTACTGTGTATACAGGCGAGCGCAAGGTGCATCCTAGAATGTAAATGCTTCCGGTATGACGTGAGAATTTTGTAGAATTTTTATTTATCGTTTTTTTTTTAAGCCGATTCACTTTTTACTGTGTATACAGGCGAGCGCAAGGTGCATCCTAGAATGTAAATCCTTCCGGCAAGACGCGGGAATTTTGTAGACTTTTTATTCGTCGTTTTTTTAAGGCGGTTCACTTTTTACTGTATATACACGCGAGCGCAAGGTGCACCCTGTAATGTAAATTCTTCCGGCATGACATTTTGTAGAATTTTAATTTGTTGTTTGGGATGCTCGGGATGAAGTTAATGAAGTTTCTGATTTTAGGGATTATCTGTGCTTGCTGGGTCGCCGGCACTCTGGTTGGATTTCTGCCGTTGCTCGGATGGAATGCTGGAAAAAAGTCCGACGAGAAGTGCATCTTCACCGAGGTGATGGATTACGATTACCTGGTCTTCCTCTACTTTGCGACCATAATCTTTCCCGCGCTGCTGATCGCCGCCTTTTATGCGCACATTTACAGGGTGGTCGTGAAGCAGGTCAGTCGCGGCATACATACTGATTTTGCAAATGCGATTTCCGCTTCGACGAGATACGTGCGGCGTGTTTGATGTCCTTACCGAGAGAAGGTTCGCCCTGGGCGTCGGAAAAAAGGACACGCCATGGGTTGTAGGAAAGTCCTCTCGCATTCGGAGACGGAAGCTGAAACCCTGTGATCGAAAACAGTGATTTCCATTATTATTTTTAATTAATTATCGAGGGAGAGTCGATTATTATATGAAATTGATTATCGAGAAGGAGTCTATTATTTCAAATTAATTATTGCCGAAGAGTGGCGCAGCCACTTTGCCGATAGCTTTTAGAGTATCGAAGAACTTGTTGGCTCCTAAGTGCCATTACCGAGTCTAGAGTCGGGAACAAGTTGGATAACCGATAAGTCGAGTTGCTCGAGAAGAGGCGAGTCCGGGGGTTAGGGGGACCTCCCCGCCGATATTCCTCTGATCGATCGATTCGCAGGGCAGCCGCGGCCGAAACTTTTTCCAACGGGTCCAAGAGTTATCGATATCTTTTTTGGAAAAAAAGAAAAAGAAAGAAATAAATCACTGAGTAAAGATTAATTCTTATTTAACTGGAAGCTAGTCGGTAAGTCTCAAAGGGATTTCTTGAGAATTGAAATGATTGGCATGTATTGAATTTTTAATTACTCTTAAATGGTATAATAACGATAATCAATATTTTCTAGTACGACTTACATTAACTATTGTATAATACCACCATTTTTAATGCTTGCTATAGTCGATTTCCGTTCTTTTTTTTTTTTAATTCGACACGTGGAAAAGTGTTAACAACTCGTTGATCAGTTGCAGCAAATCGTGACGATGAATCCGGGTCGACGTACCGATGGCCAGGCGACGGGGACGATGTTGCGACTCCTGGGTGCAGCTCAGAAGCGCGAGGTCAAGGCTACGCAGAATCTCTCCAGGATCGTCATCTTCTTCATCATCTGCTGGTTCCCGCTCTACACGATAAACTGCGTGATGGCCTTCTGTCCGGACTGCGAGGTGAACGATGTGTTCCTGAATTTCTGCATAATACTCTCGCACCTGAACTCGGTGGGCAACCCGTTGCTCTACGCGTACCACCTGAAGGACTTCAGGGCAGCCCTGAAGAGCTTCATGCATAAGATGCTGTTCCCAAGTGCCGAGACCAAGGCGAACCCGGGCAACATGGTTCCGGAGCGAACTTCCATGGTGTCCCATCACAACGTGCACCAAACAGGGGACGCGACATCCTTAGCTCAAAAAAATCAGAAGATAATTATGCAGAGAGCCGAGGACAAGAAAATACCGACGGCCGCGAGATCTTCATATCGGCTCGACTCCTTGGCCAGGACTCCGGGTTCGTCCCCGAGCGTCGGAAACGACGCGGATCGGATGTCGAGTGATAACAGCGAATCCCAGCCGATGGAAGCTGATGCCGATTCCCCGATGAAGGCGTCCATTCCTTCGAGTTGTACCTCCCCTAATCGTGGGACTCTCTCGAAGACGACCTCCTCGATGGAGCTGCAGATCTACCGGCCCTTCGCCAGGTTCTTCTACTCCGATCCCAGGGTGGAGGAGGTGCTGCCCGAGTCCGTCTTCGTGATCGAGGCGGACATCAACCAAATCGTCTCGTCGAGGGAGAGATTAACGGACGAGAAACACGAAGGGGCAAACTCGAATTGACCTCGATGGAGGGATCAACGTTGTTATCTTCGTTAAGGGATTCCCCGATTTCACTTCTTCATTCGGACGAAATCTTTTCATTCCGGGATAGGCGTCGACCCCAGGGGGTCGGGGACAATGGCTCCTCGTAATTGTTTAGAGATGCGTTATCTTAAGACTCGGATCCCTGAGATTAGGTACTTTTACCTATAATTTAAAAACAAAAGTGTACAATATACGCGCTAGTCGTGAGACGAAGAGGTGACCCTCTCGGAATTGGATGCCCATATTATTTTATAATACTTTCCGAAGGTTGGTTTAGATCTCAAGAGACTCGTCTCGTCGTCTCTCTCTTTTTTTTCTGCGGAGAATCCACTACTTGAGTACCTAATACGCGTAAATGCACTTTTTATCTCTCCGTTAAGACTGCGAACTCTTCCTTACTCCGTGATTTTTAACGGTCCCCGGGTGCAAGAGTTTATGGTTTATGTCGCTGTAGAAATTTGCGTAGTTATGGGAGGATATGGAATAAGAGCAGAAGATTCGGTGTAATTAATTAATCGACAAAGATTAATCGTCCATGTGAAACTCGGTTTCTTCCGCAAGGACGATAATTGTAACCGCGAACTCGGGTGACAGTTTCCTTGGCACGTGGGGGAATTTTAGGACTTTATCGATCCCGTTGATCCCTTATGTATTGATCCTGTCCGTAAGACTGTTATACGTATAGAGAAGGATCGATCGAGGTGATTAGCACGAGCGTGAAAATCAAATATACTTTATAAGAAGGTTTTACGATCCATTGACGACCGGTTAGTCCGCTCGATTGGAAATAAGGATACGTGTACATTCAAGAATATGTGTTCGCTGTAAAATTCTCTTGGGTCGATAGTAAATTTGCTAAGTCGCCATCTTGGTTGTTGGGTATACGTCGTTGATCTCATTGAGTCCATTTAACTCAAAAAAAAAAAAGTAGCCGAGTAGAGGGAAATAGATTCGAAATATGTCAACGTTACCTTGATGACAATGTCCCTACAACTGAATACGAGAAACCATTCAAAGGACTTCTGGAAGGAAAACAAGACATGCTATCATTTGGGGTGGGAAGGAGGAAGTAAGGCAAGGTCTAATTAAGATAAGCCGTTGTAAAAGACACCTTTTTATTTCTTATGAGGATAATACATTGTCTCGAGTAACTTAGGTATAAATTATTCTCATGATTTCATAAGTGAATGCTCCCTCGAGCTTGAACTTAAATCTACGCAGCTAGTCGAAGGGGTTATACCCGGTGCTCGAATACATATATTTGTATACGTATGTGAGCCCACCCAACATTAATGTCGCTGTGAACCAAGCCGACTGACGCTCCACGTCCGCGCGCGGCCTTATATAGGGTCCCCCCGGCGGACCGCGCATGCCCGTGACGTCATCAAAAAAATTTTCTTTTCGCATTTAACGTTCTTTCTCATATCTCACGCGATATTTTTCTTGTTTTTTGCCCCTTTCTCGTCTAGTATATCTCCATTATTAATTTGAAATGGTGCACCCTGAGTTAAACTGCCCCCATGGATTTTTCGCTTCAATTAGAGGAATTATTGTGAGTTCTTCGTCTTTATCGACTGCGACCTTCCGTTTAATCTTCGCCCTTACTAGATAACCCTTCCTAAATAACCTATCTAATAGCTCCGCAAGATGGCAGCACATATTTATTCCTGGCACCGTCCTGCAACCAATCTCGATCGTTGACGCTCATCCAACTTATCTCTGCTTGAAATTGGCTTTCCTTTCCGTGCATCGTCTTCGAATCCGTGAGCAGGTTAGATTGGAAGTGACCAATCGGACTCTAAATTTATAGCAAGGATTAATAGAATAACGGCACGCGGAAATTTTGAAGAGCGTCCATAGGTTGTTGAAATCGCGCGTCTGGATTCGTCGTTATTCGGCCGCCATCTTGGTTGAGATGTGCTACACAGACGGCTTTTGATTGGCTGTTGCCGCTTGACCACGCCTACGCGTCTGTGCTTGGCTGGTGCAGCAGAAAAATACTTGGTGCAGGTCTGTCCGTGAAGGAAGTGTTCCCCGAGGATGACGTCGAGTTTTTCGCGTGTGGAATCGCGCAACGCGAGCCTCGGCGTCGGCCCTGAGAACGGGGTATGAACGGCCGAGCAATGGCAGTGAATTTCTCGTGGTTCCCGACGAAAAGGCGAATCGATCCTCTCTCACGCTCGAAATGGTAATCCTCTTCGTTGTGTCATCGACTCGAGCCAAGTGTCAAAGCAGCCTCGAGTCTCGTCTCGTTTGACCCCGGGAGGCCCTAACCTCAATTTCTCGACGAGGCGATTCCGGAGCAACCAGAGTCGCCTCTTTGTCGTCCGACAGAGTAAAAATTGGGGGTGTCAAGATGTACTTATTCGCTGGATGGTGAGCGAATAGTCTCTTCTGCGTTGAAAAGCAGGCTTACTGAGAGCAAGGGTGCCCCTGCGATGACAGATACTATAGGAAGTTGACAAGTCTACGATAAGTACTCTAAACTATGAGTATTGTAACGTTGCTAGTCGTCGAGTGAGTCTGTTCCTTATCGAGTGATTATTACGATCGTTGCACGAAGCTTCTGACCGTTAATGCAGGTTTTAAACTTCATCGTCTGCATTACGAGTGCCAGCGAGACGAGTCCATCGATGTAAAAGAGGAGGCACGTTTCAGTTGATGTCGATTGGGAAGAGTGGCCTGAGACTGAAAAACGTAAAATGGTAATCGCTAATCTATGGAGCGATTTAAGCTGCCAGAGGATTCACGGTAACGACATTAGGCTGTGAACGGGTTCATAAATCAAGGTGTTCTTTGTGATGGTTGAAAAAAGGATTGTCTTGATTGAGGGAATTTTTGTCATTCCACGACATGAATGACCAAACTTTCTCTAGGATGCGCTTAAAAGTTTTTCTATTGTGATCAGCAACGTCTCTTATAAGTGCAGCGTTATGCCGGTACATCAAATTAACGTTGGTCCGCCGGAGTGGCAACAGCAACTCGGCCCAATGAATAATTCCAGTCCAGCAAGTGGTGAACCATTGTCCACCGAATGGAAACCACAGGTATATTAAAAACTTTCATTTTAATTTTCATGGTTACTTGTTTATATAAATTAATATCACTCAGATGGTTAAATTCTTTTTGCGTTATTGTAAATTTTGTACTGTTCTGTGTTTCTCAATCCTTGTGAATAAAGAGCAATTAAAGAAATTTAAAAAATAATAAATATTTATAAACTGCATGTGCATTAGATATGTGATAGTGGATAAGGAAATTGCCTAGTCTATCAATTATTGCCTTGTGAGTTCATTCCATCCATTATCTGTTACATCGAAAGTTCAGACTTACATATCATTTTTTTAGAGTACGTCAATACATTCTGTAAATAGAACAAGTTATATCACTAAACATGAAATCATGATTATTCCTGGAATAGCACTTTTAGAACGTGCAAGTGGAATTAAGGTTCTTCATAAATTTTACTGTTGTTACTGTACTGTTTTACTGTAGTTCTTTTTCATTTTTGGGTCAATATTTCACAATCGAAGTATTATTGATGCATATTTAATCCCTCGCAAATTTATTTTCAGTGATTTATAAGCTATTGCTATACTGTCTTAAACGAAAGTGCAAAATAAATACAAGAATAATTTTAGATATGCTGGCAGGAATAGTCCGTGAAACAAGGTCTGGCTGTAGAAGCTTAACCAAATGAGATGCAGCGAAGTCCACTTATTTTTCTTACGGAATAATAATTTGTATACATTATTCCTGCTTACTTCCATGCATAATTTTTTAATTAATACCAATGTAACATTGAACTACCTCTACGATTGGTTCAACAGATGTCCTTCAATGATTAGATTACAAAATTTATGAAAAAACTGCATTCACTTTCTTCTCACATTATCGCGATACCTACATTTTTCAATTGTCATAAATATTTGTCATTTTTTAGTCTAATATATTCCTTGTTCAGCTAAATATGCCACATTAATTTTCTGTACAGGAAACTGCATATGCAAGGGTCGTCACAGTCATACCCGATCACTGTCACTCATCAGTGAGCACGCTGTCATCGAGCACACATGACATTTGTCGGTAAGTGTCGCAAACAGTTTGAAAAGGATATAAAGTAATGATACTCCGTGAAACTCTTAATCAAAAAACCGATTCAAATCGCTTTACGTTTCTTAAACCAGTGGTTCAATTAATTGGACTTCATTGTACAGATCTATTCTTGTATTTTATGTGCTAATTATTGGTTTAACGCCGGTTTGAATCACTTTACAAACTAGCGGGTAGAGGTTAAGTCGCGCTTTACTTCCTGGAGTCGTAACTGTTCCAGAATTAACAAAGACATATCCGGGAGAGCCTCGTTGAAACAATGAAAATAATGACGATGAACAGAGTTCAGTCGTAAAGAGTGAAAAGAATGGAGTGCCGAAGGTCGGCTGAATTGAAAGTAGGTTCAAGAGCAATTACGCCTGTTGAAGGGAAACGATTGCGGTTAGTTAAGGATGATGTGAATTTTCAATTAGCTTCCAAGAAACAGGTATTGCTAGCAATTTGGCGATTCTTTATCGCATTCCTGATAAGTTTGGGGAACACGACAAAGATATCGGATATGAAGGATGCAGGCAACGCGATAACTGGACAAAAGATTGAACTGCGTCTCGCAAGAGGTTAATGACAAGCTAATATGTATTTTTTATATTTATTCTTACAAGTCATTCTTGGCGTTATTCATTATTTACGTTTATCGCGTTTGGCAACGCATATTAAAGTGTGCAGGCAGACAAAGAATACAGAGTGGTAATTTTGTGAATCAGTACCACAGGGAGAATTGCGAATATGGATCAGAGAGTTGACCATGGAATAATAAAATGCTTCTACCATGTCTGACTGGAATGCTGGTTGTTTTTTTATTCACAGTGTAAATTATATAAAAAGGTGTTCAGTCTAGGTTGTTCTATTTTCCCTTTTCAAGGAATTTTTTGCAAAATTTCTTTGAATATATGTTTGGCTCCAGTCAACAATAGCTGCTTCTATCAAATTTTACGTAACAGATAGTCACGCGCTGTCTTTAATCGTCATGCAGTAATACTTTCGCTTCATTAGATAGACCTTCATGTATTATGAACGATACCATAGGAATGAGATTGGTTATCGGAGTGCACCGAGTGCAAAGTAATGATTTCTTCATCTCCGTGTGTAGCAATCTACATTTATACCGACCACACGAGCGTAGGGATATCTTTAGCTATTTTCGAAAAGGCGACTTAAGTCGAGTCTCTTGTAGCAACTGTCAACGTTAGATTACCCTGTCAACGTATAACAATTAATTGAATAATGTTGGCACACCCAAGGTGTAACGTCAAATTAACTTGGCGCCACTCTCAAGAGTAACTGCCAGATGAAATAACTTTAGAGTTAAGGAGACATGTATACATATGGCAACTTTTTGCGATTACACCATTTATGATGCCATTTTTGTTTCGAGAAGAATATGCCACTGCGAAGGCGAAGTCGGAGCGCCCCTGCTGGCACCCTGTTATTGCAGCGGCAGTCTGCGTTATGTTCATCAGGCTTGTCTTCAACAATGGATAAAGGCATCGGACACGCGTGCCTGCGAACTGTGCAAATTCACCTTCATCATGCATGCCAAGACAAAGCCTTTCTCAGAGGTTAGTCAAAAGAAGAAGTAACGTGGTCTCCTGATTCAATCGATCCAGGTAACCCAATGATCGTTCCCCTGGAGACTGTCGGACACTTCTTGGAGGTTATAATTAACAATAAATTATAACAAAATGTCCCTTTGGGACGATGATTGTTTTTTAAAGTTCTTTGGTAGAAAACAGAATTAATAAGTTATGTTGTTTCAGTGGGAGAAACTCGAAATGTCTGCCTTGGAGGTTCGTAAGCTCTGGTGTGCGGTGGCCTTCCACGCAGTGGCAGCCCTCTGCGTAGCCTGGTCTCTGTACGTGCTGGTCGAGCGCTCTGTCGAGGAGGCCCGAAGAGGTTACGTCGATTGGCCCTTCTGGACGAAACTAATCGTCGTTGTGATAGGTTCCACCGGGGGACTCGTTTTTATGTACATCCAATGCAAAGCGTACATCATGCTCTGCAGGAAGTGGCGTGCGTTTAACAGGTAATCCGGCGAGAGATCTAACCTCACCTACCTAACCTAGTGATGCAAGTCGAGAATTTTAATTCATTCTGTCCGTCTTCTAGGGTGATATTCATCCAGAATGCCCCCGAGAAAGTGGTGCTTCCACCGTCGCCGACGGATTCCCTCAGAGAGGCGACTCTGCCGCTCAAGGACCCCACTGCCTCGATGCCGGAGCTTAATCGCACTCTGTTGCCGCGCACCGTCGACCCTTCCTGCGCTTCCCACGCCGCGAAGCCCGAGTCCGCACCGCCTCCTCAGAGGCACGACGCTCAACTCAAGTTATACGTATTCGAGAAGCTCTCCTCGTCGGAGGACAATTTATACAATAAGAGCGATAACTGCTAAATCAATGGTCGACGGATAGGCCGATCCTCGTCCGGGATAGGCCTCGACACGCAGACGAGGAACTTCTGCATCGTGGGAAACTGTCTACTAACCTTTCGCACATCACGAGAAATGCAACTTAACCTCTAAGAGGTTAGATGAGAAGCTTCGATTCAGGTGTGTCTACGAGTCGGAAATGTGCAGTGAAAAAAGGTACGTAAGTGGTAATCGAGTTGTCTCGTGATTTCCCCGTGAGACGATCGCTTCTTAGGTCTGGTAAAACTTGTGGTACTTAAATATTAGGACGGAGCGTCGAGAAGCCAAGTAGATGGTCGGAAGTATCTTCGAATAAGCGGTGCTGGTTTAATATTTTGTATTAAGGAGGCTTTGCTGTCGTTGATCTGTCTGGTTTTTTGTGGCGAAGTGTATGGTTTGTTTCGACGAAACAACTCGGTTATCAGCGTCTGCTTCAGTAGACTCGTGCGATAAGAGGGATAACGTCTAAATTGACGGTCGATTGATCAGCTGATTTTCAGTTGGGAGGTTTCGAGTGTTTGGGAGTTAGAATTACATGGAATATAGACCCAAGGTGCTCTCTGCAAAATTATAAGTGGTGCTATGTTTTGACTATGGCCAGGGGAACACCGAAGTGTATTACCTACATAGATGATGTACGCGATAAGGATGGTTCGATGATAATCGGTAAATGAAACGACTCTCAGTAAAGAGCCCAAAATGTGCATTGATGGCATCTGTCAAAATGCAGGAAATAATTCAGTTAAACTCATTATGGAAAGGAAAGATGCGTGAAAATCAAAAAGGAGTTCATACAATATGAATCCAATCAGCGGTTAAAATAGTAAATGGAAAGTCTTTCCAAATTGAAGGAAAGGGAGGTAAGACCTTTACCAAAATAGAGACAGGGCGAAACTTGTTGGATTCGTCCTTGACAAAAATTTAATGGACTGTGAACCAGGTGCTCGTAGACCTGGTCGACTATGGTGATTAATAGCGACGGAGTTAACGTGAACTCGCTGCGTTGCACGTTTCTTTTTAAATGATCGAACTCCCGAAACCCGAAGGCCTCCCCGTCGGAGCGCCGTTAGTTGGCATTTAGTACTTTTGGTGCTAACATTTAATCGTAGGCAACGGTAGTACGTGGTGATCGCGCGTGTCCAGGGTAATGAACACTCTCTTGCCAGGTCCGGTGGAAACTCCGCTATCGTCGCCACGTAACACCGCTGATCCATAGAGTACATCCGCGTATCGAAAGGAAGGAAGCCCCCCTTATCCGCTACCCAATTTTTCTCAACAGCAGACAATTATGTACATAATTATCGTATCTGTGATGTTATTGAATAAACTTTACCATATTTAAACAAGACGTTCTTTTCGTCGAACGCGCGTCGCGCGCATGTCCGTGGGTCGTCGTCGATTCTGCCATTTTATGATTTAATATAAACTTTATTTCTAGTCGAGACTATTCCGTCTGCTCGATAGAAACGGAACGTGGAATGTATTGGCGAGCCCCACTTTCGACAATCCCATTTACTGCGTTTCTGGGTTTTGAAATTCCCGCCTGCGGCGCGTCTGTATCGATCCGTCGAAGATAGCCGAGCGTTGCCGAACGCCTTTCGGGCCAACCTGCGCCGTGACCGCTTCACTCGTCCTGCGCGCCCACCGATATCTGTCCCATCACGTCCGTTTGGTTTCATCAATTATTTAAACATGTAAATATGCAGTTAAGTTTCGCTCGTCCGCGGTCACAGTGGTTTGCCCGATTTTAAGTTCCTCGGACGGTGAGTCATAAGCCAGGGTGAAAATGTCCGATCTCCGGAAGAGGACCGTCGCGGACACCGCCGACGCCGTCGACCAAAAGGCGGAGAAGGAAGACGTCAACGAAGACCACGTAAGGGTCATTAATTCGGCCGGATTAATTGCTCCGGCACGTTTAATCGTTTTGTTGGACGCTTAGGTTAAGGCAGAGGACCGTGGCTTTTGTTTATTGTAAAGTTCTGTAATCGTGACAGTGACAGGTATTTGTGTTCCATTGCCACCCCTCGCTTTCATGTCATGATATATCATTTGATGTTTCCTATTTTTGTAAGTGGCAGCACTAGGGCTGGTTCACATCCTTCGAAGTAAAAATTAGCTCTACAATTGAATGTCCCATGCATCTTCGAGGAAGCTGTCAGTGATACTTGGTGAGACGAAATGAAAAATCAATGATTCGATCGAATGAGTAAGCGTTTGATTTTGACAGAAAATAGGATCCATGCGGTCGGTGCTGTTTCTTAACGGTTCTTGATATAGCAAGTATTTAAGGTATTTCATCTTGTTTTATGTTATCTTATCACTTCAATGTAAGTGTAAATATGTTTGCATTCACAAAATTGCTATCGCTGTAGGATTTAGTTTTCTTGCCCCTTTTTATTTTATGCGTCTGCAAAATGTCACATTTGTTCTAGAATTGACATAAAATGGCCACAAAATTATTTTAATTGCGTATCGTTTTTTAACCCATTTCTAAATGCGATAAGCTACTTACTTCACTGAATTTAATGTGTATTAGTCATCGTTCTTCAATGCTTATGTACGTCTACCTTATCTCATTGCCTTGGAGTATTTTAGTTTGCCTACTTCATATGTACTAACATTTTTTCATTGACAATAATTGATATCTCTCCCTATACCGATTATCATATCTAAATGAATGTTTCCTATTTTTTCATTTGAAGTAATCTTAACTGTGCCATCGCTAGTACGGCTATATTACAGAAATTTTGGTATCGTTAAGCTTGTATGCCGAAACATTACTACTTGACTGACTGAAAGAGGAGTCAATTGTAATTCGAGTAACTACAATTACAGTATCACTTGAAGTAGATCAGGCTCAGACCAGCCACTTAATGGAATAAATTGAGGCTGGTCAAGAATTAATTGGTCACAGTTATTGATTCAAAGAATTTAAGGGACATAAGTGGGCTAAGCCAATTAATGGCAAGGTTACGTATGCAGTGAAAATTTATAGTCAACAATGGACCAACAAATTGCTAATTATGCTTTGTTTTGATGGCTGTAATCATTAATGAATAACCGTTTAATTAAAACGAGATATTCGAATGGACCGAATTAAGAGATACTTTTGCAGCTGAAGTTAGTTTCACAGTGGGTAAAATGATTAACCAATACATTGTATTCTTCACAGAAGGAAGACGTTGAGTCCGAAGACGATGCCAAGCTCGAGGTTGATGAGCTGGCCAAAACCTTGCCTCAGGGGACGAATCACATACCAAACGTGCTGCACACAGCCTTGTCTAACTTGCCAGACCGGTAACAATCTTTCAATTAAAGTAGTTAGAGTAATAACTGGAGAGTTTTTATAATGGTATACGTTTCTTTAATTTTTAGTTGGAGAAACTGGGTGATTCGGGGCATTTCAGCATGGCTGATGATAGCCGGATTTTGTCTTGTTATTTATGGGGGACCTTTAGCGTTAATGATCACGGTGAGTAATTGTAACCATTACTTGCATTTATAATTATGAGCATAAAATTTATTTAATGACAATGATGTTTTTTCACAGACATTAGTCGTGCAAGTAAAGTGCTACGAAGAAATTATCAACATTGGTTATGCTGTCTACAGAATACATGGGTTGCCATGGTTCCGATCATTGTCTTGGTACTTCTTGGTTACTTCGAATTATTTCTTTTACGGAGAAAGCCTGATGGATTACTTTGCAGTGGTAATTAGTCGTACGGTTAGTATTAGCGATAGGTAGAGTGACATTGGATTTGAAATGCTGCCATTGTGACATGGTGACGTTGACATGAAATCAATAATAACGGTCTTAGCTGATCATCGAAGGTGGCACAATGGCTTCCCTGACCATTTGTTGGGGCTTCCGGCATCATGCTAAAATAGCATTAAGGGGAACGACCTTGTGAAACTATACTGAAGTTTAAAGAATGACCTATTTTATTCATAGGCAAGCAAGGAGATGCCTTATTACTGAGATACTTTTCTTTCCAGGAATATTTGCGAGTGCTCGTAACCTACCACCGATTCATATCATTTTGCCTCTACATTGTGGGCTTCGTTTGGTTCGTTCTGTCCCTCGTTAAGAAATATTACATGAAGCAGTTCTCACTTTTTGCGTGGACTCACGTTGCATTGTTAATCGTTGTGACGCAAAGCTATTTGATTATTAAAAATATCTTCGAAGGATTGATATGGTAAGTATCTTGTGCAACATTGAACGAACAATTTTATTTTAGGACAAAAATAATTTATGATTAATGTTATTTACCCCAGGTTCATCGTACCAGTAAGCATGATTGTGATTAACGACACAATGGCATATGTTTTTGGTTTCTTCTTTGGAAGAACGCCCTTGATTAAGTTATCACCAAAGAAGACTTGGGAAGGATTCATCGGTGGCGGTATTTCGACTGTCGTACTAGGACTATTGGTGCGTTAATATTTTTTTAACCGAAGTTAGTGCTTCCTTAATGGAGGTTAGATTATGTCAGGTCATTGACGTTAATCGGTTTTAGGTATCGTACGTGATGTGTCAATACCGCTACTTCGTGTGTCCGATCGAGTACAGTGAAGTTCTGGGACGCATGACCATGGACTGTGAACCCTCTAGTCTTTTCCGACCCCAGGAATATCATCTACCAGAGTTTTTGCGAGCCTTCACTAAAGCGGTAAACTTGTTTGTTAATTATTCAATTTTTTTTCTCCCTATCAAGATCTTGAACGCGACATTGTGCTGTGCGTCAATTACGAGTAAAAATTTTCATACAATTTATAGATCTCTTTGTACATGTTTTATGCGGTGCTTTTATCCTATTACAGATTTCCTTCATAATTGTTCCTTGTTCATCAATCAATTTACGTTTTGCAGTTTAACATGAAATCCACAATAATGGTCTATCCATTTCTCCTGCACTCCTTGTCGATGGCAGTATTTAGTTCTGTGATCGGTCCCTTTGGGGGATTCTTCGCAAGTGGCTTCAAGAGGGCTTTCAAAATTAAGGTGTCTTATCATTTCTTTTTATTCTTCATTTTAAAAAATATTAAAGACACCATTTATAATTGTTTTCCCTTCCAGGACTTCGGTGATGTGATTCCAGGTCACGGAGGAATAATGGACAGATTCGACTGTCAATACTTAATGGCAACTTTCGTCAATGTGTATATCACTTCTTTCATTCATACCGATTCACCGCAGAGAATCCTGCAACAGGTAAGTTTGACAAAGAGAACTTTGCTTGCCAAGTAAAAGATCGTGAAAGAGTCGCACATGTGACAGGTCGTATAACTATTTTTGAAATCGACCAATCTGAAGTATTTCAATTTCATCTCCAGGTGTACAGCTTGAAACCCGAAGAGCAAATGCACCTGTTCAATTCTCTGCGTGATACGCTGGAGCACAGGGGGCTCCTAAATGCAACATAAATCGCCGAAGGTCAGAGGCGGATTCCTTTGTTATTCTATTTTTTATTTGTCTCCGATTACTCCACTAACGATTGCAATGAACAATTGGTAAGAAGTACAAAGGTATAAAGGAGGGGAAGGTACGAGACAAAGTATGAATTACGACCAGCCTCGGTCGGTAATGCCGAAATTATTTTAGAGGCCGTGATCGATGTCCTAACGAATGCCTAATGCGCCCAAAAGTAAGATACGCAAATGTTCAAGGGCAAATTCGCAGAAAGGCTCGGGAAGTGACTTCGCAGTTGACATTCTTCCAGAGAATCGTTTTCCGAGCACGTAGCGCACCTCGGGGGCTCATCTGGAGCTCGCAAAAAAAAGTCTACTTCCGTCTGCAGTATCCTTAAGGATCCTTTGAAACAGTTCTCTTTGCTGTCGACACCTTCGATAAGGTATCGTCAACCTTTGCCAAGGATTTTTCCTATGTTCGTCTTTATTCTCTAAGTGACTTTGTTGATTCGAGGCATCCATCCTATGTGGGATTTGTATTAGCAGATTGAGAAGTAACGTGTACTAGTTCTCAGCATTCAAATTCAAGAAACTCCTAGTTGTCGATACATAATGGGATTGAGGGCTGTTCGGATCATGTGATCTGCCAATTATTGTGAGAGGAAGATTAAATTCAATCAACTGGTTTGATTTAATGTCTCGAATGTTAACTTTTGCATGTTTCGTTGATGGTTTAGGTAGTTTTTCGTTGTGCATTCCGCAGTTTTCGCCGAGAAACGTCGAGCTGATAGATCGTATTAAAAATCCGCCCGCAACTGGGGAAATATGTGCCATGATATTTCTTTTTCATAAAATGGAAACAACTTTTAGAAATTAATGAAGAATTCGCTAGACGTTTCCCTGGCCGTGTGTAATGACAGATCTCTGGTCTGTCATCATGCCGGTTGTATCGGCTTACATTTCGCGTTCATTTCGCCCAATCGTGCATTTAGTCTGGAGGTGGATAATACCTCATAGTGATTCGTCGTATTTAATCGGCGCGTTATAGTTATTATACGTATAGGATTCAGATTTGCAACGTTGCATAGACAAACTTTACGGATCAAAGAGAAAAATTCTTTAACCAGGCCACAAAAATTTCTGCAGTTTGTACAATCTGTAAATTTTTATGGCGTGGTTCGATTAAATGTTTAAATTTAAAGATTATTTATAGGTTTCGCTTTAACCAAGTCGAAAAGTCTTCCTGACCAATCTTATGCATCGTTTTGCATAGCACGAAGAGGTTATGATTTTGCAATTTTGGTAACAAACTGAATCAAAAGATCTGATCCAAGAACTTTGCAAATTTGAGACGTACTCTCCTCGTTGATGGATGTTAGACCTCTTGACTTTGGGTGCTATGGCCACGTCACGTATTCCACGGAATAAGAGGCCAAGAGATACTTACCACCACTCGTGTTGGGGCGAACTGCAGCTCCGACCGTTAGTAAAAACCAAATTAGGCATACGTACCCACGTGTACCGGCATTACTAAGTGTATAAATGTATCCTCTCCTGCCGTGGGGGATGCTCGTCGTTTTGCAGAATATTTAAATGTCAGTGTCATGTAATAAAGCGTCTAATTTCTCGTTCCTTGTCTTCGTTGTAATTTTGGCAGAGAGAGAAAGGAAGTATGAGTGAGCGAGATGGGTCGTTAGATCATCCGTTAGAAAAAAACAAGAAAGAAAGAAAACTCAGATCGGTTATATTGTCTATTTGTAGTAACGTCCCGTTGCACCATTGTTTTAAGCTTTAATGTACTTTAAGTTTTTAAAGTATAACTCACTGTATTTACTTAGGTACAGAAAAATATATAAATATATCTATATATTATTTATTGAAGAGCGACGCCAATACATAGATGTAAGCATTACGTTGAGGATATTAAATAATTCTATGGATCACTTAGGATGAAAGCACTTGAATCGTGGTTTAATTTCGATGAAGTAAATTACATTAATTTTATTCAAATCCATCTTTCAGGTGTCTTCACCCCCGATCGACTCCCCTAAATAGTCCAACTTGAATCCTCCTTCCTCAGATTTCAATGTCATTTCACAACACTAAAAAAAAAATCAAGATACTTGTAATGTCGCTATCTCATAATGACAGGGACTTATTTGTAACACAATAAAGTCTAAGAACAATCTGTACACTTTCCATCACCGTTACCCTAAAAGTCGTCAATCCAGAGATGAATTCATCTCTGCGTCATTCTACGGCGATCTATCCGATTTTATCTACCTTACCATTTTTTGGTTAAGTAGAAACCATTACGTAGTCCGTCCCTCCGCCACTAGATGGCACCACGGCACGCGCGCAGCATCTTCTCCCTGTATTATCTCTGTTCAATCGGCGGTGCAAGTCTTCAGCTCGCCTCACTTTCCTCGGTGTCCGCGTTCCTCGCGTTCCTCGCGTCCCGGCGTCCCGAGTGCGCTCGCCGCTTTCGAGATATCGATTGGTCGATTATTCCGGCCCCTCGGACTGACGGTCGTTCCGCGATGGTCGGCGAACGTCTCGCGCTCGCCGAGTCCCACCTAGCCGTGGGCTTTCTGCAGGTCGCGCAACCGTCGTCGCCGCTGCGAGCCGTTCCGCGTTGAGAGTGTCGCCGAGCGTTTCGTCGCGGACCTCGCGAGTGTCCCCGCGAGGAAGCCTCGAGGCCGGGACGCCCCTAGTGCGAGAGGCCAGGCCGCGCGCGCGGTACGCGCCTCTCCGGCGACCCGCGACCCGCGCCGTGCGTGTCATCCGTGCCGCGGAGTGTCGCAAAGTGTCGCAGCGAAGTGCCGTTCTCGAGAAGTGTGTGCACCCCTCCTCCCTGTGTGATAAAGCGGGCCGAGAGCCCCATCGCGTCGGCGAGGGTCGACCTCGCGGCCTTGAGAGGCCTCCTCGGGTCCCTCCAGATCTGTCATCCGATCTCGTCTCGGCGCGCCCTGAAGTCACCCTGGTGACAGGTATGCCCTTCTCCTTCGCGTTGTACGACCCCTGGCCTCCTTCGACCTTCAAAGAGCCAGGAAGAGTCGATTTTTTGGGATGCTGGATTTTTCTTTCATGCTTCAGCCAATGGTTTACGCTACATTTTCTCTTCGTTTCGATGAGCATTTTAGTAACGATGAGATCGACTATTTAATCAGCCCCAGCGATGAAGGTTTATAAGGCTCGAGACGTGTCGATGCATTGTATTTGGAAATCAAAGACAGACCGGTCTTAAATTACTTTCCGAGCTCTTGCGATGGGGTAATTGTCTCAGGGTTCGATGATAGTGAATGAAAATGGGCACGAATGTAGTTGCGTAGTCTGGATTTTATGATGTTTTAGAATTTTAACAGGGGAATTGATTTTTACAGGTTCGCGCCGCCGACTAGTCTAGATTCGCTTCCAGCTATGAGAAGAACGAGGATCCCTTCGATTGGTTCGTCGTTTCCGCCAGGGTGGATGCCGTGATCGTTGAATGTGGAGTGCGATCTCTCGCCTCTTCGTGAAGAGCAAGTCGGAGGAAGCAGCGGAGGGTCACGAGGTGGATATTGGTGGGGCTCCGAAGGCCGATACAGTTGTCCATGTTTCCGACACAATGGATCGTAACATGGGCGAAGACCGATGTAAAGGACCCGGCACTAGTTCTGACCACCAGCTCGCCGGAGGAGATTCGGAACGCTTTACAGACGCCTATGACACTCGTCAGGTATGAATGACTTGAATTGTATATCATAGAAATAATACGATTAAGTTACGAGGTTACCGTGGCAATATATGAGAAGCCATGGAACTAATTTGAGGAATAACTAGACATTAGTCTAATACCATCATTTGGTGATGACGTCAACCTGATAGCCTGCAAGTATGATCGCAGGGTTGTTTACTACTTTATGCTTACATGAAGCTCTTTTCTCCCATTATTTCATAACTAAACATTAAGTAATTAAATTCATCGCTCCCCGAAAAAACCTGCATCTCCAAGTCGCTGTCTTCTGGCTGACATCACCCAGTCCATAACCTCAAAACGTCCTTACGTAAGGCGCTCGTCTTACCTCTCTCACCGCTAGTGTAACCGTAAAATCTCACATTTTGTCCGCGGAGCGTCCCGGAGACCTCCACGAAGAGGTTCTCAGGAGGTGAATTGCGTACCTCCAAGGGTGGATAATCCGTGAAATCGGTCTCGGAAAGTCAGATCGCGATTCGGCAGGACGCACAAAGTCCCGGGCCCGTTGCCGAGTCTAGATGCCCGACGCTACCGCGGCCTTGCGGGATCGTTCACGTCGTGTAATGTACCGTAAACCGGAGCCGATCGTTCCGCAATCTGACTCTCCTACCGCGGCCGAATTATCGGTCATTTTTAGACTGGAAGCGGCTCGCGTAACAAGAAAAAAAGTTACCTCGTAAGATCTTACGAATCCTTTGTTCAGATGCGATTAAAAAAAAAAGAACGAAGCAAGGGATCGACTTAATTCCAGATCGACCCATGTATCGATACCTAGATTTTATCCTTTTTTTATTCATCCTCAGATTGTACCAATTTTCACCTTTTTTAATAAGTCAGGCCTTTGTTTTCTTCCCGTGCGTATTTTTCGGACGACGCGCCAGTTGCTGTTTACCGTCACGTGACCTGGCGAAACAAAATGGCAGCCGGCGCGAAGGTTTAAAAGGCCGCCCGCATCTGTCTGGGATGTCCATAAATAGCGAAATGGATGGGCACTTTCAACATATATTTCTCACGTTGTTGTGAAAATATACCCCCGATTTTTGTAGGCCATGTATTAATACGGTACAAAGAGTGCCCGTACTAATGCCGCGAATATATTCCTCCCTACGTGTCCGAGAAGTGGTTTCTTTTCGCGTCAGCTCGATTTTCTCGTCGAACGCGTTAATCGACGGCGTCGCTAAGTGGCCTCGAGTGCCCTTATTAAGCCGGCCGTTCCCTCTTTAAACGCGGACGCGTTAGCAATCGCGGAATCACGAGGTCACACCTGGTGGGTCGACGCGTCTCGCATTTCGTATTTTCGCGGTTATAAATTAGTAATTGAGATCACGGTGAATTCTAAAACGACGCCTTTCAGCCAAGGGGAGTAGTCGGAAGTGACGTTTCCAAAATGGCGGCAAGTTTGAACGGTGACTCATCGGCTGTAATTCGTTATCGGTGTTATGTCGAGATTAGTGGCGCCCTCGCGGAGCTGCGACCAGAAGATCGCGACTTTCGAGTTTCGAGATATCCTGAAGGCGCCCCGAGGTTAAGGGGAACGTGCAGGCTCGATTCGTTATCGTGGGTCCTATCTTATCGAGGGTTGGTTTACTCAAAGGCTTTCGCGGTAGCGCGACTGCGCTCATGGCGATACGGGAAACGACGTTGCGTTAAGAGCTATCGGTATTTCGGGCGCGTCGATGACGAAATTCCTGCTCTTTCTTTACCTTTTCTCTCTCGAGACTGGTTCATGCTTCCGTTATTGCGAATAATTGAATTAGAGTCGAGGTAGAGTTGGGACGGGAAGCGTAAACTCGAAAACCGAATCCCGAGGCGGGCGACGCGCCGCCATTTTGAATCGATCGAAAACTCTCGAATCTGATTCGATAGGAGTCACGTGGTCGGGTCACGTGACGTGCGGTGAAATTCGCAAGTTCGATCGGGTTCACTAGAGCGCGGGTTTACCCAATAATCGGGGAAATCGCGGGAAAAGGGTGACGGAAAATGCGAAATACGAGGCGAAAATTCGCGAAATTCCGAAGCAAGGTCGGGGAACAGAGAGGGGAGAACAAAAAAGACGAGCGTACGCTCTCGTCTGGCGAAAGTCGGGGCGCGTAGGGGAGCGATGCGAATAAGAAGATACACGCGCAAATACACGTTTCCCTGGGTAAACACTCGCCAATACACATTTCATCCACGTAAACACTCGCGAACACACATTTCACCTGGGTAAACACTCCCGTAAATACTCGGCCTGGAATAAAAATTCGCCGCTCCTCCGAGCCGGAGAAAACGCGCCTTCGATTCGAGAGACTCGATTCTCTCGCCGGTTCCCCGTATATCGATGTAAGGATGCGCGCGCGTGTGCGTCACTCTTTCATTTGCGTGTATTAATAATAAAAGAGAAAAAAAGGAAAATGGAAATGGAGAGAAAATATCGGAATTCTCGCGTGCGACTTTTTTCAGAGGTAAATTTATACCAGCCAGGACAATGGCAGGGAGGGTGACAATTCCATCTGTATACTTCGAGTCGGTCAGCTGACCGGCAGGCTCGTGGAATCATCGAGAGTCGCTCGAGAATCGAACCTCGAACGCTCCTCAGTCTCTCTTCTGCCGGCGACGAGGTCGGATCGCCTCGGTTTTCCGCGATTCCCGGGTATCCGGAAAATTCCTCGTCGAACGCAACAAGTGGACGTAGTTTGGTGTTCCGTGAACGATCCTTCGAATTTTTTCGTTGAGGGATCTTTTCGATTTTTCCGATTTTTCCGGAAATCGGAGGTGCTCGGCAGTGTTTCACCTGTGCACGTGCGCGATTTTCCAGTCACTCGATCGTGCTCTGCTGTATCGCGGATAAATTCAAGAAATGTGGCGATCCATCGAGGGAACCTAACCCCAAAACGGGGGGAAAACCGAGTCAGACCGAAATCCATATCCGGGGGGATCCTTTTGCGGACGTGAGGGAACCGAAAACGGATTTCCAGGCGGAATCGCGAGGCCTGAACGTACCGTAAAAGGATATTTGGAAGCCTTGGCCTTGGAGCGCCGCGCGGCCCGTTTGACAGCGATCAGCTGATCGGGGCCACCCACGTGCGCGGGACCACGTGACCGACCGTGGACGGTCCGCGAGATGCGGAACTTTTCGGAGAGGAATTCCGATGCCTAAGTCTCGATTCCAAAAAGAGATTAATAATGAAAACTAGGTGACATTTCGAAAATTCGCCCAGAGCGCGGAGAGGTGCATCGCAAAAATTGGGAAGAAAATTGTAAATAAAATCCTGAAGGAGATATCAAGGGGCGGTGTCGATTCCCGCGGGTTCTGGTCGTTGTGCTGACTCGAGAGTGCGTAGGGGGAACCCCTCTCGCGTTTGCGGAGTCCCATAAAAGGAGATCCCCGGGATCCCCGTCCGGAGGCGCGCGGCCAGTCCAATTTTGGAAAGCGGAGAGAAAGAGAGAGAGAGCGCGGTACCGAGGACCCCGAAGAGGATGGCCCCCGGGGAAAGGTCGGGAGAAACGAGCCCGGATTGACATGGGCGAAGTTATGGTCGCCTCGGCCGCTCCTGGGCTGGCCGGATGCGAGATGGAGGACGTCAGGGACATGGTCAGAACGGCCAACGTCACCGCCGTTTACGTGAGTTCTCCTCCTCCTTCCACAGCGTATGCCTAGATGTGTACGGCGCGGAAGAAACGCGCGGTTTCGCCCCGAGGTCGTCGAGCCGCTCCTGGTTCTTTACGATCGCGCGGAAACAGAAGTCACGACTCGCCACTCTTGACTCACCCTCGGGAGAGGGTGCCCACGTGTCGGGACGTGCCCCCTCTTGTATGCACTGTTAACAATTTTTGATGTTTTCATTCCTCGTTTGAAATTTTAGATGACTCATGTTGGCCATGATTTTTCGAGACGCGATCATCGGTTGCATTTTTTTTGCGGGCAATTCTTTGAAGTTACGCAATAGCGACTCGCAATGAATTTTCAACTGGTCTACGTACTAGTCCAGGACGTAGGATATATCCTGCGCGCCGATCTGACTGTGAAGATAAATAAAATATTCGTAGCTGTTTTATTTTCCCGCGATGGTATTTTTAAACCGCAATTTTAGGCCCCAAGGGCAACTTGTACCCTGCATCCAAGTGCAACGATCGCTTAAGAGGGGAAACCACATTAGGATGTTCAAAAAATCGGATTTCTCTTATTATACAAATTGTTAGTATAACTGTTCAAGAATACGTTACCAAAATTTCTAAGCGAAATTCGAATTCGTTCCGGCTTTATGAGCCTAAAACCGACCGCCCATTGAGTCAGCTCTCGGACGCACAGCAGGTAGGGTGGAGGGCTCGCGAATGGATGAGCAGCACGTGAGCCGCCAGAATAGACGCAACTTATTCGAATCAAGGGAAGGTCGGAAAGCAAGAAAAGAACAACTGTAAGCTCAGAATAATGCCTATGAGGAAGAAGAAGGATTATTATATATGGTGCTGGAATCGCTGATTGTTCGATACGCACTCTATATTATTGATAATTTTCTGAAATTTCTAGTTTTCGGTAAATTTTTTCTTACAAACGCATTCTTCTCGAATCGGCAATTTCTTGATTCGCGGGAGTTCTAGCTTAAAAATTTATGAACCGATCGTTGTGAAAATTAATTCTTCACCCTGAAAAAAATGCATAAAAAACGTATGGAAACCAGCCTCCTAATGTGGTTTCCCCCCTTAAACGTCGCTTCTTCGACAATTTCCAGGCTAACGACCCCTTTCAGCCTGGCGATTACTCTTCCTAAGAGTCGCTAATGCGTCTTGATGCGTCGCTCGCTCTTCTCTCATATTCCTGCCACCCAATTATTCCTTACTCCCCCCGTTAATTCTTTTTCACGGGTTCATCGCTCCGAAACGCGTCCCCTGTAATAACTAGTGATAGCTGGCGGTAACGTTAACTCAATTTAAAAAAAAAAAAAAAACATTCCAAAATCGGAGGCCCCGACGGACTCGGATTCGCTAATCGGGACAATTGG